CAAGAATGAATCAAAACTACACATAAACAATCTTGGCCATGAATCACCATGACACATTCGTAATGAAAAACTAGTAAGAGTAATTGAAGCAAAGGACACAGGTGGCAAAGGGACTTTCACAACTCCATCCATGTTGGATCTACAATACAAGAAAACATGAAATAATGATATGCAAAGTAACAATGCATCCACAAAATTAATCTACAATATAACAACATATAAAACATATATATCAAGAATAGGTCAGTTGAGTTTAAAAACTTATCATGCATCATAACAAGTTGTATAGTTGGATGTAATGAATCTTTATATGCTTTAGCAACCCCTAATCTCTCACATTGTGCGTAATGATGTTTTTCGTATAATGTTATAGGTATGTTTTCACCTTCAAAATACTCGAAAACACTATTCAACGATATGATGTTGTTTCCTTTACAAACTTTATTGAATGATGTTTGTAGTTGTTTGTAGTAGGCTTTGATTTTCTTTTTCTTTCCTTCGTCAACTTTCTTCACATCTTGCGTTATAGATTCAAATAATGGTAGACAAGCGTCAATAATCTCAAATCCGTCAACATTGATATTATCAAATCGAATATGTAGACTTCTACTCATTCTAAAAAATAAACAAATAATCACTAAATTTATAGTTAAAGAAAAATAAAAAATAAACGCTTACCTCATCTATTGGTTATGATTATGTAAATTTTCATTATGCAAATTTTTTTGCATACTATATCCATAATGCCATATTTCATTATGCAAATTTTTGTTGCATATATATCCATAATGAGATTTCGCCATTTTTTCAAAATATATCGAACAAGGTTGAAAATATCAATTTTAGTTTACTTTTTACTCAAACTAAACATACAAATACTTATACAGCGTAAAACAATGATGATCGTGGACAATTTCAATAATATCAGGAAAATATATTAAACCGCTTCCCTCTAAAACAAAAAATCAATGCATTTCGTCGACTTTAATATCTTAGTATTGTTTAAATTAAATTATATTTACCTTTATTGTGAATTTATATCAATTTCTGATAACTTTTTTCAATGTACGCTTGCGAAACACAACCTTTCACAATAATAAATTTATAAAAATGAATAATTTTATTACGTGGCACTATTCAAATTAGTGCCGCTATATTTCGATGCTGTGTGCAGAACTTTTATCGCTTTTTTGTTGAATTTTTTTCATTTTCTTCTTTACCGGCAAGTTGAATGACTATTCAATGTTTATGAAAAGATGTTTAAACTTTTAATATGTTACATGTTTTTTTATTGAGAAATGGCATCAAACGAAGACATGAAAACAAAAGACAGAGAAGGTTCTGATGATGAAATGTCTGGTGGTGAAACAATACATGGAGCTCAGGTCGAACGAAGAAGATATGCGGAATTTGCTCCTTTTGATGTGTCAATACAGAAAGAGGATAATGATTGTAAATATGTCATGTACTTTTGGCATGGTAAACTTCCTATAAAAATACATGAATTTAACGAACATGGGTACTATGTAGAAGCAAATCCTGAAACAAATAAAATTAAGCTCGGAACTGTACAAACAGTGCCAATCAATGCTATGTTCTGTGACAGAGTGAAAGAATTATCGTTTCGTTATGATATATTTATTCGATTTATGGAAAAGTGTCGAGACATGAAGGAAGTTTTCAGCATGATGAAAAAAATTCAAAAAAAAGGGTACGCGGAACTGGATTTGTTTGTAAATGTAAATGTTCGTTATTGTTTGGAGTTTGAATTGCCTCAACATGGATGGCCAATATTCATAAAGCATTATGAAGAATTCCCAAGAGATTTATGGCGCATTCCGATTCATGAGAGAACCAAGTTAGGTCAAATACCAATCCATGAATCATTTTTCACCGAGTTTGCTCCAAAGTATTTGGAGATGTATGAAAAAATCTACGACTGTTTGAAAGAAGAAGCTGGAAACCAGCAAAACAATAAAGTGTGAAAGTGTGTGAAAGTGTGTGAAAGTGTGTGAAAATGCAGAGACTATAGTGTTTGTGGTGAATATGTGAATATTTAAAGACTATAGTCTTTTCCGTGAAAGTGTGTGAAAGTGCAAAAACTATAGCCTTTGGTGTGAAAGTATGTGAAAATGCAAAGATTATAGTCTTTGTTGTGAAGGTGTGTGAAAATGCAGACTGTAGTTCTTGTCGTGAAAGTGTGTGAAAATGCAAAGACTATAGTCTTTGTCGTGAAAGTGTGTGAAAATGCAAAGACTATAGTCTTTGTCGTGAAAGTGTGTGAAAATGCAAAGACTATAGTCTTTGGCGTGAAAGCGTGTGAAAATGCATGAACTATAGTCTTTGCCATCAAAATATATGCAAATGCATCAACTATACTCTTTGGCCTGAAAATGTGTGAAAATGAATGAACCATAGTCTTTGCCATGAAATTGTGTGAAAATGCAGTGACATGAAAATGTGTGAAAATGCATGAACTATAGTCTTTGGCATGAAAATGTGTGCAAATGCATGAAAGTGCAAATGCATAGTCTTTGGCATGAAAATGTGTGAAAATGCATGAACTATAGTGTTTGGCATGAAAATGTGTCAAGCATTTTGACGCATAGCGTAATCTTCTTGAGTTTTTGTGTACACCAGTACCAAAAACCACCTTAAGACTGATTTCGATTGAGTGCAATTTGTCACGCGATCGACTTTTTCGAGCACTTTCTTTTGAATTACATGCAGCAGTGTGAAACTGTTCCGGTTCAGAGCACACAATTCAAAAAGAAAGTGATCTTAAAAAGTCGATCGCGCGACAATTTGCACTGAATGGAAGTCAGTTTTTATCATCACAAAGTGTCCATAACGATCCCCTACCTTCCATTATGCAACTTTTTGTTGTGCATCGACAAAAAATATAGTTGTGTATTCTGCAAACGTTTGTAGTGTGATTGAATTTATTTAAATGTGGTTATAATTTTTTGTGTGTATTAGTTAATTTTGTAGTGAATTGACACATTTATTTGCGTATTGATATCTTGTAATTGTGCATTGGTACTTTTACTTGTGTATTGATACTTTTATTGGTGCATTGGTACTTTTACTTGTGTATTGATACTTTTATTTGTGCATTGGTACTTTTACTTGTGTATTGATACTTTTATTTGTGCATTGGTACTTTTACTTGTGTATTGATGCTTTTATTTGTGTATTGCTATTTTCTTTTGTGTATTGCACATACGGGCCATCGTACATTTCGATCCTAGTTAACAAGAAAAGGAAGAAAATGTCAAATCATTAATCTCTTGTTTGAAAAATTTTACTCAGCTCTTGGTTTTGATCAATAAAGCTTCATTAATAGGTGAAATTTCTACGTTAAATTGTGCATGAAAATTTTGAAATGATGTAACTAATGAAAACTAAAGAATATAAACAAGTTTATGACAGCAGAGTACACTTTAGTAATCATTACAACAAATGAATACAACGCAAAACTAAAGATTATCAAAATATAAAAGTCAGGAGAGCCCATTACACAATTATACTAGTTAAATTTACTGATTGATGTATGTAAATTTCCGTTAATCATCACAATTGGAAGACATACTTTGCTACCATTACACATATAAGGTAGCGCTCCAGGCTTTGTAAAAATTTAAAGTTTACCTTTACATTTTTAGTTTAATTTAAAGTCGGTAAAAATAGTTTACGAATAAATACTGTTGTTACATTAATGAATTCTTTCTTCAAACCTCCTAGCATGTTTCAAATAGTGAGAGCATCATTAATGAGAGATCTCTGCTCATTATTATGTATGTACTTGCTTCCTGTTGCAACAGCTGCTGCTGTCGATCTTCCTGTATACCTAATGACAACAAAATAATAGTAGCATATACTAGCAATTGGAATTAATTCCCTCAATGAGAAAGTTTTATACCTGATTATTTTGTTATGGCCTGTTGAAGTTTCAATACGTGGTTTTACGTAGCTCCAATAACCCATATTTTTTGGCTCTTCTTGAGCCCACACTATATCTGCGTTACAAAATCGTTCCGCCTCAAATTTTATGAAATCAAATGGAAAAGGACAAAGCTAAACGAACAACAAAACACATGCAATAACATGGACGCTTTCAAGATAGAATATTCGTCTGTTTTAATCCTTAAGCAACATACACTGCACCTGTTCAATTCTTGTGATGGCGATATCTGCATTTAGTTCCCGATCTTCGCGTTCCTGTCATAAAATAATAAAGATGAGAGTTTTAAACACTCGCCACAACAAAACTATGCATTGGCAGTTAGCCATACCTTGAGTAAATCATAGTAAACTTTTCCTGTACAAAATATTAGTTTTTTCACAGCTTCTGGATTGTGAGTGGCAAGTCCGTCTTCAGGAATGCAACGAAGAAACGTGGTCCCTACATGTGAAGATGGAGGAAAATTATCAAAATGACGTGTCTTTTTCGTAAAAAATTCTTTAACTTTTCTTCATTTCACCTTCACTCATTTCTTGCAAAGATGATTTTGCAGCGGGTAGACGAAGAAGGCTTTTTGGAGTGAAAATAATTAACTACAACAAGAACAATGTTCAATATTAACTTGAAAAAAAGATGGCGATGAAAAATAATGAAATTTACCGGTTTTCTGAAATCCATCTTTATTTGGCGTCTTAAGACATGAAAATAATTGGCAGGTGTGCTACAATTCACAACCTAAAAGATTTGATTAAGTTGAAAAGTTTATTAGAAAAATTTTTACAACTAAGATCAAAAATTATGAAAAATTTCACTCAATGTTTTGTCTTCAACTAAACATGCCTGCCAGTTGGTGGAATTAAGTTGTTTCACTTCAAAATCCTCTCCTTCAGTCTATAAATCAACGAATAACATAACGTGACAACACTAATTCAATGTCGTTGTTTCCTAAAATTTTAAAAATTTCATACAGGAAGAGTATCAGGATCATCATTGCTCATTTGAAGAAACCTCTCAGGTCGGGCACTAGAATGTTCAGGTCCCTTAAAAAAAAGAAAGCATTACAAAACGTGGAAAAAACGAGAAAATTAAAAATAATAGAAACTAACCATTCCTTCATAGCCATGAGGAAGTAACAACACAATATTACTTTGCCTGATCCATTTATCCTGTCCGCTACTTATAAACTGGTCTATTATGCACTGTTCATTGATTCATACAAGAGAGACGATTGAAGAAATAAAAAATGAGTATAAAAATATTATATGTATACATGAAATAGACATAAATCATACTTGGGCTGTGTTATTAAAATCACCGAACTGAGCTTCCCAGCAAACAAGTGAAAAAGGATTAGTCATACTGTAACCTAGTTCAAAACCTTTAAAGAACGTTGTTGAAAGTGTTAAGTAAAACGAAATCATCAAATCTTAGTGAAGTGAACAATGGCGACGTACCAAGTACAGCATATTCCGACAATGAACTATTACACACAGTATATTTAGCTTGATCTTCTGAAAGATCATTTAATGGTATGTAAAATTCCTTGTCACGATTCTGGTCATGAAGTACATGATGTCGGTGACTTTAAAAATAGAAGAAAATATTGAGATATTCATATTTATAGCAAGTTAAGTATCAATTTCCTTGTAATTTTTGTGATACCTAAAGGTCCCTCTTTCAACATCTTGACCACTCAGTCTTACATGTGTCCCTTCTTTTAGTAAAGAGCCGAATGCCAAAGCCTCTCCTATGGCCCAATCCACCTCCTTATTTTCCATCATCTTCTGACGGGCTTTCAAAATCCTTTTTAAACCTTAAATGATTCTAAATGAGGTTTTTTGTCACAAACAACATTTTATTTCAAACGTTGTTTTTACCTTGATGAATACTAAACTCAGCCCCAGGAATGGAACTGAAAACACCCCCAATTTGATTGATTTCGTCAAGGGGGATACCAGTTGGTGCTATTGGGTGAAGACCAACTTTATTTGAAAAGAATCCTACAAAATGATATCAAAATTTTCTTTTTAAACAGGTAAATACCTTCTTACTGCGTGGGTCTCAATTAATTTCTCGATTTTTACCTTTCCAAGGTGAATCAAGCCAGTCAGCAAACTTTAGAGAAGTAATCTTCTTCCCTTCTTGAAATGCATCCTCGCAGATTTTCTCATACTTATCATGCTCGGCCTTCAAACGTTTATCAAAAAATTAGTGTAATAAAAGATAGAATACAAAATAATGGCATTAATTACTACCTCGTATTCTTCTTTTGTTACAATCCCTTCATTAATCAAATCTTCTCCATACCGTTTTACAACAGGTGTTTGATCGGCTATCTTCTTGTACATAAGTGGTTGAGTGAACATCGGATTATCACTTTCGTTGTGTCCAAAACGGCGATAGCAAACCTTAACAGACAACTGTACAATAAGTATTTTTCCATTAAAATATAACTGGTTAATACAGTTACCTACAAGATCAATGACAACATCCTTTCCAAACTCATTCCTCCATTCAGCTGCAGTACGACAAACATTCATTACAGCCTCAGGATGATCAGCGTTTACGTGAAATATTGGACACTGAACGACCTTAAAGTTTCATTAATGCATTCTTATTCACATGTTCAACAATATGAAGAAAAGAAATATATGCTAATATGTATTTAAAGGACGAAAACCATACTTTAGCCACATCTGTACAATATGGCGATGAACGAGCAACTCTAGGGTCTGTCGTAAAACCAATCTAAAGTGAATCATATTTTACAGCAACAAAGAATCATTACATCGCCAAAAAGATAAATACATTCAACGATTTGAGATATTAATATTCGACCTGATTGTTCACGATAATATGAATAGTTCCATGGGTTGTATAATTTGGAAGATCGCTAAGATGAAATGTTTCATAAACTACACCCTGACCAGCAAATGCAGCGTCCCCATGAAGGAGTATACTCATCACCTAGAGAAGAAAACAAAGTTGAACTATTTTACAACATACCTATATGTTTGTAAATATGTTGATAGAAAAAGTTAGCACAGTCCTTAAAAGAAATGTTGGTGTTGATGTTGACAAATGTTTTCACATCTTTAGGGGTAATGTGTACAGTCATTAGAATCCCTCTCAATACCTATGTGCACACTAACTTCGACGATGAACATCTATGTACAAACATGTTATGATACTCCTTGATTTAAAGCATTATAATACAAATAAGTAGATATAAAAATCTTTAATACTTTCTTTCCGTTATCATCATATTTGTAAAATTGTTCAGCTTTAGTTTTTCCTTGGACAACAGGATCCACCGCTAAAAAGATAAAGCATTCCTTAACAAGAATATCACTTATCTCAACTTTCTCCTTCGCAGATAATCTTGTCTTCCACATTTTGTTTCTTCAAATGTATATTATTTAACTAATCGCCTTTACGTATGTTTCGTTAAAAATAATTTTCTTCCAAATTTTAACTACCTTCAAGATGTGAAGGATTAGCAACAACAGCAAGACGTATTTCCTTGTTTGTCACCCGATTAATTCTCTTGTGCGACATTCCTAGATGATACTTGACGTCACCAGAGCCCTGTCAAAAAATCAACGTATTGTTTAAGCTTAGATAAGCAATACAGTTGTAACATTCAGAGTGTAAAGTTCCATACTTCATCTGATGGTTCAAGATTTGGATTGAACTGAGTAAAGATTTGTTCAAGTGGTTTACGACAAACGTTTGCAAGTACATTTAGCCGTCCACGATGTGGCATACCAATAACAAAACTTTCAATACCATGAGTACTTGCAACATCAATAATTTCTTTCATTGCAGGAATTAACACCTGAAAAGTTATGCACACTAAGACTTTATATGTACATGTGTACAGCATTATCTTCTGTTCTTTATTAAACTAACCTCACAACCTTCCAACCCAAATCTTTTCTCAGAAGACCATTTTTTTGCAAGAAATGCTTCAAATCTATTTAAAGATTCAAGGTACAATAAACATAAAAATGTCTACATTAAAAACCTGAAGATGTGCAAGTCATTATTTACCCAGTTGATCGAACTAATCTAGCAAGTAATCGTCGTTTTTCTTCTTTGTTCAATTCAAATGCTCCAGGTGTTTCAAACTTTTGTCTGATCCAGTCACCTGCAATTATAAGTGGACTAAAATAAATAAAACCTTTTAGAAATGTTAAAGAGTCAGTAAATACTTACACTTTTTACGACTGTTGATGTACATATACTCTAGGCCAATATGTTTACAATAAACCTCCTGTGGGGAAAAATTTGATGAAATGAGCAGAAATTATCATAAACTTTCTTAATTAATAATGACACCATACAGTACTTTACCTCAAGACGATTTTTTATTTCTCTTAAAGAGAGAGAGTTTTTATCCCCTCCAATATAGGTACTTGTTGGAAGATAAAATTCTGTATTATCATCCAAATCAACTAAAAACATTTCAACAAATCCAGTGGAACAAGTTTTTATAAAATCCAACACTTATTCAAAGCTTACTTATCTCTTCAAAGTCAGGGGTTTTTAACTTTGGTGGTGGATCTCCTCGTAGTGTATCTAAATATATTATACAGACACAGTTTGCTCTATAATAATATACATGAAAAAATTTCTCAATTCTGATTGGTTAAGAGCAGTGCAATTTATCATAAATACCAGTACAAAAATGTGAAACACAGTGCAGAAAAAAGAATACAGTGTAATTTATTTTTGAAAACTGTGCTCTTAATTGGTTAGTCAAACAAAGAAGTGATCTAAGAGCCAATCATAAAACAATATTTCAAAGGCAGGAAAGTTAAGTTATTGTAAACAAAGCAATTACAATGCCTGGCAAAGTTTTAAGTTGATTTTCTTAGGCTGACAAGTTTACAGTTCACCATTTACAAAGATGTTTCTAGATACAAATATCAACACTACTAAAAGTCGATAGATTGTTTTAGTGGTGTGTGTGGAAGCTATGGTGTGTGTGGAAGCTATGGTGTTGTGAAAAGTAATATCTGATGAAATTGAAATATATGAGCTGGTCGATATTAATAATTAGCTGGCTGAAATGTACATACGCTGAAGTTAAAAATCAACAGAAATGAGAAATTTTTTCATGTATATTATTAATAGCTTGTGAGTATTTCAAAGACTTCGTTTTTCCCAAATTGCACTCAAAAGCTCGCTATTACATATACAAATATTTTATAAATAGGACAAAATTAACAAAATAAATATACTCACTGAAAAGCCAGTACCCCATATCTAGTTCTGGAGGAATTGATGAATCTAAATCAGCATCACTGATTCCTAAAGGATCTAGATCTGCAACATTATTTCCTCTAATCTAAAGTTTGGTACAAAATGAAAACTATTTTGTAAGACCTTTGTATCAACAACGTTGTCATTCATTTATATACCTGGTAAGATCTTATCAATGAATACACAGCAAGATGTTCTTGAATCAGTTGAAGATTGGTAGGCTGAGATGTGTATGTTGTTTTGAATGATGGCTCTAACAATTTACCAATAACATCACCATTGAATTGAGATAAAGATGACGGGTTGGTATATGCTTCCCCATGTGGTAAACCATTCTCAATATTGGTGAAATATGCACGCCATGACTAAAATAATGCCACATAAAAGTTGCAACAAAAATGTGCACATAAATTTAGCAATATTTCATCCTCTTAAGTAAACAAAATGTTTTTTTCATATCAGAGAGTTGGAACATTATCCAAAGCTTGAAATTATGAGAAAACGAGTTTTAACTGAGTTTATCCAAAAATACCTTACATATCTGTACAAAGGTAAACAATGACAGAGCGTCCAAAGTTCAACATTGATTAGAAATCAATATCTTTTTTTAAGCTGTAAAACTGGAACATTAAAATATATGATATTCTTGTAAATACTTACAGCATGTACACTTTTTGGGTCTTGAAGCCAAGATCGATACATTTCCTCTACATAATTATTGTTTGTTCCATTGGCGAAAGGTTCCGCCGCTGAGCTCCTTTGTTCTTTTAAAGAAAGTCTTAAATGTCGATCACGCCATAAATTTTGGCAAAATAATCTTGCCACTTTACTTGTCCTGAACATTTTAAACTTGCCCTTGCTAAAGAACGTCCTTAGCTGTAAAATGATTCAAGTCTGTTTCCAAGTTCAAATATAACAAGTAAAAATTTCGCAACTCTGTCAACACGAAGAGCATTTGAAATAACGAATAATGATTGAATCACAATACTGAAGTTGCAAGCTACCATAAAATACTATTTCTCTAAAGTTTTGAACACCTTTTTATCATCTGTCCACAAATATTCAACAAAACATTCATAACGATCATGTTCTCTTGATGTCGCACTCCTCGACAATATAAATTAGTCTTTTTCATCCATCAAATAGATATGACGCTAACTTCTTATGACGTCACATTTGTCAAATTACCCCCAAATTACCTATGTTCATCTTGTGTCGTCATAATCATCACCAGAGGCATCACTATATTATTTTGGTATTATTTAAATATTATAATTTATGAATATTAAACACTATAAAAGGAAATTGCAACAAATTTTTGCTCAACAGTTTAAGTAAATAACTGTTAGCAGTAGAAACGCTGTTACAAGTTGAAAATGAAAGCTAGTGATGTAGTCATCTTCCGTCAAGTATGACGATTTTTTCGAACGTTCTTAATCGTCCCATTTATTTGTGACGCTCTGTTTGGCTTGTATGGTCTGTGGTTTTCGAACAGTGTTTCTTCCTCAGAGTCGATGTCTGTATCACTCACGATGCTTGAATTAATGAATTTATCTGAACAAAAAGATGAACATGAACATTATGAACATTAAATCACTTGTATAAAATATCGTTTTCAACACACCATATAATTCGATTGTTTCGTTGTTTATATCATCACCATCCTCATCTCCAATGATTGAATATTGCTGTTTTTTACGATGTCTTTTACTCCTTATAAATGTTAAGAAGATCAGATCATATATTTTTATTTCATCAAGATACAAATAATTGACTCTTACCTTCCAATACAGAAGCATACAGTCCATGTTACACCAACAATAACAACAATGACAGCAAACACTGTGACAGTCACATAAAGAATGCTCCAGTCTGACAAAATACATAAGATGGACAAATAAAACTCGTACATAAGTAAGAAACATAACAAGATTAAGACAACTTCTCTTTACACAACTTCAAGAACTCATCATAGTAAATTTGAGCATACCACAATTACTCTCCTTTACTCCAAATCTTGCTTTGAACGGATCTTGCATCCAAAAACTTTCACAAATGCATTGTTTTGTATGTTGATCACAGAACCCACGACCTGAACAGTTATTTCGACATACTACAGGAAATGAAAATATTCATAGTGAAATATAATAAATAATATTGAAAGGAATATATCAATAGCAGAGACTTTTATTGTCATCATACCGTATGGTTCAACTTCTTTCATCCTAAATTCAAAGTAGTTATCTCGCAACTGTTGTTTTAATATGTACGAAATTTCTTTACCATCTCGAGGCCGCTTGATCAGACTGTCTTTTACGTAGAATAGTACAACTAAACTGAAAAAAGTCTTCAAAGCAAGATTGTTGGAGTCTTCTTGTGTAAAGTCTTTAGAGTCTTGCCGTTTTTGAAAAATTTCTCATCAAACTTATCTCTTCTATTGTCGTAACGATTTTGCCTACTACATATAGAACAAGTCGAAGCGATAGGTTGAGGTCTAAAAGCGATTGAAGCTGATTACAAATGATTAATTGGCAAAAATTTTAGGAAAAAAACCAAAACTGTAGTTATGACAAAAAATTCATGAAGTCATATCATGTTTCGCAACATGTAAATCTTGAAAATTGTTTATTGAAAAGGGTGTAATTGCAGTATAACTATTCTTTCATTGTTCTAATCAAGAAATGAACACCTCGTACACTAAATCATAGTACGATGAGGTCCTTAGCATAATACCTACCTATTGCCACGTCCAGAAGGTTGAATATGTTCAATAACGATATCAGAGTCATCAACTTTCAGCGATACAGCAAGTTTCCTCACAAGTTGCCTCTGCATTTACAAGTTGTACGTCATGTAAAACATATGAAGAAAAGACCAGAATATTAAAATGTATCTTGATTGTCACTACATGTTCAACCTTGTTTTCCTCGGTAAATGATGTTACGTCTACGTCTAGATAAAGTTCCACCATGTTCTACCTTGTTTTCCTCGTAAACGATGTTACGTCTACGTCTAGATAAAGTTCTACATGTTCTACCTTGTTTTCCTCGTAAATGATGTTACGTCTACGTCTAGATAAAGTTCTACATGTTCTACCTTGTTTTCCTCGGTAAATGATGTTATGTCTACGTCTAGATAAAGTTCCACCATGTTCTACCTTGTTTTCCTTGTAAATGATGTTACGTCTACGTCCAGATAAAGTTCCACCATGTTCTACCTTGTTTTCCTCGGTAAATGATTTTACGTCTACGTCTAGATAAAGTTCTACATGTTCTACCTTGTTTTCCTCGGTAAAAGATGTTACGTCTACGTCTAGATAAAGTTCTACATGTTCAAAATGATGTTACGTCTACGTCTAGATATAGTTCTACATGTTCTACCTTGTTTTCCTCGAAAATGATGTTACGTCTACGTCTAGATAAAGTTCTACATGTTCTACCTTGCGTCTACGTCTAGATAAAGTTCCACCATGTTCAAAATGATGTTACGTCTACGTCTAGATAAAGTTCCACCATGTTCTACCTTGTTTTCCTCGTAAATGATGTTACGTCTACGTCTAGATAAAGTTCCACCATGTTCTACCTTGTTTTCCTCGTAAATGATGTTACGTCTACGTCTAGATAAAGTTCCACCATGTTCTACCTTGTTCCTCGTAAATGATGTTACGTCTACGTCTAGATAAAGTTCCACCAATGATGTTACGTCTACGTCAAGATAAAGTTCCACAATGTTCTACCTTGTTTTCCTCGGTAAATGATGTTACGTCTACGTCTAGATAAAGTTCCACCATGTTCTACCTTGTTTTCCTCGGTAAATGATGTTACGTCTACGTCTAGATAAAGTTCCACCAGGTTTGGACCGTTTTCGTCTTTGAATGAAAAAGTAGAAAACTTCCATCGTTAAGTTTACTGACTAAAATTAACATGAAATGGCAAATAACCCTTCACCTTCTTTGACGTAAATTTTGGCATCATCATGTGATTCTTTTCCTTTGCCATCTCGAACGGTTAAACGGAATTGATAAATACCTTTGACAAGATTAGACAGTCTCAATATAGCTTGATGATCACTGCCATTAATCACATCCTAATAATCATTTGAGCATAATTAACGTACATTTTTAACAGTAAAACCAAAATATCAGAAAATTTGAAATAAACAAAAAATATTTTCTGTCAATAGACTCAGCAGTTAACATTTAAACATACCCCCGCTGCGGGACTTTTTAAATCTCTACTCCAGATGTATGATATTATACCGTAGTCATCACTGGAACTTGAGCCATCCAGAGCAGCGGCACGATTTGGAAGTTTCACCACAATATCTGGTCCAGCAACAGCAGTAGGTGGTTTATTATCATCTACAATAGGAAGAAAATATATGATTTTTTAAGCTTACTACGAAACATTGATAAAAACATTACCTCGTTTAACAGTCACTGAAACTGTGTCTGTATCTGTTAGTCCTTTTGTATCTGTAACAGTCAACTTAAACACGTAATGTCCCTCTTTCAATTGAGAAAGATTGAGAATCATTTTGTCAACGCCAGACATGATTACTGAAGATGGACCGCTGCAATATCATGGCAAAAGAAATGAATAAAGACTTGAAACTTTTTAATGATTGAAAGCATTTGCAAATCAACCTCAACTTTTCCCATTTATAACTAGCAATCCCTTGATCATCGCTACTATCCTTCGCATTTAGCGTAGTGCTGTCGTCGGGAAACACGAGGTCTTTGTCATCCCCACCTTTGGCTACAGGAGGAGAATTTTGTTCGGGTCGAACTACAACCGTAACTCTACTGTCGGAAGTTTGACCACCAGAGTCTGTAACTCTAAGAGTAAAAGAGTAATCTCCTCCAACCATGTTAGATACATGTAGTATTGGACCAGAACTGCCCTTCAAATTTTTCAACATCGAAAATGAGGAAATGGATAGGAAATATTATTTTGAGAAAAACATGCTGTAAAGTTTCAAACCTGGAGATCACAGGCTGGACTTAACGGACTTTTGCTCCATTCATAAGACTTGATCCCCTATAAGAAAAACATACTCATCTTTTTGTACCTTTTTATTTCACTTGTAGATATAAACTTCCATATCAAAACTTACATGATCATCCGTGCTTCCATTTCCATATAAAGTAACAGAGTTTTCGGGTAGTGTAATGACGACATCATTTCCAGCTCGAGCAACTGGAGGATAATCTTTTTCTAAATAATGAAGTTTTTCATACTTTGTTCAACAAGACAATTTTTATATAAATGAATGCGTACGTGGTTAGTAAAATGGTTAAGATAAACTTATATCAAACGTACAGACATTTAATCTGGTACAACAACATTAATGTTTTAATACGTATAGTATGTTAAGGTACCTTCATTCACCGTAACGGTCGCAGTAGTGGAATCAGTATCACCATCAGAGTCTGTAACAGTTAGTCTATAAAAACATAACAATGTCACATACAAAATACAAATATGATAATATGACTTTCCATCTTTGTGATATCACTTTTGGTTACATTCCCACCCAGCACCTTCACGGCCACATCCCCTACCTGCCATATCCCTTCCTGCAACATCTCCCTTGGCCTCAATCTCTAATTTCAACATAAGTATTCCTATAGCAAACAATTCCCTGAAACTAACTTGTAAGTATATACTCCAGGTAAAAGAGATTTCAGCTGCAAAACTGGAGAATCAACTCCTGACTTTATTATCTTGCCATTTTTCTCTGTCAGTGGTCCTTTTAATTCTTGCCATTTATATTCCACAATTCTATCATCATCAGAACTCTCTAACAATTTCATAATGACATAGACAATGAAGTTTTCCAGTTAATACTTCGAGATCTTGAAACTCACTTGATCCATCTAAAACAACTTCGTTTGTAGGTAATGTTATCGTCTGTTCTTTGGGAGAAATGTCAGCACGCGGTGGCTTGTTCACTCGCTTTGCTTTGAAATAAAGGTACATATCATTCAAAAAAGAATTATACGTATGTATTAAAAGACACTGTATCATTTTCATACGTTGTTCCACTGTAATATTTACAAATGTTTTTCCATAAGCGTAATGTGCACTACGAACCACAACTCTTAATTGGTAAATACCAGGTTTATTCAACTACAACGAAAGAAAGTATTTTTATCTCATATAAGAAATAGGTGTAATGTGGTAAAAATGTTCGTAAAAGTTCATTATAATATGGTTGTTTTTATGTTCATTACCTGACTAAGTACAACTCTCTGAGCATTTTTGCCTTCCATGTAACCATGACTACCTTCTGGGGAAGAAATCTGCTGCCATTGATAACTATAAGGATGGTCTATAGAAACATTATCAATTTCCATCTTCTATAGAGAGGTAGATTTTTAATACAAATTGAAAAAAGTCCAAACCTTTATTTTCTTTGGGCCAGGCACTAGCATACAAGCTTGCCGTATCTTTAGGAAATTTAATAAGTGTATCCCCAACAATAGAAACTTGAAGATGAATAATTGAAACTAAACGAAAACAACAAGTTTATTTTCACGCATTAAAGTATTGCATTTTTTGTTTTTAACTTGTGCAATGAGATACAAATTTGTCAGAAAATCTATGTTGAGCAATAGTCTATCTACTAAGTTTCTACGTAAATCATGTTTCTAATTAGTACATCACTTTACACATTCTTTATAGCCCTTGACATCATGCATTAACCATTATGTATTAAGCATCATGCATAAACCATAATGTATTAACCAATAACCATCATCGCACATTAACCATTATCTTTCAATCATGATGCATTAACCATTATGTTTTAACCATAAACCATTATGTACCAAACATGAGGATTTCATTTACCTTTTGTGGGTTTGTTGTTCAAAGTTGATTTTGTCTGCATTACTTATGAAATAAAAAGTGATGATTAACATTATTGTTAACATAAAATAAATAACTGTAAGAAAAGAAACTTACATGTTGTTCCCTCCTTTAATTGAAATTCAACTTTGTCAGATGTGTTTTTAGCATTTACAACAGTTGGACTTTCACTTTTTAACAACACATTACTGCTACTATTGTTGATTCCGGCTTTAACTTCAGGAAAGATTGATACATTTGGTGAAGTGGAGGATTGCTCATTAAGAGATGAATTTAAATCACTGTATATACGATTAGGATGACTTGTAACAACTTCATGAGACTTATTGTTATCTAAATATAAAATGGGTAAAGTACAAATAATCATCTAGATGGAATGATGATTGTACCTACAAAGTTCTTTATAGTTTAAATGATACAATTGTCTTGAAAACGAAGAGTACCTTTTTTAACTGTCACATAAAAATTTGGATGATAAGCTGTTGTAATGGAAGGCAGAGTATTTTTTGTCAGTGAAATTGGTCCATTATATAAACCTACATTTTATCTGTTGCTGCTATGTGTATGATTTGATAGAATAATTTTCATTGGATTTATATCTACATCATTCTACATCAAAGCATAACTCAAAAGTCTGCTGCATAGGATATAAATCAACATTTCAGATTTTGGCTTCAAATTACCTTCATCAAAACCAAGTTCAATACAGTTGCTTCCTTTGGTCAAATTTTCACAATGTGGCATAATTTTGAAAAGAGGTGGATATCTTGTTGCAACTCTCCTTGCAAGATTGAAGTCATGCTTACAAACAACGTCATATAAATGGTTACAATCATCAATGCAAAGTTTAACAGGTTGTGGATCTGTTTTTGACACACAATAAGGAAAAGATGTCAAACAGAGTGCTGGTAGTGCATATGTCTTGCAATGATCTTTGAAACGACCTTCTATGACTGTGAATGGTCCAGAAAGACGCTTTTCAACCACATTTGGTGACTCAGTATAGTAGACTAATTTTTCAGAGTCCAAATATTTTGAGCATATACCACCAGAATATGGAAGACATGTGGCAAGCCTAGAAAATATCAATAAAGGCACAATCAAAATTACCTGATAGTATAAAATCATTTCAATTGATTAAATGTCTGGATTAATATCCCTATCACAAGTAATATAATTGCATACAACATACACATTTTTATGTTGGATAACAAAATTGCAGCTAATCTTTATGACTGATTATTAAAAGCTATTCCAAAGATACAGTAAAAGAAAAATATTTTGCTCAGTGTTACCTTTTCTCCCTTTTTGTTCCATCACTTGTGTTGTCTGGACCTGTAAATCTAAAGTGATAAAGCAACATAGAAAAACCACATATTTATAAATCATAAAAGTAAGGGTGAAAGCACTTGTGGATATGCTTACAAGATCGATTGAACTCTTCTATTGGAAATGCTTCCTAAAAATAAACAGACATAAGATAATATCAACACATGAAAAAAATGCACAAGTTAATTTGGTAAAGTTGGTTTTGCATAACTTTGTTAATACCATACCATGAGCCATTCTACACAAGTAGTAAAAGTCACCAATAAGATACATATGCCAATTTGAAACTATTTTAAAATTAGTGCATTTAAATCAAGAAAATTAATAATTTTATAAAATGTAAAACAATAAGAATAAAGCATTTTATTAATAATTCATAACATTATAATGATGGTTTATAAGCATTGTGAAACTATAGTAAATGTAAACAGAGAATTTCAAATCAAATAAACTTCATTTGGTCAAAATATCTAAAGACTTAAAACTTTATGAGAAGTGCTGACAACTTCCTCAGATAAATGTCCATGATAATGAATAAACAAATTTATTTCAAATATACAGCTGACAAGTCACAATTTTACTGCTAAAATATAAACCAATCCATTAATACATATTTTTTATCTTCCAATTTTGTAAAAACATCCAGAACTTGCTCGTCTTGGAAAATAATGTCAGGTTAATGTTTCTCACTTTCTCTACGTCTTTAGGACCGTTATGTTGCTGAGTATCTGACAATTGACAAGACAGGCACAACCTTTCTTTTTTTTAATATTACCATATGATTCAGAAATATAGTTTACATAAAGAAAAAATATAGCAATATAATTCTTTAACAGAAAAGAAAGTTCTACAATTACCTGTTTGTGATAATTTAATTGATAGCAAAAATAAAACACGAAGTAGCCCAACGTTCCATTGCCAATACATTCCCGTTTTTGCATGATTATGCATTAAAAATTGCATAATTCTTTCTATGAAGCTTTTTCCATTTCATATTACCATTTGGCCACTCATATCTTATCAAAAAAGGATTTATATTAAGAAGTAGCAACATTCTAAATGAAAATACTAAGCTTTAAGAAGAACACATGATGACGTAGCCTAGTTAGCGGAAGTAAACTCTCTAATTTGTGATTGGCTAAATAAAATAATATCGACTAGTGTTTTTAAAAGCTTTTATTCATTTCTTTTTTAGTTTTCGCTCATGAGACATTCAAAGAAATTTTTCAAGTATTTTGATGAAAAACAGCATTAATTTAAGAATTCATTATGGCGGCGTTCTCTAATGAAGTAAAGTCTTGGCTAATTGAAAAATATGCCAAACATGTTCATTCTAAAATGAATGATATTTCAAAAACAATTGAAGGAAAGCCCTCAAGTGTTTTCAAAACTGAACAATGGAAGGTTAATATATGTTGTTTTCACATTCCCATTTGGACTGACATACCTCATTGTTTCTTCATTTTCTTTGCAGCAATTGACATCTCCATTAGACGATGGGGATGTTTTACAGCTTACCTTAATAGAAAGAAAACATTTAATGCTAAGTTGTGGAACTCAAATCAGAGTAAATACATCTATGAAAGCCTCAAGCCAATCGTGTGATTTTCTTCTAGTTCTTATTTGCTACTAGTTTTCTTATATTTCAGGAAAGTTTTGCTCTCATCGAAACGGAACAATGGTTGAAGACATATTGCAAGGGAGACAGTGTATTATTTGTTATAAAGGAAGACGTTAGTTTAAAAAAATTTTAGCCGTTTCTTTTGTTTATAAATATTTCAGTAATAAATTTTATAGGTCATTACACAAGGATCTTAAATAAACACTTACTTTCCTCTGTCTAGTTCAACGACAAAAATCTATTAATGTTTCTACTGTTTAACAGGATGGTTATAGAAGATTTAGAATAAAGTTTGCAAAAACTGGAGTAAAGACAAGCTTCGAAAATTGCCAGGAGTTCTTAGACACAGCTTCAACAATATTTTCTGTGAAGACATTCCACCAAAATTATGACATACAGCAAAACTCGCAAACTAGTGAAGAATTACAGATTAATCACCCATTGATTAAAAAAGGATCTAGTTTGCCTGTAATAGCAGAAAAGGTGAACAAAATAAGTTATATATTAACATCCATTCGATTAATTTCCTTTCATGCGGTCTTTGTGTCATTATTTTACGTAGATTATGTCAAATAATGAGCTATTTCCTCATGTTCAATCTGTGTCCACCAATCTCCCGATGACAAATTTATCGACGCTCATTGAACTTTGTCTCACTGACTCTGGGTTTCCGGACTTTGTTGAAAAAGTTGAAGAAGAACTGAAACATATGACTGCAGAAAAACAGGCATGAACATTACAGCAAACTGAGCTTGTCATTTATTGTACACAAAAAGTTATTTTATCAAATACTATGTTGCTTTATTACATTCCACAAACGTAACTCTTATTTTTTTCCAAAGTCAGAACACTGTGCAGCAAAAAACATAATATTTATAAATGCTCGATTTTCTCTCATCCAAAAAGTTCTTTTATCAAAAAACAGCTTCATAAATTTTGCATAGTTTTTTCAGCCTTTTTATTCAAAGCGTTCATCAGGTCAATGTGATTTTTGTTATTAAAATTATCACATGAAACTCGCTCATCAGTTGATGATAAGTTGTCAAATTCTGCTCTATTTTTCTTGTACTCCTCTAAAGATGACAAGTCTTCTTCAGATTCACTTTGGCTTAGAAACAAAGGACCGTTGTTTGTGAAAAGTCCTGAAAATTAAGACATTTCAGTAAATGTTTAGAAACGTATTGAAACTTTCTGTTCTTCTGTATCTTATACCTCACAAAACATGATAGCTCTCACCTAAATTGTGTAGTTCGTTTTCTTGGTCATTCCATGAAGAGTATATGTTTAGATCGCGAAGTAATTCACTGTCTTTGCCAATTGTAGAGAGACGATCCTTTCCTTTGCTCAAGGGACTACTATTGTAGGAGGAGTGAATGAATTATGCCGACAATATCATAAAGATAGCAAAAAGAAAATACATTAAAACACACCAACCTTGTTCTCATACATAAGAAAATTGCCCACATTACACCAACAATACTGATAATCATAGCAAAAGATCCCACGAAGATATAAATCAAACTATAATCTGAAAGAAAATATCAAACAAGTAGAAATAATTTTTCCTTTTTATGCCAATATAGTCCGTTACAAAGAAGTTATAGACATAAGATTACCATTTATAAGATCGTTATCTGAAGATTTTCTAGGATTAGATATAAATGCAATCTGAGAAGTCGTTCTTGGACCCCCAAGCACAGGAACAGGTACACATAGGTCAGAGTTAGCACAGTCTCCAATATAGCATACTTCATTTAGCATGAGAGCCAAATTGCAGTTGTCTTCGTTGCAACATATTGCTGCACAGTTTTCGATACTATCAACTTGGGAAATAACAGAAAAGTTACCGGCGCGCAAGCCACCTTTCAATGTGTGATTATGAAGGATGTGACTTCGAGAGCATTTTGGGTACATTTTGTTGTCTGATTGATCCAGAGTAACATCTAAATATTCATGTTAAATACATATGTGTTGCATGTCTGAAATGAAACACAACAAAAAAGTGAATTTCGTAAAGGTTTTATTTACCAAACCTGTCTCGTTTATTGTAGAGCCCCATTTCAGATATGCAACGCGGGAAAAGAACTTGGATGGTTGAGCAGGGATCGTTTTACAAACTCTTTCATTAACACATTTCACCGTATAGCAGTTTTTCTGAAGCATCAACACCAAATCACCCTGACCGTAATCACATGACATCCCAATACATTCTTGCATATTACTAGCTTTTCCCAGCGATGTAATGTTAGCTGCTTTCATACCACCGATCAATGTTACATTATGGAAGATTTTTTCAGCTGAACATGCGCTTGTTTTCAGAATTGTAGGAGCTGGTAAACGATAGCTTACTATCTTATGTGTGTTTGCAGAGGAGACTGTTTGACGTTCTAAAAATGATATTTAGTTAGTGTAACAAACAATTCAAAGATAAAATAAAACAATATGTATAGTAAGACAATAAACCTGATACTGTTTTGTCTTTATGTCCTATTTTAAGACCAAGATGAGACGTAAATCCAGCTGCTCTATTGGGAAGTTTAACTGGTTTACACTTGTCCAAGCAAGTGCCAATGTAACAAATACCATTAAAAGTAACAGCTAACTCACAGCTCCTCTTATTGCAACATGCCATTGTACAGTTGAAAATATCATTCACTCCTTCAATCATGGTGAAATTCCCAGAATTTATGCCTCCTTTGAGAAAATGATTTTTTAAAATTACTTTGCTGGAGCATAAAGTTCTTTTCATTTCCGTCGCTGTTTTCTCATCAATCCCTTCCATTAAATAAATGATAATTATGGCTGAGAAATAATCATCACGAAAATTGCCTTCCTCACTTACCGTTGTAATTAAGCTGAGATTTTGGTTTTTTCAAGTACGCTAATTGCGACGTTATACCTTTTAAAGCCAGTGGAATTGTCTCACATCGTTTAAAACGTGAGCACATAATGACGTAGCATTTACCAGCCAATAGAAGAGCGGTATTTCCGCCAATATGTTTGCAACATAGATCTATGCATTTCTTCATAGTATGGACTTCACCCAAAAGTTTAGTGCTCTCACCATCCAAGCCATGACGTAATGTAACATTGAATGCTGCCATAGTAACACTACAAGTGTGGGGATTTTTTGTGACTGTGATCTTTTGCAATTTTGGTTTAGGTCGCTGTGCTTGCATGAAAGATGGAGAGGATGGTTGACCAAATGCAATATTTGCTGAAAAAATATTTGAGGTAAAATTCTGTTATCGCTGAGTTTGCAATGCGAGTTGCTTAATCTCCTTTCCAAGTGTATAAAACAATAGAAAGAACAAAGTAATTTGTGCCTTCGAAATAAAGTCGAAATATTGAAGTACAATATCTTCCTAACGTTTCATACAACCCACATGAAGCAAAGCTTGCGTTCACAAGATGAATCTTTTGGATTGATTTATTTTGTTGAATAAAATTATCATTACTCCATACCTTTTCTTATATTTTGATTGATTTCCCTACGTCTTATGTATGAGATCTTTGGATTCAACTTGTTTGGTCTTGCCCTTAAAGTTTGACACATCTCCTCACTAAGGCATTCAACAGCAATACATGTATTTTGAATCATGAAAGCAAGATCACATGTAGGTTTAGCACAACAAAGAGCTGTGCACATGTGCATTGATTCAACATCACCAAGGTTGGTAAAATTGCCAGCATTTCTTCCGCCACGTAAAGTAACATTTGTTGTAAATGGACTGTGTGTGCACAATAATTCATCATCATGTGATGACATACGAAACGTCTGAGAATCTGTAAAAGTAGGTTTGTGAATAATAATAGATAATAATGTCATAAGGACTCATTAATTTGGACGTAAAACTCACCATCATTTAATGACTTTCTCACAAGTTTCACAAGCCTTGAAGCAATCTTACGTCTTCCTCTCAACGAAATCAGTCGACAATTGTAGCGCTTTTGACATCTAATTTTATAGCAATGATTTGCTAACATGTAAGCAAAGTCACAGTTATGTGAGCCACAACACATTTGTACACATTCTTCAATATTATTGACCACTCCAAGATGCTCTAAATGTTCCTTGGTAAATCTTGTCTGTGGAATAACACCGTGCAAAACCGAGGTATATGAGCACTTAAGTCGAGATGTTTGTCTTTCAGTTCTATGGATAAGTTCATGGACGTCTTAAAAAGAAGGCAGTATTGTTAAAACACACAACCATGTGGATAATATATTGTCAATACTCTTTCACTACTCTGTGTACAGTAAATGCAATGAATTGGACGATAACATGTTTTTTATAGTATAGATGAGTCCCAACTATTTTCATCATAACATCTGAACGTTTACCTTCGCCAAACAAGCAACGTACAAAAAATAACAATGACATAAATCGAATCGAACAATCCATGACTTGCAAGCAAAAATTAACATGAAATAGTTTAAAATTAAAATAACTTTTCAAAGCAACCCTTGCTTCCCGTTTCTTGTACTTTAAACATTAGTGACAAGGCAGTCTTTTGTTACGTACAGCTAAACTTATCATTTTATTTAAATTCAACATCTATTCATTTGTAAACGCAGCTAGAAAGAACATGTACTTGCAGAACAACAGCCAATCAGAGAACATGCATTTTACAATACTAGCTGGTTTCTTCTACCAGCTTAAAAACAGGTTTTGATGGCAAACTATAAATTTGCTCGGCGCACATTCTTTATTCCATGATGTTTGAGAAAGAATGTACAATTTTGAATTAGACTTCCATACAAACCACTAAAAACAGTTTGATTTAATTCCTGAGGACACAGAAACGGCGGCTACTTACTCCAAATAAATTGTTCTTTAATTTGTACAGATGGAAACATTCTTAAAATGAAACAGCATTTACATCAGAAACTCAAACCTTGCTTCAAAATTTCCTGTAACTAATATAGTTGTATCAAAAATTCTAAACACCTGCTTATATCATTCAATCCACGAGGTTTAAAGCAATATAAAATTTAATAATTAATGACCACGTGTGCCGAATTCAAAGCTCTTCAAAGGCTGTTTTTAATATGTTGATGTATGCCAATTCATGCAAGTCAGGTAAAATTTTGACATTTCATGGTTGATTTGGTTTTTAAAACATGAAAAAAACAAAAAGTGGACTTTTCAAAACTTTCTACTATATGACAACTATTTTCGCCTTACTGGCCCTTACATGACGTACTTCCACTTACACGTAATGATATTTTTTAGATAAAAGTTCTTTTAACGTAATTTGTGTTTTGAAGTTACTCGCTCAATAGATAGACAATTGACACATGGCTACAATAACTGAAGAAAGCTTAATGATTACAAAAGAAGAGCCCAAAATATATCAAACATCAACCTCCATAGAAAGCAGTGAAAGAGAAATGAGGGTTTTGATGAGCGAACACTGGAAAAAACATTGACATCCACGATAATGTTTAAGGAAACAGTAGGAAAACAAGAAGAGTTGCTGAATGAAGGATTTTCAGATGAAGTATCTGACAATGTCTTTAACGCAACTGAATGTCTCAAGTTTGCAGGAAAATTTTATAAGGTTTTTATTCAGTAGTAATTCAGGAAAAATACTTTATTATTTTAATGCACATTTATTTTTAGATTGTAGAAGAATTGCGCGTTGCAAGAGTGAGTATTGCTGTTTGTATTAGCCATTCAATATTCAATGTATGAACACATAATTAAAATGTTGTACTTATTTTAGATAAACGAAAAAGAGACCGAATTGAGAATACAAAGCTTAATGAAAGATAAAAATGATTCAGAACGAATGAAGGTTTACGATTTATAATTATTTTGCCCGGATCTTGATTAGAAAGTGTAAAAAAATCAATAATAGTAAAAGTATTATTCAAATCAAACGAGGGAAAAATTCCATTGTCAAAACATAATTGTAGAAAAAATCTTAAGGAAATCTTCAAGGGAAACTTAACTTCCTCAAAACAAATGAGAAAATTCGTCATCAATTCTTGAATGTTTGACATAATATAATTTTTAGGATGAAGAAATTTGTGCAAAACAAGAACTTATAAAGCAGCATTTATCTGATAGAGAGAACATGAAAAAAAAAGTATATAATATTCTTTAAAATTATCGATGACAGATCAAGATTTTCTTGTATTAATGTATTTGTTTTTTGTCAGTATGACGATAAGCTGGAGTGTTTTGAAAAAGACAAGGTACAAACAGTTATAAAAGAACAGTACAAAGTATGGGTAGCTAAAAATTAAACAAAATTTTAATAAACGTTTTTCTTCAAGGCTAAATACATGGTAGAAAGACAGTGTGTGGAACAAGAGACCAGAGCATTAAAAGATGAAATAAGATTCTTACACGTAAGAAAATGAAAACACACAGTTACTCAATGTGAAATTTTAGCCGTCCTTATCTTTGACTAGCATCAAATCGTGGATTGATGCGATCATAAAAATAAAATGATCGAATTCTATTTCATTAGAATTGAAAATGTGAGGACTGATTCGGTGTAAGTTAGATCTAGGTATCCAAGCCATAGGAAATGTTCCACTGTACATCTAATACATAATTGTACATGTTGTTTGTATAGATCAACAAATACAACATGGAGAAAATAATCAAAGACAAGGTAAGACATTTATTTTTGCTAGCTACAAACACCACTGTCACTGTTCTTATTTCTACCTACGCATATGTCTCCTGGTTTGAAGGAACGAGATATACAGAAACATAAAATTTCGGATGAAAATTATCTGAGTCAATTATCTAAAGTGGAAGAGCAATGTAAAGATGTGATGAAACAATGTTCAGAAGTTGTGTGTACTTTGGCAATCGTTGAAACAAACAGTAAATTGCAACACTATAGTCGTTCAATTTCTTGAATTACGTCATTTACTTATACGTTTTGCTTCGTTGTGACTAGTGGATGAAGCAAAAAAACAACATAAAAATTTGAAGTTCATCAACGATCACCAGAACTGCTTATTGTTGTCATATAAATCAATGCTTGAAAATGCGAAAAAAGATTTGATCCTCTCTCAAGCGATGGCAACGTCCTCGAAGAGTATAATATTAGACGATACCACAAAAGAGAAAATTGTTTGGATGGAGCGCCAGTTGGCAGGGGTTCGTAGAATCATTTTGTTCTTATGTATAACACACAAAGCAATAAAATGGCATTTTCATTATAGCTCAAAGATATTTGCAAACAGACAAATGAAGAACTCAATGTTTCCAGAGAAGAAAATCAAGTAAGAAGTGTTTACTTTGTCACTTTTTTATAATCAACATGCACTCATAAGTGATGGTGTTCTGTAGAAATTATTGAAGAGTTTGGAGAAAGCACATATATTAGTGTCAAAACACGTAGAAACAATCAAAATCTTGTCCGATAATGACAGGGCAATGCAGCAAGAGATAAATGATATTAGAACGGATTGTGAGAGGTATCGTGAAGACTTGGAAAGCACGAAAATGATCGTGGTGAAAAAAGATGCAATACTTAAGGAACTGAAGAATAATGCTGAAGAAAAGGTATAAACATTTCGTAACTGATGGCTTCATATTGTTTAAAATGATATTAAATAACTCCACATTTAGAAACAGCTACAAATTATAAAGGAATGTTTATAATACATGAGCTATGAAAGATGACAATATTATAAATGTTTAAAACATCAACAGGAGAAAGCTTTATTGGTGAAGACAGGCGAATTGATAGAAAATAACAAGAGTTTATTGAGAGAAAAAGAAGAACAGAATTCAATGTGGTTGCTTAAGATTGATGAAAAAACAACTGAAATTGGTTACCTGAAAAATGAAGTACATGGAATTCAAACTATATTAGACGAAACAAGAGTCATGTTACAAATGAAAACTGAAGAAATAGAAACACTCAAAAACAATCTTAATACTAAGGTAAAACTCTGATACTGTCATACTTTGAATTTTTTACACTACTCCTTGTATGAAATGTTAATATAGGTAGGGAAACAAACAGTTATTGCTTCAGAAGCAGAAAATCGTGAGATGAGAATAGTTGACGAAGTAACAAAACTTCACGAGACAATAAATCAGATCAATGTCGACAGGGAAAAGCTGAGAAACAAACTTGAAGTTTTAAAGACTAAAAAAGAGCATTCAAGTAAAGCTATTCAAACAGAGGTATTGAAATGCATAATGACACAGTATAATTTGGCATAACAAGTAACGAACACTTTTGAAATCTATTTAGGAAATTAAAAAAATGGACAGAGCCCCAAAAAACACAAATGATGAAAGTTTTGAAGAAGTAAATAAAAATGCTTGTACAGTTGTAATGCACAGGAAGCAAACTCCTTTAATGAAACTTCAACTCGGGACAAGATAGCTTTATCAACAAAAAAAAAACGTGTGCTTGAGAATGATGTCGGGGAAAGAGATTGTGTAATTGCTGAGGTCGACGCTCAAAATAAGATAGAAGATGATAAAATAATCTCTAATAGTGTTCACTTTAGTGAAACCAGTAACAAAGAGGAAAGTTTGACCATTTCAACTCAAAATAGTTACAGCAAATTTTCACTAAATCCCATTTTATCAACTGAGTCGATAAACAACGAGTCAATATATCAAGAAAAGTATTTACCTTTATCAACAGCAAGAGAATCAACCACAACATCCTCAATGCATTGTGTTTCACAAGAATTTACAAAATCGGCTGTAAAAGAAAAAGCTGATCATGTGAAACCAATTTATATCCACTCATCAAATGAAACAAATAAAACAGAAAAAGAAAAGAGAAGAGAAATTAAATATGAGACCTCACTTAGCAAAAGCGTTTTTACAGATGATCAAAATACCTTGCAAGATGAATCAGTTGGAGAGAGCAACAAATGTTCAAGAAATGACGGATTCTCTGAAGATAAACACGTCAACATTTCTCATATCATGGGTAGTAATGAAGTTGATCGCGTTGAAATGTTTCTAACCAAGGAAAGATTAAAGTTAAAACGAAAAGCAGATCCATGATGCACGCCTTTAGGTACAGCTGTTTTTGCGTTCTTTGATATTTTTAAAAAACATGAAATGTGTTGACTTGTTGTAATTTTGTGATGTTATTTTAGGATATATCAAATATCTTTCGATTAAATTAATTACATACCTTTTCATCAGTTTCTTCCTCATTCTTCTTGTTTTCTTCGAAGGACATGCCAACTAGAGTAAAGAATTTTTAAAATTATTTTTAAAATTAGAATATTTGGGAGAGAAGGAACTTCGTATTTTCAAATCGGGAAGATTTTTAATTTCTTATTTTATAGTTTTGAGCATGTATGGTCGTTTCAACACATTTCAATAAATAACTTATTTTAATCGCAATTTGCGACAGTAAACAGTTTGTTCTTTGCGTTCACAAACTGGAAAAGTTGAATACGCTTTAAAAACCTTTCCTAGCAGACAATTAATGACAAAAAAATAATGCAAAACACGTATAATAGCTTTAAAGTAATGCTTTGACTTTATTTCAAAATCATTATCAAGATACGTTTTATAAGCACTTAACCACTTAACTCAAAGAAGATATACATGTATTCGGATTTAACATAACAGCAATAAAACGAGAAATTCCTGAAATCAAAGCCTACTTAACTTAAGTTAATTGTGTGAAACAATCATTAAATTTCTTTTGTTAAGTGTTTTGATTATTTAAATTATATGCAACTATTGAGTTTTGAAGTATGTAAACAATTTTTGAGATTGCTCTTAAATAATGAAAGAAAGTCAAATCTGGTGAAGAAAACTCGAATATCGATGACATAAAGGTTTGTATTGTAGATTAATAAACATTTGATAAACACTTTTAATAAAGTAAAATACTAATAACTCGAGCAAATGAACGCAATTTATTGCGGAGCAACACATAGCAAGTATAATTGTTTGTATAAATATATATAAATGATAAAGATAAGAACCATTGGTAAAATAAGTGCTTGCTTTATACCAATGTCCTCAGTCATGTAAAGCAATAACAGCAGTATGCATCCATAAGTCTCATTCTTGGTTCAGTTTATTTAATTTTATTATAAATTTGTTTCCTATGATAAGTAGCACTCGGCTGAAAATATATATTATGGATAAATTTACTCATCTATTTCCTCTTGGGTTTTCATTTCATAAAATAAATTGAAAAACAAAATAAAGTTGAATATAGAACATGAATAAGTTGCGTGACAATGGAATTAAAACATCGCTCGTTTAATCCAATGCACACAAACAAAGGGTCCATTGAATATTATGTCGCCATAGAGTAAGTATAGTGTTTACATTGCATAAAAAGATGTTTCTGTAAAGATGTATGAATTAGGTTTTTTGAAGACGAAAAATTCGCTAAAGAGTATGATACTAATTTTAACCATTTCAGTTTAATCCCCCAAACCTCGGAAAAACTGAGGTTAAAAGTCAGAAGATTCTTTTAAGTTCAATAAAATATTTATAGCACATATTTAAAATTCATAAGATTAAACAAACACAATATGATATATGTATCGACAAGAGTCGCGACATCCAACGAAAATATTTTTAAAAATATTCCCATTTCGCATAAACCAACAAGGAGACAAATCCTTTGACATTAAATTACAATATTAATCCGTTGTTTTATCCTTATAAGAAATAGTTTGTCTCATAATTTGATGGATATATCCATCATTGTACGCCTACACCTTGGTTGTCGTATGGTATACAGCATATTTGTTTGTTGTTTTTTTGCATCTAGAAGTGCGATACATTAATAGGAAATATGTTATAAATTTCATGGATATACTGGCTTTTCATGTGATGATGCTTTGACGTAAAATTTAGGTAATTTTAAACCTTTTGATTTGGTGATATGACATTTCTAGAATTTTTCCTGGTATATTCTACAATGCAGGTAAAATTGTCTATTTTAATTTATATGGATAAAATCCATTTTCAATCGCTGAAGAATTTGATAGAGAAACAAGACTTAACAACTTCTGCTACTGCTTAGCAACAGGATTTTTTCATTAAGAAAGACTGTAGTGAAATTGTATGTGGTAGTTCGAAGTTTAAAATTATTTCCAAGTATTTTGCATAATTAAAAATACGGCATTTAGTCGTGTCGTATACAGTGATTTAACTAGATTTTATTGTCAACGAAAGTTATTCTTGAAAGTAAAAAAATCACAATATTCGACAAAAATAAGCTAAACAACAGAAATATGTCAAACGTCAGCCGTTGTTGGCTCCAAGAGTCACAGACATAACTATACGTGCCTACAGACTAGCTGTATAGCGGGATATTTATTTATTGACTAAATATGATAGATAGTTGTGTGATTATATGCATTAACTTTTTTCTCATTTTTAGAAATGAATGGTTTTCTTTATATGATCACCATGATCATGTTCTTTTTGTATCTTATTTTTGAGTCATGGTGTATGTGGAAATAATAAAGAGATACCTCCAGAAAAATGCTACATTTTTCACATCAATATAAGAACGAACTGTGAAAAAAATGAAGGAAAACCGACAGATGATGATATCGAGAAAGTAAAAAGTATTCTTACTTCAGATTTTGATAAAACTGACATGGAACTAACATGTAAGACCTCTACGGTGACAAAGGAAAAAATTCGTTTTCAAAATGTTGCTCCGTGCCATTTAAATTTGTCTTTTATAATTGAACCAAAAGGATCAAAAAATTTAGCGTACAACTGCGGACAAAATATGTTACATCAGGTAAAAAAAGTTCAATGTTCTATTCACGTTGAAAATAAAAAATAGCAATTCAACTTCGAATTTATAACGGCTTGTTTTTCGTTCTAGGGTTTGCCAAAAGCTTTCCAAAGTTTGGTTGCAATACCAGTAACTTCCAAGGATTATAGAATAAAAAGTGATTCCTGTTGTGAAAAAGAAGATTTTACTGAGAAACCTTGCTGCAGGAAAGGCTACACACTAAAAAATGAAAGTTGTGGTGAGTTTCTACTAAAACAATTTGAAGAAGAGAAAAGTCTAATGATTAATGTTTGTTTTCCAGTGAAAGATTGTTCTACAACAGGCGAAACAAATTTGATGACAAGAGAGCCTGATGACGACTGTCCAAGTAATTGTTAAACTTTATGGATAGTTTGCCAGCCTGTATGAAAGGCAGTTTTCCAATATATATTAACAGTAATGGTATCGATGTTTTCTATGCCTTTAGAAACATCTAAAATTTCACTCGGTGTTAAAATAGCAGTTGGTGTCAGCGGTTTTCTTGTACTGGTGTGTATTGTCTTGGCGGGTATTTGTGCAAGGAAGTATCACAATACGAGGCGCAAAGATGAAAACGATTTAGAAACTAACGTTGATACATCTACGGTAGGAAAATAGACACAAAACTTGAGAAATTATAAATATATTACTGAATAAGCAATGAAAAGTTTGGTTTATAAAACTTTAGAATGGAGAGAACCAAAATGAAGATTCAAATAATCAATCTTTGGAATATATGGAGATGAATTCGCCTCGTCAACGTCGTCCTATATCTCATTCGGAATTATGTTTCACTTTAAAAAGATATATTCCAAAAAGCGATATACAATTTACTAAAAAGACACTCGGACGTGGTCAATTTGGGCAAGTGGAGCATGCTTATGTTAAAATAGACAATACTCAAATGCAATGTGCGATTAAAATGATACGAGGTACATGAAACAATATGAGCATCTGTACTTTGTCATTTTATACAACACTGAAATTTTCTCAAAGGTCGAGGAACTGATGATGATCAAAAAGCACTTTTTGATGAGCTGGAAATACTGAACGAAATCACACATGAAAATGTAGTCAGTCTTCTTGGAGCATGCGTAGATGAAAATAGTAAAGTTTTCTTCAATGATATGAATTGCAAGTAACATTGTACATAGTTAATGAAAACCAACTATCATTTGTCTTTAAAGGTCCTCTATATGTGGTGATGGAGTATTGTGAAAAGGGAAATCTACTCAAGTATCTTCAACATCATAAGTACAGCTCAAACACTTATGTAAATTATGACGTTGAAACTTTGGATTTTCGATGGAAAATCCGTAGAGCGATAGAGATATGCAAAGGAATGATTTTCTTGTCCCAGAAAAAGGTATTCAAAGCCAGCTTCTCACTTGATCCATGTTTTGATTGAATAGCTAATCTTCGAACCAAGCAACAAGAATGACATTTCTAAAAAGTATTCATTTGGATAATATTTCTTACCCTTAGATTGTTCACCGTGATCTTGCTGCCAGAAATATTTTACTTAACAATGACGAAGTAGCAAAAATTTCCGACTTTGGTTTGGCGAGAGATGTTTATCTTAGACGACAGTACCATAGAACAAAAGCGGTGTGAAAATCGTACTTAAAAACAAAAGTCATTTATAAAAGTGAAAGATAAATTTCTCCCCATTGTTTTACTCCTGTAGGGTTTTCTTCCACTGAGGTGGATGGCGATCGAGGCTCTAGAATCGTCAGTTTATACCACGAAAAGCGACGTGTAAGTTCAATGTAACAGTAACTAATTAAATCTGTTGAAAACATCAAAACATTTTTTAATTATTTCAATTTGAACATATAGATGGTCATTCGCTATTTTACTTTGGGAGTTGTTCATGGACGGTATGTACACGTTTGAAATATTCGGAATCCTGCAAACGGCATTTTAAAAACATCCTTTTTGAATGAAGTTACAAAATACAAAACATACTTCTCTTCTGCTTTTTTAAGGCCAAACCCCTTACCCGAAAGTAGCTGACAACAACATCTTGCTGGAGGAATATTTGAAGACAGGATACAGAATGCCACAACCTGAAAATTGTCCCGATTCTTAGTAAGTGAAGAGCCCAGAAAAGCAATGAGCGTAGCTTTTGCTATCACCAGCATTTTTAACGATGAGTATAAACCCATAGCAAAAGTCTACTTAAAACTTTCCTAAAATGAACGTTTTTAAATCTTTACGTAAACAGAAGGAATTCAGCTCTTTTAGCGCTTCTAAAAGTCAAACATAATAGCAGCTGCATATTAACATCAATAAAAGTTTTTTATTTTCAGTTTTAATATCAATTACTACTTACAGCTACAATTTAATGGAGAAATGTTGGTTACCACACCCAGATGGTCGACCGAGTTTTGCCCAAGCATTGAGAACATTAAATATTATCGAAGAAGAAGAAATGGTTGGAGGATCTTTTGTTTATTTGCTTACTTTTTTAACACTACAATTAAGTAATCACTGCATGTTTATATTACAGCGACGTGAATCACAGTCAAGTCGAATGACTGAGATTAGTGACATGGATTTGTCTGTCAATATAAACGAAGAAGAGAGAAACAATGAAGAGAGACAAGCAGTTGACAAACTACCACGAGAGACTGTTGTTGAGCTGGGTATTGTCAATCAAGGGCGTGACACAAACAGTGACAATCAAATGGACACAATGGACAAAAGTCACTGTTGATAAAAAAACAACAACAAATATACCCGTTCTTAGATGGCAGATACCGAGTCCACACAGAATAAAAGAATTTCATAAAAGTACTGCTGTTCTTTATTGGTATTATTGTATGTGCATAAATTGAGAAAAACTACTTAAATATAGGTTGTGTTTTTCGAATGACATAAGCAAATGTTTTGCAATTTAAATGTGACACAAGAATGATTATAAATATTTTAATTTTGTGAACAGCTTTTTTAATAGTATCACACACGCGTTGTTTGACTTTGAGAATCAGCAGAAAGCAAAGTCTTTTTGCAAGTGATGTTGGCTGAACGAGCTGAAGAGGACAAGTTTTGGTAAATTGGTTTGATATTCTTTGCGATATTTTTTAACAGCTATAAATCATTACACTCGTTCTCCCATTATCTTTATTCAAATGCTTATTTTAACTACTTCTGACTTCGTTGTTTTTCATTATGAAAATGAAAGACTTTATCAATAACAAAGAATTCTTTTCATGCAATAACAATTTAAGAAATATGTAAATACTTATATATAATCCAACGGCTACCGTTAAAATTTCCAATCCTTATGATCTGATGATTGGTGGTTGGTCAAAAGGAATCGTTGAAATAGCATAGAAAATATTCAAACTTTTGGATGTGTATATATAACGTAACAGTTCGCGAAAACGAACAAACGTCTTTGTGTTATCATATTAATTATGATCATCAACGTTGCAATAAAACTATAAATTTGATTTATAAAGTTCCATCCTTAAATTATATTTTACTAGATAAGAAAACTATTTGTTCTGTCATAAACATGCTAGTTCTAAGTATGAATTTCGCCAAACGTTACCAAAAGATTTGTGAATATAAAGAAGGTCTTGTTTTCAGTCGGAACTTCCTACTCAACTCAAGAATTTTAACTGATAAATGTGTCTTCCCGCAAAGCCTAACCCCTTACTTACTAGGCAACCATTTGACTTTATAATGTCGTAACGGAAGTGTTTTTTATATAGTGAAAGATCATTGCATTCATTTCTCCCATTTATCTCCTTATCCAATGATGCTGTTTCAAAAGCATAGAGTTTTCATTCTTATTGAAGTAAAGACTCAATGAGACAACTTCATTTGAATAAAATATCGATAAGAAATCTTGAAGAAATATTATACGTTAAGTTGTTCGGTAAAGAACTTCAATGTAACTTATACGATTAGGATCTTATAAAGGCGCTCTCCTGTGGTAAAACAAGCGATGAACAGGTAAGACCACTAAATTATATTATTCCCAATTGTAGCAATTTATTATATACGATGATTCATTGTCAGCGAGTATTATATTATTTGTGACTATATTATTTATTCCTTTAACAGCAATACTTGAGAAACGAAATGCTACCAAAATGGTTGCATACGATTCTCAATAATTAATTTATAGACAAAAATTTCAAAAGGCAACAAAATTGAATGTATATAATTTACATACAATTCGATTGTTATGACTTGTTGTTGTTTTATATTTACACACACACATAACATAGAAATCATGTTCTATAATTGACAATATTTTATGACAATATCCATTAAATCATTTCATTGTTTTGTTAGAGAATTTGTGACCATTTTTAATGTGATATCAACTCAGCGGTTTAATAGTGAATTACGCCCAAGCAACTTATTATTTGGCATGATAAAGTTCTTTTGTGGTAAAACTAAATAATGCAGTCATCCAGAACGAGATGTTATCTTTGGAAAAAGAGACTAACAATTTAGTTTTCGTATTTTTCATATTACGTCAATCATCATAAATGAGAGCTTGTGCCTTAAATCTTGTACTGAACTAGCAAACAAACGAAGTCGTAAAAATAACATAAAATCCCTCATCAAAACCAATTGGCATGTTTTTCGCGTTATCCTTGCTCTATTATACGTTAATTTAATTTATTTTTAATCCAACTGCCATGTTTTAAATTTCGTTCTATGACAACATGATGCATCAATTGCTTTATGTTGTTATGCGGAAATAGTTATATTTAATGCTCAAAATACTCTTTGCTTTAAAACTTAAACGAAGTCTTTTTTCTCACAATTCACTTGCATGAATTTTGTTTCTACCGTAAAACGACAAGAAAATAGCAAACATGCTGTAAAACATTTCAGAACATAAAACATTTGCTTTATTTTTAGGAAGAAGTTCTTCTATATGTTTATGCTGATGGTGGCATTGTTTACTTCATCATCAACTATAGACCCACCAAATGGTAATAAACTCCTCAATAAAATATACATTTCCCATTTTCATATGAAAATAAAGATCGTTTCTCTTGTTTTAAGGAATGATTGCAAAGACAACATGTAGAGTATTAAAGTACGAGGTTCCACATCAATTTGCCAGTGTGGATTTTGCTTTGGAAGATCTGAGACCAAATTTGTTGACCATAAATCGTTTTAAAGACCTCATTAATTCAGCAAAAAATTGCTCTATTGTTAGTAGCATTAATGTAATTAGCGTGGACTTTGAAAGACGAGACACAACAAGAATAGAGATCATAGAAAAGATAACATTGAAATTGTCAGCTGATAGTACGATAAATCTGCCACAAGAAATTGTAACAAGTCTAAAATTTTGTGTCAAAAATGTCGCCAATAATAATGAAATTAATTCAATTGCCTTCACAGTAAATCTGACATTGAACACAACAGGACTCCCAATTAAATCCCTCCACATTGGTGGCATAGTAGTAGATGATAGGAGCACTTGCTGCTCCACTTTACATGGTATACAGGAGGATGTGTGTTGTCCACGCAACCTTATTGAACAAGGAGATTTCTGCGGTGAGAAAATAATGTAATTAATGGATATTTCTTATTAATGTCATTTGTGTATTTAAACGTTGATTAAGATCTACATGACAAGATTTTCTTCAGAAAATGTTTTTGAAGATTTGCAGTACTTAATGCATTTTTTAGAATGTTCCGATGGTAACTTCTTAAACTTAACTCAAACGTGTGAAGCTTGTCCTGTGGACACATTTCAAAATATTTCTGGAAGTGTTAACTGCCAACGTTGTCCAATAAACACAACTACGTATGGAAAGAAACAATCGAGAGATATTTCTTCTTGTTTACAAGGTTACATGTCTCTTGTGACGTTTCCATTAAAATGATGGAGTACGATTAAAGCTTTTGTTTATCAATATTGATCTTTCTTTAATGAATAGCTTGCTCAGTTGGATTTTTTTTTGAAAAAAGAAGAGAAGTTTGCAAACAATGTCCTCTTCATACATATCAGCCTGAGATGGCAAAGACTGAATGTATTGAATGTCCTAATGGAAGAATTACCTTGAATACTTCAAGTAAAAACAGCGACGATTGTATACAAAGTAAGAAAGAGTTTCTAAAAAAGAGCGAGAAGTAATTGTAAATAAAAAATAAAATTTCAATATTTTTTCCAGATTGTTCTGCTGGTTCATTCTACTCATTTCAAACCCACCAATGTGAATACTGTCCAGTTAACTTTTATCAACCACACTATGGTCAAATTGGTTGCATTGCCTGTCGTAATGGTACAGTTACAGCCGAAAATGGAACAGTCGACGATCGTGGCTGTATCAAAGGTCATTAATTGTTGTCATACCAATATTTAATATTTACTCAACTGTTAACAGATGATGTTGATATGTTTTTATAGACTGCAATCCTGGTTATAGATTCAATCAATCAGATTGTGTACTTTGTCATAACAACACGTATCAACCATTGAGAAGTCAGATTCATTGTGACAAGTGTCCTGATGGTACAATAACTTACACTGAAGGACCTTATGTGAATGTGACCTACTGTAAAGAAGGTAAAATAAAGCTCAAATATCAGCACTTACTGTGAAAATCATTTATAACTTGGAGTGTTTTCAGAATGTCGTCCAGGATATTATTTTAATTTGTCTGAAATGGTTTGCAAAAAATGTCCACGAAACTCGACACAAGAGAATAAAGGGCAAACTACATGTCACTTGTGTCCAATACATCTACCAATCACAGAGAAAGAAGGAACAGTTTCTCAACTTGACTGTATACAAAGTAAGTTGACGTTTATATCTAATATCTAAATAATTTGTTTCAATGAAATCATTTTTAATTTTTAGAATGTAATGCAGGTTCTTATTTTAACAAAACGACTTTAAACTGTACCAAATGTAGAAGAAATAGTTATCAACCAGATGTCGGAAAAACAAATTGTTTCAAGTGTGGAATGAACAAGATTACCATAGCAACTGGAGCCATCGACGAGACCAAATGTGTTGAAAGTAAATAGAACAATGGCAATGAAGTTATTGAATACTTGAATAAGACAATTAATTTATTCATTTAGATTGTGCAACTGGTTTTTTCTTCAACCAAAGTACAAAAACTTGTGAAAAATGTCCTTTAGGAAGTTACAAACACTTTATTGGTCATTATCCATGCCTATCTTGCAATGTTAATTATACAACAATACATAAAGGGCGAATTACAGAGTCTGAATGCATTCTAAGTATGTTGAAACATGAATTATGAGTGTATTTGATGAGAACAATCCTTAAATTTCTTTGTTGATTCTAGAATGTTTTGAAGGAAATTACTACAACATAACAAGCCAAAAATGTATTTCTTGTCCATTAAATACTTATCAAGATAAGGAAGCAGCAACAGAATGTACTTTATGTCCCAATAATGGTGTTACACAAAAATCAGGAGCAGTAGGATTGAGAGAATGCAACAGCATTGTCAGTAAGTTTATGAGCGTGAAGACTACTAACAAGATTTCCTCATATTCTTCATATTAATATGTCACAATGAATTTCTTCTCTAGCTGGGTCACAGGAATCAGACAAAAATAACATAGTAATTGTGATTTCTGTCGCGGTGATAGCGGTCATTTTTATACCAATATGCATGCTTTTGTTGTGCTACTATCGAAAATGGCGAATAAAAGAAAATGAGAGAGTAAGTTTCATTTAGTAAAATTTGGCAGTATTTTAAGATTTATGCAAAGAACAAAATCATAATTCGTTAGTAAAGCTTAATCTATCAGCGGTGTTAAATTTTATATGTTTACTTGGTTGTTTTAGAGAATGTCTGACCGACCATTAGACCCAGATAGCCGTGCTTCAACATACTACGATGATAATCCAGGAAAAAGACCGAAATTTCATTCATCCTTAAGTTCTGGTTTAAATCATCATTACAGAATGCAGGGCACTGGCCTCTCGAAAAATGATAGCACACCAATAATAAAGATCGCACATCTTCCAACAGGACTTGAAATTCCTAGGAGTAATTTAAATTTTTTAGGTGAAGTTCTCGGAAAAGGAAACTTTGGAAGGGTTGAAAAAGCAATTCTACGTAATGGTGAAACTGAACATGTTGTAGCGGTGAAAATGATAAAAGGTGCGTCCTACAAGTCATTCAAATGTATTATAATTTCAAGCATGGCACTGCCTTTAATTTGGTGAAATATTTCCAAAAATTCTTTTGTTCTGCAGGAGGTGCAACACTTTCTGATGAAAAAGAGTTGTTTGACGAGCTCGAAATGCTGGTCAACCTTCAGCCACATCCTCACCCAAATATTGTAAATCTTATAGGTGGAAGCACTACCAGTGATGGTAAGTTATCTGTATAGTGACAAGTTAAACAGTTATTCTTTAAAGAAGGGGAAAAATTCAAAACGATTGCTTTTATAGCGTGTATTGACATTTATATGTTATACATTACATATGTTATACATTACATATGTTATGCATTACATATGTTATACATTACATATGTTATACATTACATATGTTATACATTACATATGTTATGCATTACATATGTTATACATTACATATGTTATACATTACATATGTTATACATTACATATGTTATGCATTACATATGTTATACATTACATATGTTATACATTACATATGTTATACATTACATATGTTATACATTACATATGTTATACATTACATATGTTATACATTACATGTTACATTGCACATTATGCAGTAAGAACATTAAGCAATATGCAGCAACAAATGGTTAGCGAAACGTTATCTTCGACCTTTCAACTTATTTCTAAAAATGGATTCTCTGTAAAACAGGACCTTTGTTTTTGGTTGTCGAATATTGCAGCAAGGGAAACTTGTTAAAATATCTGCAGAAACATCAAGATCATAAAATAGCGAGTCAAGATTATGTCAATGTTACTCCTCTCTCAGATGTAACTTCTACAATTTCCTATGAATGGAAATTAATGAAAGCTTTAGAAGTTTGTAGTGGAATGTCTCATTTAGCCAAGTTTAAGGTAATTTATGGTAAATGAATTATAACATGTTGAAACTAAAACATGTTCTTCCAAAGAAGCTGTGACACAAAAAATAGCATCTATCAATTTTTTTCATTCTAGATAATACATCGAGATGTAGCAGCTAGAAATGTTTTGTTGGACGAAAATCTTGTTGCGAAAATTTCAGATTTTGGAATGGCAAGAGATATTTATATTAAACAGATATATCGTAAAGATACTGAGGTACATTATCACATTATTAGAGAGTTTTAGTTTTGCGTTTTTCATTTGTACTTTATAATTCGCATTGTCCCGAGCCAAATTTCATGTTTTGCTAAACGTTTGTCAATGAAAAAAGTCATATTCATGTTGTATACTCACATAAAAATATAATATTGACCATTAAACCACAAACGTCACTTGGTTGTATTAAAAGAACTAAATTGCTTGCCGTACGTCACCTACCGCAAGAAGGGCCTCTTGCCGTTTAAACCTGAACCGCAAACCGCAACGTAAGCCGCAAAGCCATGATCACGTGACCTTTTGCGATTTGCCGTCAGCGCCAAACAAAAACTCTCAAATATTTTATTACAACAGACGTGATAATTTGACTATGATTATCATACTTGGTAGGGATTTCTTCCTGTGCGTTGGATGGCTATTGAATCACTAGAATCTTTCATATATACCACTCAAAGTGATATGTAAGTTATCGCAATAATTATTTTTCCAAAACTACCAAAAGAAGTTAATGGGTTATTAATTATAAATGTTAATTGATACAGATGGTCCTTTGGAATACTTCTGTGGGAAATAATCACTGATGGTATTTATATATTGTTATTATGATGAGTTGTTTATGACAAAGAGAACAAAAAAATGATTTTATTGATTTTTTAATAGGACGTGTACCATACAACAATATACTGGATCACGGCCAGCTCTTGGATTACATAAAATCTGGTCAAATTATGAAGAGACCACGGAACTGTCCGAAAGATTTGTAAGTTGTGATGTCTATTGTTACATTAAGACGGTTTTATAAATATCACTTTTTTTTATTGATTGTTTAGATACCAAATTATGGAAAAATGTTGGTCAAGTAATCCAACACAGCGGCCAACGTTTCCATATCTTGTGAATGTATTAGAAAATTTATACGATGATGAACTGCATAAGGTGAGCAGTAGTGACGGCAATGGAGTTAATTGTTTTTTTAGAATTGCTTGAATAATTTTTGCAATATACCATTTTTTCTGCTACAGAGCGACGCTCTACCTCAAAGAATTCTCCGAAAAATGAGCAGCCGACGCAAAAAGAAAAGAGCAGAAGAAAAGATGGACTATGTTTGCCATAAATTAAATGATAAAAATACAATCAGCAACGTTGAAAAAATGGAAGAAGAACAAATGTCAAGAACAGAAAAAATTCTCAATGACGACAAAGATCAAAGAGAAAGTAATTTTAGTGAGTTTTCTAACTTTGGCAAAGATGTACTTTATAATAAGACAAAAATCAAAGCCAATAATGCAACAGGTGGCAATTACGAACTTCAAGAACAAAAAAGAAAATATGAAAACATCTTTCTGTCGAGAAATAAGAGTGGTAATGACTTTCCGTCATCAAAGAAAGGTGAAAAGACCTTAACACAAGGAAAAGAAGATGAAAGCAAGATGCAGCAACAAGATGACTTTACAGATTGCTAATGTTAGTGCAACCAAATATTATTGTTTTACATGCAATGTAACTGATATGATAACTAATAATAACAAATGTATAAATAATCTACAGTAAAATGCAAAACAATATTTGCCATAATTTTGATGATTGTGTTGCTTTCATGAATGACCTAATTCTATAATCATATATTATTCAACGTGACGCTCTCAGAGATGGATTATGATTCGCAATTTCCTTTTGTTAATCAATCAAATTTTAAACCTCAAACATAAAGTCTGTCATTCATTCATGTAATTGAGGTGTATGAAAGGCAAATGTTAAGGAATTTTATATGCAATGACAAACGTGATTTTCTTGTTTCACAACGTCACTTAAAAATGAAAATGTTGTTTTAAAGAAACTTGTGTTGTTTCTTCCAATATTTCAAATTCTTAAGATTATTTTTTACGCAAGATTAACGTCAAATTACAATAAATGATAGGTTTGGCATTCCTTAAGCTTTACGTTTTAGTCGTTCGCTTTTTAGTCTTAATAATTAATATTTTACTCTTCTACTCTATTCAAAAATCGGGCATAGTCGTTATGTAAGTAAGATATTAACGATTTGGAAGCGTATATTTTATAAGTTCTATGTACGTAATCACCATTAAATTTGAAAGAAACTGCGGGATATGAACCTTAACACAAATTAAAATTATGCAGGAATCCGAAAAAAATAAGGAAGCAAAGACGTTTTACGATTCGATTGAGACCGATTTGATGAGATCCAAGTTGCTGGCGAACAAATTGTTTTGTTTGAAGTAAATACAAAAGATGGATAAAAGAAATAAACACACTAATGTTTAAATATAAACCGAAGTTTAAATTCTTGTCAGGAGGATAGTACATATCATGGGAATCTTCTATTATTCCGCTTCAAAAATATTCAACCAAAAGATGGTGAAAGTCAATTATCCCACTCTATTATCAATAATTTTTATTGGAATGCTATTTGTCTGTAACTGCGAGGCCACAGGTACAGAAATCTTTTGTAAACCTTGTTACGACACATCTTGACATTTTAAAACATAATGACGTCTGTATTTTATGTTACTTCTATTCATCAAAATCAATCCTTAATTTATCTCAAAACTTATCCGTCATGTAAAATGTACGAGAATCATACCAATTATCGATTTACTTTCATAAACATGTATTCAGGAAAAATTTAATTTCAATATAGTTATAAGTTACATGCCTACTTACATTATCATGGTAATGTTCCGTTTATCATTTACATAGTAATTGTAAACAGCTCATCATTTATACTTATTCGTTTTTTAGTGCCTTACAGAGTTTGTGAGAGATGTATAAGAAACAGTTATAATTACAGCATTAACACAACGGTAAACCCTCCCAATATTTCCGTATTCAACGATGCTCACCATTATATTACTTTGCTCAGACGAAAAAAACGTTTTCAAAAACACTGTGAAAAACAAACACTATCAGTGAAAGTCGTTTTGCAGGTGGATTATGGAGAAAATTGTGAAAAATGGAATGAATGCATAGTTACAGCGAACTACAAGATCACTATTGGCGTTAACGATGAAATCAAAAAGAATGTTAGTGTTTTAACAAATGCAACAGGAAAAGCAATTGATAATTGTTATGATATGATTGATAACAATGTTTTAAGTGATGACCAATATATGAGACGAAATTTAGTAATTAACGTTACTGGTAAAACAATAGAGCCTTACATAGACATTATAGACGCTGAGATTTCTTTACAAAATTGCGAAGATGCAATTGTTTACTGTCCACCACTATCGCTTGAAATAAACCAAACATGCGGTAAGCAATTAATAACCATCTTATTGGCAATGTACGTAGATGTAAATTTGATAAAGACTAATGTTGTGTTTTTTGTATGTACTAGAGTGTTCCCAAGGTACATATTTGGACGCGAATCTCACAGATTGTGTTCATTGTCCAAGAGATAGTTACCAAAATCAGATAGGGATGTCCCACTGTCTTCAGTGTGCAATAGGGTTCACAACAAGAAATAAAACTGGGAGAAATAGTTCAACAGATTGTAGAAGAGGTTCGTCCCAGTTTACTGAAATCGAAATTTTAAGAACGCAATGCACGAGCCACATCTTTAGCTTCAATAATTTTCTCTTTCCTTTAGCTCCTCCATCGTGTATGACGTTCAACTGCAGTGAGAATCAACACTATAACAAAACGTTGAAAATGTGCATAGACTGTCCAAAGAATCAGTATCAAGATGAACACAACTGTACAAAGTGTAAGCCTTGCCCAAAAAAAAATATGATCTTGGAGATAGGAGCCTGCTTAGTGAATAAAGGTACGAAAACACATTTAATTAAATATACATGACTGGGCCAGTCAATGAAAAGCAAAGTGTAAACGGTTGGTGCGGCAAAATGCCTTGATAACTGCGCTGCTTCATGTATTTCCAAGAGCACCAATAGGTTTTTGTTACTCCAGAGACAATATGACTTAAATGCAGTTTCTGGCACTCATGCACTTTCTTCTTCCTGATGCTTATGTTCTTTTTGCCTGCATAGTCATTTGCTGTCAAAAATGCAATATTTGTCTCCTTTTCAGAGTATCTTTTCATTAATCATCTCGTATTTTTATTTTATTTTCATTCCTCCTCTAATAAATTGACTTCCAAACTGTCTTCTTTATCGCATTCATTTTGAATGCTTTAGCACTTTACTGATATTTTCAACTTCTGCTTCTATACAAAGACCATTCAGTTTTGGGCTTTCTCTTTTTCTACATTATGAAGCTCTACAAATTTAGTATCCTGTTGTTTATCTCTATGTCAAAGTTATCTCTACTCACTTCTTTTCAGTATGGTGTAGTTGACAAGTTATTTCTGCCAAGTGAGTTTTTCAAGTCAGGCAATTATTTTCTGTATTTCTTAGGTTTACTTGTGATGCATTCAAACACTATTTGTTGTAACCTACTCTCTCTTTTCTTTAATTTTGTTTTATATTGAAGATGATAAAGATTTTTCATTGGTGATAGCTCTATCGATCACAGGAGTCGTTATCTTATTTGTTGCGGTAATTATCTTCGTTTATTTAAGAAGAAGAAAATTGAAAATTGAAGATAGGGAAAGGCAAGATCAACAGTCTTTTGTCGTGAGTAAATTTCATTTTCAAAAATGTAAATAACTTTCATCGTTATATATGTATATGGATCTTTCAACTGAATAATTTATGTCATTTTAATAGAGAAATTTCATTGAACGCACGACTTCAAACAGCAAACTTGATGAGGATATAGAAAAACAATCTTCTAGAGTAAAACGAATCTCTAAAAATCCTTATTATGAAGAAGAGCCCATCTTGCGGGATCTTGCTGATGACATCACCAGAAAGAAAATGGAAATATTGCGTGATTGGATAACACTAACTGGGAAAAAATTGGGACGAGGAAATTTTGGAGAGGTACTGCAAGTTATCTTACATAAACCTAATGAAGAAAAGACATTGTGTGCGGCAAAAATGGCCAGAGGTAAGTGATTGATGCATCCTGTCAATGTATAGAGCATACTTTCTTAGTTTGTTTAAAACTCAATATTTCACTTATAATTAGTGAAGAAAATTAAAGAAAATTTCAACTACTTTTTAGGAAACCGTGCTTCTGAAGACGATATGATTGACGAACTAGAAATTCATTTAAGTCTTGAAAACGCACACGAAAATGTTGTTAACTTGATTGGTGTGTGTTCCAGTGAAGACGGTGAGATTGTGTTCAAACACATGTTTTGTATTTCATTGCTTGCATTATTACTGATGTAATTTTACTAGGGCCGTTTTATCTTCTTGTCGAGTACTGTGAGAATGGAAGTTTAGTGGAATATCTACGACAGTATGACAACAACGACATTACCAAAAATAAAGACACTCTTTCTAAAGAATGGAAATTGAACTGCATCTTACAGATTTGTTGTGGAATGAAGTATCTTGCTAAACACAAGGTGAGTGTATGAAAAGTAAATGTGTAAGAATTTACCTGCTTAAATTCATCTTTTCATTATGTTTATGTTTCAGATAGTGCATCGAGATCTTGCAGCAAGAAATGTGTTATTGGATAAAGATTTAGTAGCAAAAATATCTGACTTTGGCATGGCTAAGGATATTTACTTGAAAAGCTACTACAGAGAGCAAAAAGAGGTACGGCAGCATTGATAAAGCGTTAAAAGCAATTCATTAATTTCTCTTATATTACAGGGCTCGTTTCCACTAAGATGGATGGCAATAGAATCAATAAGAAACCTAACTTTTACAGAAAGTACAGACGTGTAAGTACTGAAACTATGCCAGGACCCACAGTTTCAAAAATTAAATTAATTTGACTTATATTTTATCTTGCTAAAGATGGTCGTTTGGCATATTAATATGGGAGATTTTCACCAATGGTAAATCTTCATTTTCAATTCATTTGATTCATGCATATGTATCATTATCTTCGTTTGCTGGAAGTATATGTTTATATTGCAGGAGATATTCCTTACTATAAGATAATAGACGATCAAAAGGTTGCATTGTTTATTCTCAGTGGAAAGAAGTTGTCAAGACCACAAAATTGTCCTAAATTTATGTAAGTTTCCTCTTGGTTGAAACAGCAAAACATGTTGTCAAACGAGATGCTCGATCGTCAGTAAGAATGATTTTCTTTATCAGGTATAATATCATGCTAAAATGCTGGAAGAATGAAAGTTACAATCGTCCAAAATTTTGGGATCTTTATAATCAACTAAACGAAAGTATACTCAATAAAGTAAGGACAAACAAAAAGAAGATTCTGCCTTTCATTTGTGGATCTAAATATCTTCTTTAATTGTACTTCTAATTTTTAACACAAATATTTTCTTCAGAACAGTAACAATTTCAGACGCCGCTTCAGTCGAGATGATATTATAAGACAATTGAACAAAAGAACGCTAAGTCTAAGACGTAAAATATCACGTGACGACGCAAATGAGAGAGTAGCTTCCGTAAGAAAAGTGCAATCGATGAAAGTGAAAAGAAACTCTGTCCCACAAAGTAATAATTTTGAACAGCCTAATGACCATAGAAGATATAAGAAAGGGTCAATCCCTGTGATAACCGGCAAGATAAATGAAGAAGTCTCTCATTAGCTTTAAAACATTATAGTTGTCAAACAAAGTATGAAGTATGACCGGATTGAAAGATCTGCACGGTGATCATAACAAAGATAAATCTGTAAAATAAATGTTATTGTTATTCTTTTCTTTTTTAAAGTTTTATGCAATGTACATATAAAAAAAAATATTTTTGCTGGACTTTACATAATCAGCAAACTTATTGATAAGAAACAGTATGTCTGTCAACGTGTCATATATCAAAAACACAATGAGAGAAAAATAACTTCATTAGTATTCTAAAGGATAATATTTCTCGTTACTAATAGCACTGACTTCATCAAAATTATTTCATTTCAATGACAAAGTAGTTAATTTGCTGGTGGATATACAAGAAAAAAAAACAAAGAAATTTTAAAGTGAACAGGTGCACGTGTTATGAATATATAATATCATTATTGTAAAGTAATTAAAATGATATGAACGGTAACTCTTTCACGATTACGATAATGTAAAGAGAAAATTGATCACGGAACACGGATCATCAACACACAAGTTATGATTAACGAGTATAATTTTTTTGTCTTTTTCTTATCAACATGGCTGCAATGTCTTGGTATGTTTCACTCATTACACACACTGAAAATTGAAATAGATTCTCGCTTCATTAAGTATTAACTTTCTTTAGTAAGTTTGTGTACATTTATTATAAGTTGATGATGTTATTTACTTATTTAATGATTGATGCATAACGGGAATTTTAGGACATACTGTCTTGGAGGAATATAACTGCGGTCAAGCAGATATTCAATACAAAGCCATGTTGAAAGGCGGCACAATGGCTGGCTCATTCCGAAATTATGGTACCGTCAAAAATATTCAAGAATGTATACACAATTGTTGCATGGCAAAGAAATGTGATGTTGCCATAGTGGTTAGTAACCGTTGTTATGGAGTTCATTGCTACAATTCTACCATGTGCGAAACTGAACCAGTAGAGGGCAAAGCTGCTAAAGAGGGAATGCAAATTGCACATGTTTCCCAAGGTAGAAAAATGGACATAGGTTAGTAAGAATGTCACTAATTGAAGATATTTTGACTTGAATCAATCCAATAAGAATGCTCTAACAACTTTTAAGAAAAACTTGATCCAATCAATACAGAAAAATTCGACCTTGATGCAAAATGTCCTCATAATGAAGTCATGTACAATGTGAAACTAAGAGGGGGACTCCTGGCAGGAAAGTTCACAGATATTGGAAAAGTTCGTAGCATAAAGACCTGTATCAGATATTGCTGTCAGACACAAAAGAGATGTGATCTTGCATTTCTTTTAAAAGACAGATGTTACCTAGTAAAATGCTACAATGAGGAAAGATGTCAAGCTTTGCCTTCACCTTCAGTAGATTTTAACTTCGAACAAAAGATGGCATTTGTTGCTCCTTGGCTTTACAGGAAAAATAAAAAATTGGGTAAAAATGATTTAATCAAAAATTACACCAGGATCGCTTTGACTTCCATCGTTTATTGTGATTGATAAATTTTTCCATTGTTACAGTGACAGTTCCTTCGGGTCAATCCCCACATCATATCCAGTGTACCCAAAGTAAGGTATATAATGATGTTGAGATCAGCGGGGGTAGTAATGCAGGAGATTTTACGGATGTTGGTAAAGTTGGCCGTATGCATATTTGTACCCGCTTATGTTGTGAATCACCATTATGTGACCTTGCTTACATGATTGGACAATCTTGTTTCTTGGTAAGATGTGCTGACGAGAAGAAATGTCGCGTGATAAATGCAGGAGTGGGCGAAAGTAAGAGAAATAAGACAAAAGATATATCGATCCAATACATCGTAAAAAGAAAGTACAACATCAAGTTTGGAAAAGGTGCAAAGTTTTGCGTCTGCAGGTATGTGGAAGGATGAAATTTTTCTACTGTCTTTACTCGTTTTCCATTTAGATGGCGTACCAATGACCAATAAAGACAAAAAGAAACAAATGAGATGTCACGTGAAAGGGAAAGTACAAAAGAATACTGTCCTCTACGCGGGAATGATTTCGGGAGACTTGACACCACATCCTGGTATCAAACGTATTAAACCATGCGTAAAAAAATGCTGTCAAGATCTAAGATGTGAGGTAGCTTTAATGTTAGAAGAAAAATGTTATACAGTGAGATGTATAAATAAAGATTACTGTAGTGCAAGACCTGCTCCACCTTCAATTCATGGTAAAAAACCAACTTTGGCATTTGTGACGAGAGAAAATCTTTATAAAGGTGAGAGGTTTGATCGTACAAGTATCAGCATAGAACATGAGTTTACAGCACAAAAAGGGAGCAATTTGTAAATGTCATCCTGATAGCTTATTATTAATCAGTTTTGTTTGATTCAGATCCGTACGATGTTCAACATCAAACAAGTGTAAGCAATATAAAAGACGTAGACATTGATGATGACACCGACGGTTATGATGAAAAAAGTACTTAAAGAATTATCAATGCTCGAACGATAAATTTGACTTGAACAAACGGTACAATAAAAATTCAGGATACGAAACCGGATGTTCATATAGAGACTACTACATTCAAAATCGGCGATTTTACTACAGGCAATAAATTCATCTTAATATAATAATAAAGTAATTTATCTTACCTTCTGGTGTTGTCGCAATTCTTGCCCTCTGATTGGTGGAAATTTTATTCCTTTTGTTAAACTCTCCATTTCTTTGTTCCTATGAAAAAGTAGGATGGAAATTGTTGGAGCTTTGCTAAAAGTTTTACTTTATGTTGATATCAATTTCATTTAAATGACAAACGAAAATAGTTAAATTGAACACCATGAAGATAAGAAAGAAAGTACTATTTTGAGAAAGACGAATCTAAAATAAATGATAATATGATTTGTCACACAGATATATTTCTATTGTTGGTTTTCACAGGTACGTAAAAATTTAGTATCGTAATTTAAATTCTAAATAACTCCGATATATTAAGTTCCATTCTCCAAGAGTAAGAATCTATTAAAGTTAACTTGCTCTTGTCATGTTTGTTTGTTTAAATTAAACGTACGATTGTTGTGATAATATTCAAGTTGAATTGCAATAACAAAAGAGCTATATTCTGTGGAATCTTAATTATTTTTATTTTGATTTGTTCGCTAAGATAAGAGTAAGGATTATGAGACTCATTAAAATAAACACATCAGAGAACTTAGTTTGTATATTTGCATTTCTTGTAAAGAGCTTCTTATCTGTCGTGCGGTAAAATTCACAATTCTTGATTTGAACCCAGGATAGTTTTGTCGTTAAGTTTCATCCTAGCAATATCTTGGTATTTAACTGCAGTTCCAATGCTAGCTGATTATCTACAACAATGTCTGAAAACACCAATTGAAGAAAATGTCACATTGAAAGGTGGTATTGGTGCGGGCACCTTTAAAAAGCTGGGGAAAGTGACAGAAATGAGATCATGTATTCAGTTATGTTGTAAAGAAATGTCATGTGATGTTGCATTTATGTCAGCGCAAAATTGTTATGCTGTTGAATGTGTTAGTGATGATGAGTGTGAGTCAACGACAACGGATACTTCTGATGTTCAAGTTCTGATTGCTCATGTTAAGAAAATTAAGAAAAAGGCAGGTTGGTGCCAAATGAAAACAAAAAAACACCCCTTCAATGTAGTGTTTAAAAGTAGTGATTAAAAATATGTTTTAGGTAACTCAACCTTGGATGTTTTAACCAACCCTGGTCTCCTGGCAAAAAAGAGTCCTCTTGCAACAGGAGGAAATCCAGCAATGGCAGGAATGGCAGGAAAGTGCAAGGCTGGCAAAGTATATCATGAGGTATGTATATATACTTAATACATAAATGTGTTCAAAGTACTTGTGAACAGTACTACTTTTTTAATTTTATATCATCTTAATTTTAATCAATATGCTCACAAAATAAAACATTCGCTTACAGTAATAAGATTAATACAAACAAGTCCAATAATATCTTTCTAAAGACATTCTTTGATGCAATTTATTGCACTAATTTGTTAATATCATTATCACTAAACGTGCTAAGGTGACTTTACGTGGAGGTATTAATGCAGGCACATATAAAGACATTGGACTGGTCAGTGGAATGTCCCAATGTCAGAAGAAATGTTGCAGCTTTTCAGCTTGTGATCTTGCTTTTTTATTGGGCGGAAGATGTTATCTGGTCGGTTGTGCTGATGGAAAAGGTTGTCAAATAAATAAGGCTAAACCTTCTATATATAAGCCAATGATATCTTATGTGACGCGCTGGAGTACCGAAGGAGTAAAACATACAAGTAAGAGAAAAGTGAAGTTTCTTAACCAGATAATGTTAACGTCATAAATTACTGTCTGTTTGCATCCAGTTCATTTTGATGGACCTGAAAGAGCTGATCAATACCAATGTCCACGCATGGTACCGCTGACTAAAGTAACGCTAAAAGGCGGGCTTAAAGCTGGAGATTTCACTGATGTAGGAAAAGTTGGAAAGCTAAAAGATTGTTACGATATTTGTTGTCGCACAGAAAACTGTGACCTTGCATTCATGCTTGGTCAGAATTGCTTCAGTATCAAGTGCCATGATAAAAGTTTATGTACTACAATCCCTGCACAACCAAGCATCTTCAACCCACAGATAGCGTACGTTCTAACTAGAGAAAAAGTTTCCTTAAAGACAACAATGGAAGGTAAAAAAAAACTGAAATTTGCATAGATGAATTTTTCTCATATGTTATCAGCTGACTTCCTTTTCTAGAAAAGTACCATGGAAATGATTTAAAAAATATATCTCACGTTACATGTCCAAAAGGTCACGTGGTTGATAAAGTCACATTAACTGGGGGTTTGAATGCTGGCAAATATAGAGATCACGGCAAGGTTGAAGACATTCAAAAATGTCGTCGTATCTGCTGTGAAATCCCGAAATGCAACGTGGCCTTTATGATTGCGGAGAATTGTTTTTCCGTAGAATGTAAGACGGAGCCCGGATGTCGTACCCAGCCTGCCGTATCAACACAATATCACCCTAGAATTTCATACGTACGGTTTATTGGATCAGATAACATTATTGGTGGTATGAAAGTATTTCATCTGCACACGTTCATCATAACAACTATTTAGCAACATTTATGTGTGTTTTACTAACTTTCATATTTCTACTGTAGTATTTAATGATATGAACGATACAGAAAAGAATACTACAAAAAACCTAGACGATCTCTTCAGTTCTGGAACATTACAACAGGAATCGTCTATTTCTAAAACAGCAGCTGAGTTTGAAGATTCACGCAATATTTTAACATCACAATTTATAAAACCTCGACCTCAGACGACCACAGAATCTCCTTTGAAAACCAGTATACTGTTAATGAATGGTGATACTACAGGTGCATGCTATAAATTAACAAGCTTTCTTTCTTTTTTGTGTCTTTCTTCTCGAATATTTTTCTCAATTTTGTTTTTCAGATCTTGCATCTGCATTAAAGAGTGCTCAACCAACAACTAAAAACCTTGCAAAGAGTAATTCAGCTATAAAGAACCAACTGCACGATGCCAAAGCAGGGCAAGCAATTGCTCTAAAAATGATCAATGGTGAACTGCAACTCTCTCCAACAGAGAAAAATGGGACAAAATTTTCTAATTCAATGATAAATAAGGTATTTTGTTGGCGACTAAAGGCAAGAAAAATATAGAGTGTAGAGTAGGTAAAAAATATTCTCTTTCCTTTGACTGCAGGATAATATTTCCAGTTGTAAAGCTATAAAACAAATGAAGGACGTAACTTTATCGGGTGGAAAAAATGCTGGTACCTTTAAAGAACAAGGGCAGACGTCTACTATGGATAAATGCGTCAAATTTTGCTGTAAAGAGAAGAATTGTAACTTAGTATTATTGCTTGATAAAATGTGCTACACGGTAGCATGTAAGGACAAGAAATCTTGTGAAACATCACCAGCTCCTCCATCCAATTTTGTTCCTAAACTTGCAATTGTTCGGCCAGTAGAAAACGCCACCTCAAAGGAAGGTAATCTTTTTTCTGTTTTTATTTTAATAAAAAAATTATTCATCTGTATCGATGCTGTCAATTTGAATTTCTTTAGTTAAACGTCCAACTATTTCCAAAATTCCAAACAATTTGAAGTGCAAATACAAAAAGATATCAAATAATATTAAGTTAAAGAACGGCAAAAAAGCAGGAATATTTAAGCTAGCTGAAGACGTTAAGACAATGGCAGAATGTATGGCAACATGTTGTGATGAATCGATGTGTGATCTAGCTTACTTTGAGCGAGGAAAATGTTTTTCTGTGATATGTAACCCAAATAATGGCTGTTCTACAACTAACGTAACAAACGACGAAGACTATCCACTAATGGCATTTACATCATCCGTTCAAAAATCGGCTGTAAAAGGTAACAATCTTACATAACGATAAATTTGAGTCTTTCTGGACAAAAATTTTGAGATAGGCAATACGAGCCGGTTATTCCTGTTGTTCAAAGAAGAAAAATTTGAAAATTCTCTCAACGCTTTAATAGAAGCTGAAGTAAACACGGAAGAAGATAATCCAATGCCAAAAAAAGATGAGCATTGTCAACCAAGAAAAATAACACGTAGCAGTAAATTGAGTGGAGCAAAGTTAACAGAGATTGGAAAAGTAAAAAACCTTCAATCATGTATTGAGCATTGTTGTCGTAAAGATAGTTGTGATGTTGTCTACATGGAAGATGAGACATGTTATACAGTAGAGTGTCAAGATGGTTTGCAATGTCGGTCCTTTGAGAAATCTGCCGAAAAAGATGAAAATACTTTGATTGCTTACATGCAAAGAACTGTTAACAAAGCAGAAAAAGAGCAAGGTAAACAATATGTAGATTAAATGTATTTTCAGTCAATAAAAATTTATAAATATATTTATTTTCTTGACAGATTGGGTAATAGTGTATGTAATCGTTGGATCACTGGTCTGTGCATCAGGTTTAAGTGGGATCATTTGGGCTTCCTGTATCTGCATCAAGAGGTAAGCTATGTTTTCTTGCAATTTATTTCAGAGAGAATAACTATCGTTATTTTGATCTCCACCAGAAACCGTCTCCGTCAAAGCCGACGATTGATTGACGATGTAAGTGAGGAAGAAGAAGAAGAAGAAGAAGAAATGATTCCGAAACGTAGTATAAATAATATCCTACCTAACACATTATATTCTAACAATAAATTGAGCAATACATAAACACCGAGTCGAAAGCTCAATAAAATCATTTTATACAATCCGGAGAAACTTTTATTTTTGTACATTAAATATGCCTGGATTACCAATCTTTAAACTTAAACATATAATTATATAATTATGTTTAAAGATTGGTAATCCAGGCACTATATTGTTTAAAAATAAAAGTTTCTCCGGATTTTATAAAGAATTTCATTGAGCTTTCGACTCGTTGCTTCGAGCCTTCATCAGAATGAGGAAGTTATCTATTTACAGTTGCTTTTAGCTTGTAGACGCTTTTGGTACAGTAAAGACAACGACACAATAAACAGACATATCGACATACCCATCATATATTCATAACTTAAGAAAAAAGATAAAAGAACTACAAACAACACCAAAACTACAACAATACACTCTAATAACATTAACACCAATCACATCCACAATACACCAAAACCCATGGCAACGAATTTCACCCCATCCAATCACATTAATCCACCCGCTAATCCAATTAGACGCTCTAAGCGTCTACAAGCTAAAAGCAACTGTAAATAGATAACTTCCTCATTCTGATGAAAGCTCGAAGCAACGAGTCGAAAGCTCAATAAAATTCTTTGTAAAATCTGGAGAAACTTTTATTTTTAAATTATATAATTATATAATATATAATATATAATTTTGCTTTGATTTTTCTCTCTTTAGATTACAAAAGGTATAAGAATCCAGTCCCAAGACTATATCGTTGATAAAGTACAGTAAATGCATCGGTCATCACACTGCAGTTTGACAAAGACTTTTATAATAACCGATAATTTGTTGTCATAAAAAGACAGCTGGGGAAGTTATTGATCATAGACTGTCAATGCATTATGTCAATAAAAAAATCAAATAGAAGATAAAAGATTAGTTTTCTTCATTTTATTTGTTTTACAGATAAATTAATTTTAAGATTATTTTTAGTCACTAGAAATTGACTTGAAATGAAATAAGCTTAAAATTCATTTTAGATATTAAATTTTTAAAACAAATTTTAACTTTATTTTTAATAATCATCTATAAATTACTGATTAATAATTTACAATTCTACGTTATTTGAAAAAATGACTAACCATTTCAGTTTTACAAAAACCTAACTAGATGCTTTGACGTTTATTCTAACCACGAGAATAGAGGCATCTTACGCACTTCCTGACAAATAAATAATATTTTAATACTTTAACTATTGACTTTTATGGAGAAACAAAACGAAACCATATAATGGGCTTGTGTTAAAATCGCAAGAATGGTTGCTATTGAAACCATGCCTTGGCAAAGCACAGAAAGTAATGTAAAATCTCTCTCTTTTCATTGTTCTGACTATTTTTGAGGAAATGCCTGAATTAAAAATGAAACTTTAAAGGACACTTACAGTTGTTGCTTTTAAAGATTTCCTTGATCTATATCGAGGCATGTTTCTGAAATATCCACCAAGTAGAATCGTCACAGAGACAATTAACATTAGACCTGTAGTCACAACGATAACGACAATACCAACAGCTTTTGTTAAAGGATAACCGATCAATGTCAATGACTGTTCCACTTAAAAGGAAACACACCAAGAACATTAAAATTTTCATGTGTCAATGCTGACATAGATGGATAACAATTACCTTTAAATAGTTTCTATAAGCTAGAAGATAGTATATGAATTCAGACTATAGAGATTTAAAATCATTAGTTGAGAGAAGAATCTCACTAAACTGAAATAATGAATGATTACTTACAAAGACAGGAGGTATTATCATTTGATAAGGCGTATCCTTCAGTACAAGAACATTCATACCCTCCTGGAGTATTTTCGCAAAGTTGGGAACAATTGTTCAAAGCAAATACGGAACATTCATCAATATCTATGGGGAGAAGAGGCATGCATATAAGGAAAAGAATTAGAAATTGTTCAGGTTTTAACGTTGATTACCTGAGCAATTATGGCCATTATTGTATAGCTCGTAACCAAACGGACATGAACAAATGTAACTACCATTTGTATTATTGCAGGTATGAGAACATGTTGAACTAGAGTCTTCACATTCATTAATATCTAGAGAATTGTGTTTTAACAATAATTAAGAACATTTTCAGGAAATTTTGTACAAATTGCTAGAATACTTTTTTAAAAAAGTGAAGTTATAGAGTAAAAATATTTAATAAATGTGTTCACCAAATACATGTCGTCGTCTCTTACCATGACACGTATGTAAATCATTTCCAAGTTTATATCCCTCGTAACATAAACATCGGTAACTTCCTTGTGTGTTTAAGCATTTCTGTTCACACAGAATATTTCTTGTTTTCATCTGACATTCATCAACATCAATGATGTCCAGTTTTACCGATCTAACACATTAGAATATCATTGAACGTTATTCTTAAATTCACGTCAATTAGATGTCTTAGTGAGAGGCAACATTAGTCGTGTGTTTTAATAAAACAGAACAAAAAACAAAATAAAAAATCCCCAACAAAATTGTTGGCACTCCCTAACCTTGACTTTGTCTCTAAATCATTCGAGGCAATGCAATGATATGTTCCGCTGTCACTCATGTTTGTATGCTCGATCAATAAAGAATTACTACGAGTGATCTTGTATCGATCATCCCGAGCGAGAGGAAGAGCACCATCGCCTCCATTCGCCCATTTTATCAATGGTGCCGGTGAAGCTCGAGCTCGACAGTTAAGGATTGCTCTTTGTCCTTGATAAACTTTCATTTTTAAAAACTGTACTGCAACTTCTACTGGAGCTGAAATATGACAAACATGTTAACACTTTACAGCATAAGTGACGTCAACCAATTATAGGAAAAAATTTTATGTAATAACAACCTGTAAGTATATCTCTCTTTAAGTAACTTGTCTTTCTCTTTATTTGGAGAACATTATCTACAGAAATGTAATATGGGTAATGAATAAAAAAGGTAGATTTACATAGCACAAAAATTTTTATGATAAAATACTTACTTTCACAAGTTTTGTTGTCAAGCTTTAGTGCAAATCCTTTTCTGCAGGTGCAAACATAGCTTCCAGGTAAATTTACACATTGTTGAGAACATTTTGAAATTCCAAGAAGACATTCGTCAATATCTAACAATCAACGTGAAAATTATGATTTCTTTTTCGTACATATTGTTGATGGTGAAAAAAACATGGACATACCATCACAATGGCGATCATCTTTGTTGAGTGTGAAACCTGATGTACATTCACATTTGAAACCTTTATTTAATTGAACACATTCTTGTTGACAATGATGCCATCCAAAAATGCACTTTTTGTTCTCTAAAACAAATCATCATATTTCTTTCAAATATAATTTCCATAAAAATATCGACGGGGATGTGCCAATTGACGATTTTTCAAACATAATCCTTAACCCTTAATCTCTCCCCTATAGCAAACTATAACACTCAACAAACTTTTGAAATTCTATCTTTGTATACGAAGTATATCCACAAGTCAATTGACGTTTGATCAAATCATCAAAATATGCTATGCGTAGCCGCTTTAAGTGACGTTGCACCATATTTTAAACATCTCTGACTCGCAAGGATAGCTTGTACACGCGCTAAACAACAATATTATGCCAGAAACATATTAAGACGTGCAACACAAAAAATTTGATTTTCCAACCATCAAGTTATACTCAGTTACTGGTTGATAACAGACATTACAAAGCATATTTTTGAATCTGCAAAATATTTAATAGTTGGGTGTTTACGTTATTAATTGTTTTATGTTGTTTGAACTATGTTCATCAATCTCTTCATTTTGTGCCATGCTGCGTGCCAATTTTTCGACAATATTATGATGGACATGTCCAAAGAAAAATCTTTTATACGGTAAGTATATATTTATGGAATAGCAGGATTAATAGTGATAATATATTTTGAAATAACTTACTTAAACAGTGTTTACCATCAAAAGCAAGGACCATATCAGGAGGACACAAACATTGGTAACCAATTGTATCAAGGTAATGGCATCCATGCTGGCAACCAAATTTTAAGTGACAGTAGAGATGTTCTATAAAGATAAATTTAAGTGTAAAACAAAGGAGCAAGTGATAAAAAGTAAACTTTAATATTGAGTTTTAAAGTAAATTGAGATTAAGTTTTGCCTCGAAATATTTTAATATCATTTGTTTTAAAAATACCTCTTTTCTGTTCCAACGATGCATTATGAAAAGAAATATTCTTAACAACAGATGTGACGTCAGATACTTTCATGTGAATTTTTTTCTTATTAATACGATTGCGATGTTTCTTCAGATTATGAGTTTTATGTTGTTTCATGTTTGATCTATGTATTCCGTGATGATATTGCAAACGATGCTTTAAATGTAATTTATTTGCTACGTGCACTTTTTCTCCCTGTTGGCTTTTCCTTTTTTCTTCATCTATTATATGTTTCGCTGCCGTTCCTAAATCATGATGTAACTTTGTCATCAATTCCTTTATTTTTTTCTTTCTTTGAAGCAGTTTCAATGCGTACATCAAATTGTTCAAATGCATCCTTTTTCTGTGATGTTTTGCTGGAGTTTTTGGGACTAATTGAGAAGCAACGTTTGACGTATTTTTATAAGTTTTGTTGCTCCCATGTATTTGAGGTTTTACAGAGACAATTGTATTTTTTTCTTCACCCAATTTATGTAAGGAGTTTTTTTCAGAAGAAACAAGCGTTAATGGGGACATTAAAGCATCTTGAGGACCACGAAACAATATTAAGCCACTACGGTTTACATAAGCAACCTCCGAAATAAAATCATTACTTGGTGGAGCACGTAATTTACAGAAGTTTTTTATGATGCATGATATCGCATAACACGATTTTTGAACGAGAAAAGCTGTATTACATGAAGGAAGAGAGCAGCATCGTAAAACGCATTGATCAATTTCAGTGACATTTTTAAACTGAACGATTTTTCCTGCTCCAAGACCTGCATTGATCGTAACATTGGATATTCGAATACCAGGATAGCACTTGCCAAGAGATGACAATGTTTTCTCTGATTGACTAGTATTTTTCTTTTGAGTTCTTTTAACGAAAACAATCTTTAGATCAAATTTTAAAAGGTTTGCCGGTCGTACTTCACAGAGTTTTCTAGTCTGACATTTTAATGCAAAACAGGTGACTCCTTTCATGATAGCAGCATCACAATAATCTTTTTGACAGCAGTGATAGATACAATCATTCATGTTGCTATTGTCAGCAATCTTTGTGAATTTGCCTGCCTTCAAGCCACCCCTGAAAGTATATTTGTTATAAACATTTCCATTTACAGCACAGGAAAATTCATGGCTTGGCGATGGTGCAGATTTCCATTCACGAGGCAAGTTATTTGTTTGGTTATTGTGTGAAGCAGTTTTTGCAGTGGCACTTTTCAGTTTTTCATAAACTAAATAGTTTAAAGTCTTTGGTAACTCCAAAGACGAAATGTTTTCTACTGATGGACGATCATATATTTTCGTAATTATTGATCCACTCTTCAAACGATACTTAGCTTTCGAAAATGGAAAGTCTTTTTCATATCTTGCTGAATGGCTTCTGGAGATATTATTCAAGTGATAACCTCTAGTGTCTATGTTAATCAAATATTGTCTAACTTCCACATTTTTTAAAGACCTTTTGAAGATATATATCTCGTCTAGATAACCGTTAAGGTCGTTTGTATAAGCTGTTGATCCAAAATATATCACATCATCCATCTTCTTAGAGAATTCCCCTTTCCCACGTCCTACAGCTTTCACACGGCCATTTACTAACACCTTTGCCTTCTTTAATTGCGTGTCATAGCAAACAACGACGTGATTCCAGGTATTTGGACCAATTACCAAAGGAGAGACGACCGTGAATATGGCATGTCTAGTTTTATCAAGACAAGACCAGAAAAGACGACCATTATTTACTTTCAACAAGCAAGATGATTGACTTAAACGTGATTGACGATCTACGCTGCTAAATATCACATGATCTCCATCAATATTCGACAGTTTAATCCAAGCAGCAATAGAGAGGCCTTCATACGGTTCTACTTTAAAAGATAAACCATTCACAACAAGATCCCCTGTCGTTAGATCTAATCCAGGACCATGACGACTAAACCGTATAATCTTTGCGCCTAAACACAATGTGAAGATTTTAAACATTATATATGCACTGCATTGATGACCAATAATGTTACAAATTATTACCGTTTTCTAATGTTCCATTGTTATTTTTACCAGAACCGTCCACAACACTGCTTCCTTTGACAACGTTAAAACCATAGTAAATAAGCAAGGTATTTTTTGCTGTACTTTTGTTCTTACTCATTTCATCTACAAAAAATAAAGAAACTTAATTAAATAAATCAAATAAATTGAAAAACTTTCATTTAACTTACTTGACTCCAATCTTCTTGATGGTGGTCTTGAAACCAGCGAAAGTAAACTACCTCCATCAACAATACGGCACATCTCATGAGTAGAACAGAAAATTGAAAAGCAATCCCCATTTCTTATCATTGCAATATCACAGTCACTTAACTTGCAGCAAAATCCTAAACACGCCTCCATTGACGAGATATTTGGATATTTTTGGAAACTGTTAGCACTCAATCCTCCTTTAATATCAACGTTGTACAGCATTCCGTTCCCCTTGCACTTCCCCGTGGCTGGCTTTAACAATGATGTTTCTGAAAATCGTATCCCAGTTTCAGGACTTAAATTGTCAATCTTTCTCAGAAATGGCGAGGAATGTCGATCAATCTTTTCAAAATGATGTCCTGAGCAATATAAGAGGACATTTTTAAAAAAGTCAGTTACTATCGGACACTCGATTTTCATAATCATGACAAATTAATGTGTGGCACTGTCATGACATGTAAGTGTGTATACGATTAGGCGTATAAAACTTTCTTGTATACTTAGTTTACCTTTAAATGACACCATTTTTCTTAAAACAAAAAATACACTAGACGGGCCTTCAGTAGCAGGAGTAGGCTTGCACCCTTCGTCATTTTTGCATTTTACTCTATAACATAATCCATTTGTGTCCATAAAAGCCAAATCACAACTATCAATAGCACAGCATCTTGTGAAGCATTCAACTACATCTCTCACTCCTTTTTCATGTTCAAACTTCCCAGCATCACGACCACCACGCAATGTGCTGTTTACGTGATAGGTTCCCTGAGAACATACAGAGGAATCTTTAGTATGGTTAGTAAATGGTAAAATTTTTGTTTTGTTTTCAGAGGTTCGAATGGCAGAAATCTTGGATGGTTCGTCCTCCAACAATGCTAAAAAATTACAAAAAAATGATCTGTTACAAACGTTTTAAAGAATCAAATGCAAAACTCAAAAAATATATAAAATAAATCAAAACTACTATTTACTAACCAATTAGAGATGGACATTTATGACGCAATGTATTGATTTCAGGTGTCGTCAATGCCCGATCATAAAGATAAAACTCATCAACATCACCATATAAACTCTCCGATAAACCTATCCCAATATCACCTAGCCATTGTTGAGACAGCAACCCACTAGCTTCATTTTCTTTAAACAGCTGACCATTTAAAACGACCGTTGCCAAGTGGATTTCAGAATCATATGTACCAACAATATGGTTCCACTTATTATTGGCTATACTGGGAACGTTTGTATTAATCTAAATAGAAACAAAGATATTTTTATCTTAACACATTCTCCTACTTCACCTTTATGAATTAAGAGAACGCTTTTTAATAATTTGAAGAGCAAATCACGACGACGTCACTCACGTTAAAAATTAATTTTCGATTTTCATCTACATGCGTCCAGCGAGCATTGCCATCAAAAATACGGAGGTCAAGTTTTCCCCCTTCTCCTGAGAGACCACGTTGTACACTGAATATAGAAACACTCTGAAAAATGTCCTTCAGTTTTACCCAGACAGCAACTGTGATAGCTTTGCTTGGCTTTACCAAAAAATCCTTTGCATTGAAAAAGATTTTTCCCCCCTGGAAAGTGCCAAATGATTTGCACTGTCCTTTTCCGGGAACAATGAGAACGGAACCAAACATTTTAGCGTTATGATCCATGCCAGAACTGTCCATTATTTTTAAACCATAAGAGTTCTCAAAATTTAAATGCACCAAGAGATGTGAAATGGTCGCTAAAAAGTTAGTAATATAATTCCATTCATCACATTGAATTGTTTTGCTCAGGGATTAGGTATATTTTAATAAAAAATAGAACTTTTTTTAAAACTTCATAGCAGCGTCTTTAATACCAAAGCTCCAAATGTTCCATTTTCCAGGTGATGTTTGTCAACTTTTTCAGAGAGCACAATATTTAAGAGACCAGAAAAATGGTCTCTTACAATGTTATGCTATCTGATAAAGCCTTGTTTGTTGATTGCCTTCCGAACGATGATTATTATCAATATATCAGCCTTATTCACGAATAATAAAAAGCTTGCAATACAAAATTACAAACTTTGTCTATTTATACAAAATCATTTTTATGAAAAAGACAAGACAAACCTTCATCTTTATTCTCGGAAACATTTTTCTGTTGAGTTTTCCTTTTACTATAAATAAACATTTCATGAATATCTTGAAAGCTTGGATGTTCTTGATTACTGTCACTGGGTGATGGTATCACTGCTTTGGGTTGACGATACCGAAAATGATTCTTACTTCTAGAGTATGGTAAAAATAACGATAATGGACGAGGAACCTTTTTTTCACTGGAATACACAAATACGTGACTTTCAGAGTGATTAGCTTCTCTTGGTTCCGTAGTTAAAAAACTTCCAATGTTCTCAGGAACCAACTTGGAAACAACACTAGATACGCCAAGAGATATGTTAATTTTATCATCATCTAATTTTTGATCATTAAAAGACGTTGCTGCCGGCGCTACGAGTTCTAGTTGTGGTATAATTTTGGCTGCATGTGCATCTTGTTTCATTTTTAAAGTATGATCATTTGAAGATGAATTTATGACATTCTCATTTCCAAGATACGGAGTCCTTAGTACAGCTAAAAAAGAAACTCGATTAGTTTTTTTTGTCAAGAACATTTAACAAAATAGTTAAAAACAAGAATCGTACCTTTGCTACGAGGATTTCTTACAGATTTCCTCCAATAATGTAATGCGTTCCAATTCCCTCTTGGTCTTGGTATTCGGGACCTTTTATCAAGATCCCAGTCTTTTTCCAGTGCATTGCTAATTTTATCACCAACGTCTAACATAATAGGCGTTTGTGACTTCCCTTTTTTCTTCAGAGAAATTGTAGATATATTTCCTAGCTCATCCTTTATTTCATTTAATTCTTTCAGTATCACGTTTTTATTGCCAATCTTTGAAGCACTGTTTGACGTATTCGAACGCTTTCTTTGTTGAAGTTCAGGGACGCTTTTTGAACCCATGTTTTGCTTGTTTTTCTTATTTCCTCTGTTTTCTACTTTCAAGTATTTTTTGTAACCGAAGGTAGATTGAGGTGTTAATATCTTACGTTCAAAAATTTCTTGATCTTTTCTTTCTTGATTGTTAATATTGGCCAGTTCGTCTTCAATTTTTTCCAGTTCACTCATTATATCTAGAGTTGCAGGTTGTTTTTGCTCAACAATAGACTTTCCTTTTTTGAATAAGTTTCTCGACAAAGTTTTTTCATGTGAGTTGATCCTTGCACTAATGTTGTTGTGATATTTTTCAATTTGATTAAACGGATATACCTTTTTCGGAAAGAGTTTTTGTTGTTTGTTTTGAAAAGAAAGGGTTTTTGGTGCGTTATCCTCATAGTTTTCGCTTAGTTTATCAATATCAACATCATTCCTTCTTTGGTGAGCTATTTCTTCTATGATCCTTTCAATGTTCTGATCCAAAATGCTATCGACGTCTTCCTGACCAAAAGGTCGTTTTAACTTGTTCAATATTTTTTGGGCTGAAATCTCACTGTATGATTTATCATTTAAGAAAGGAATTTGCTCATTATTTGTAGCAATGATTTCATTATGATAAATTTTCCTCCGATGTTGGTCACCAGTTGGATAGTAACCTTGTAGTTGGTTAGAGTAAATGCTTTTCAACTGATTTCTTCGATGGTGTATTCCATTATTCCTTTCATCCACAACATTATAACTATTCCTGTTATTATTTAAGTTGCTATTTGTCGTTATTTTGCTTTGCATCTGTGTAGTCAAACTGGATTTTACAGCTTCGTTTGCTGAGTTACCCATAAATTCTTTTTGCTTTTTGAAGTCCGTGTGAGTGCCGTTTTCTTTCAACAAATCAAACAAAAACTGGATCATCTTTGACTGTGAGTCCAAATCACTATTTTTCTTGCTGTGGTTGTTCGCGATATTTCCAACATTAAATTCATGTTTTTCTCCTTTTCTATGACTAAGGACAGAATTTTGTTTACTTGCGGGAAAGTGCTCAAGTTCTTTCTCAATATTCTCAAGATTTTTGGATAATCTAACTTCATTAATCTCATTCTGTAATGGATCATATTTAGACGGTGACCAAATAGACTCAATCGAGTTTTGCTTTCGTTGCTTTAAGATATTTGATAATATATCAGAGACTATATCATTTAAATCTTTACTTTTAGTATTGAGTTTTCTTTTCTCTGAGCTATCATCGTAAATCAAAGGCTGATTATTTCTTCCTTCAACTAATGAGTCAAGATCTGATCGGAACACTGGAGAAGGAGACTTTGTTAGGCTCTTCAACTCATTGTTTTCTTTTGACAAATAATATTCATTCTTAAAATCATTGTTACCTTTCATTATAACTTTCATATCACCACCATTTGGTTCTAATAGCTGAGAGGGTGTTGAAATATCTCTATCACCATTGAGTTTTGTGGTTTTGCGTTCACTACTGAAGTCATCGTTATCTTCTTTCGTCTCCAAATAATTATTATCATTTACAATTTTATTTTGCATATTTTCATTTCCGTACGTAAGTCTTTCGCGCCAATTGTCTTTAACTTCATCATCTTTAAGATAAGTTCCTCTTGTTCTCACATTCTTGTTACTTTGTAGAGATCTTTTTCTTCGTGTAATATGTGAGAGGCGAGCAATACCACGTATACCTCTAGAAGGTATGTCCTCACATAGCTCACGTTTTATGCAAGACACAAGTAAACATCGTTGGTCTTGTAGCAAAGCAACATCACAGTCAGACTTCTGACAACAAAATTCCTTGCATGATTTCATGCTTGTCACAATTCCAACATCTGTGACAAACACATGATTTAGTCCACCACGCACAGTAGTAAAATACCGATCAGGACCTGGAATACAATCAGGCAATTTGTCAGAGTTTTCTTCTGTCTTTTGTGGGTGGATATGTGTTGTCGGTGAACCGCGGTTATAACCAGCAAAATTTTTACGAGGTCGTGCTTTTTCAAAGTTTGAATAAGAAAGATATTCATACGGTGTTGCAGGTTCATAATATTTTGCCTGGAGATAGGGATTAACATCTTCATTTCTTCGTGCATCATTAAGTAGGCTGGACTGTATCTTTCTGTTGTACCCTGGTTGATACATCATACCAATTTCATCGTACACGGGGAGAGCAGACATTTGAGACGCTCCTTTTAATTTAACTTTCTTACTTTTTACAACAAACGCCGCTGCTAATCTCATACCAGATAATAAAGATGATGGTTCTAATGCGCATGATTCACTGTCGTAGCATACAACTAAAAAGCAATTGTCACGCAACATGTATACCAAGTCACATTCGTCGATCTGGCAACAATGGCGAAAGCAGTCTTGAAAATTGTCGACCCTCCCCTGGTCTTTGAAATAACCCGACCTCAAACCATGACGTAGCGTAACATTGTAAGAGATCGGGTAGTGCAGGCATGAGGGAGGATCAACTTCATTTAACAACCCTGTGTGCCTGCGGAATGCCTGATTAGGCTCAACATTTCTATCATCAGAAACATCGTTAATTGATTGAATTGACGAGGATGGCTTTAAGAAACCTTCAGTTTTTGTTGGTTCAAGTACTTTGTCATGAGTCACCAATGATTGTTCGGTTAAAAGATCGACTAATTCATTTTCAATCAATGAATTTTTGCGATCATTTTTCTCTTCATCACCAAGGTGTTTATATTCTACCATTGCTGGATGAGATCCCTCCACTATTTCCTCTAATGATACATCTTTGTCGTTGTCAAAATAAATTCTCTGGGGGGAATGTTTAATTCGTCGTATATGTACAAGACTTGGATGATATTGTATTCGCCTTACTGGAGCGCTTGCGCAGTTTTGTAGATTAAAACAAGAAACTGTGTAACATATACCTTTGATCAACATAGCAACATCACATTTTATTCTCTTACAACACCATTCAATGCACTCGTTCATATTTAGCACTTCTCCTTGCTCTGTATATATGCCAGCATGTATTCCACCAATAAGTGTAACATCGTGTTCTACTTTCCCGGGAATACAATGCTCTCTTATATGCGTACTATGAGAAGGTTCTACTGCAGCTTTAACATTGATTCGAGGTTTATTACTATCACCTCGTTTCTCTTTTGAATAGATGAGATTTTTAGAAGTATTTTTATCGTGGTAAGACTTATCAAACACCAGCGTTTTAAACGGCTCCATTTTTTCTTTTTTTTGTTGCAACTTGTCTGAAGTTATAAACAAACGTTTACGAGGAGGAGCCTTTGCAGATTTGTTAAGGATATTTTTGTTGTATAAAATCTTGGCAAAAGATGCTGATAATTCGTGTGCCTCGTTTTTCGTGTCGAGCCACTGCATGATATCCTTGTGTCTTTTTACGTAGACAATCTTAGTGACAAATTTTGCATCTGAATTTGGGACAAGATCGCATTGATTTTTGCATAGTACACCAAAACACTCATTGAACACCATGAAAGCAAGATTGCAACCATTCCATTCGCAACAAAAGTGTACACACCTTTCCACTGAATTTACGATCCCAAAATATTTTCGTAATCCAAAGTTCTTTGGTATCATATTCAAGGAAGGATGACTTTTCACACAATTCCCTCGTTTCCTACTTTTCCTGGACTGTATATTATGTTCACTTGCAATTTTTACTCTCGCTTTTCTAACTTTGTTGTTAGTTAGACTGTCGCTGTTAATTTTTACTTTTGCTCTTTTCTTTATTTTGAAAGGTTTGTTTGGTCTTTGTTGTATGACTTCATTTAATTGTACCAAATGTTCGCCAATTTGTGTTTGCACGTTATTGTTCTTTGACTCGTTATAGTTTTCGCTCAAATAATGTGAAATTTTCAATCCTTGATTCACGTTACTCAAAGCTTGAAAATAACGTTTAAGTTTTTCTCCCTGTGAAATGAATGCTCTTGTATTCTTTAACGATTCCAGAGCAGGTATAGAAAGCGATATTGAACTCCATGTTATTACGCTGTTTTCATGAATTCGTGATTCCAACGCGTCTTTCAGTTCAGTCATAGTTTTTTCGTACAATCTGTTTGTATCGTAATTCTTAATCATGTCGTCCTTGATTTCAGTTATATGTGAATAGGACGAGGGGCTAACACGGTATGTAGAAGATGTTGAAATTATCTTTCGAGCGTGACGTCCAAGATCCAACTGGACAATGCTTCTCAGATTTTGTAGAACATAGTCTCCATCATCAGGTACATATATAAATTCATTGGATATGTCAGAGAGACTTTTTATTAATGTGTTCATACTTATACTTGGTATATTGACAGGTTTGACAATACTCGACTCCAAATGCAAAAGCTTGTTTTCTTCATCAATAATACGTGCGGAATAATAAGGAGGCGCATAACTCATAATTTGACCGTTAAATCTCCTATAATACGACGTAGTTTTAAAAGGATAAATGGCAAACGACTTATGATTGCCTTTTGTAGTTGTTGAATCCATTGGAATAAGATGATTATGGTCATCATTAGCATTTGCTATAGTGTAGAAGGTTTTTGAGTAGCTTTCATTATGTTTCGACCATCTAAGGGAAGAGAATTCATTTGGTTCGTGTTTTGTGATCATTGATTTTACATCTAAATGATAGTTACTGTAAGCACTAAAATTTTCCACATCACCAGAGCTAATCCATTTGCTATCTCTCGACAACAATGTTGCATTGAAATGCAGACTAGAGCTATCAACAGAATACATTGTACCTAATGGCACATGCTTTTGCGTAGCAATCATTGACCCAAGACGTTTGAAAATATGCCTTTTGTTCTTGTTCAGTGACATTGACGTAGCAAGTAGTGTATTAGAGATTTTCATTTGATAAATACTTCTTGCTGGTTGATCTTTGATATTAATGATTGACTCGAGATATCTCATGCGCTCATTCAATGAATACTGCTCGTGCATCAGACCGCGAATTTTCTCTTTACTCAAAGGAGAAATACCTGATCTAAATAAAGCTTCGACAACTTCCTCAGCCATATATTTTTTAAAATATGCTGATTTATTAACTACCGCAGAAGAAATAACAGAAACGTTATTGCTGGATTTTGCCATCGTCCAACTATTCATGGCTGGAGTTGTAATAACGGCAATCGGTGATTCCTTCAGTTTTGGTGTGGCAATGTTTTGTGACTTTTTATATATCTGAAAATGTTTCGGAACTGTCCAAGGATCATATATGGAAGACACAACTTTAATAAAATTGTTCTTTGTTAGCTTTTTGTCGTTGGTCACATTTTGCAAAGAATCGTTTTTAATATAGTTGAGATTATGCATAATATTCCTCAAATTTCCTTGTTCCAGAGATAAATTCCTCATCTTCAAAACAATTTTATACAGTGAGATGTTTTGGTGACTTTTTGAAAAGTTTATTGGTTGAATGCTAGCAGCGTTCTCTTTTAAAATTTCTAAGTTTATTTTACTTTTTGAATGAATTGATTGGGATGGATGTGTAGAATGCTGTTCTTTGAATGTTTCTAAATTGTATTTGCTGTTAGTTTTGTTAGCTTTGATAACCATATTGGTCATGGAGATAAATGATGGTGGATTTGACTGTGAAGATGAAAGAACAGCGCTTTCTTTTTTTCTTGACGTTAGTCTTAACATTGCAGATATGGTTTGAGGGGCGATATTTTCGTAAAGATATGCGTAGCTGACTTCATCATTAAATTTGTCTAATCTTATGTTTCTTGACGCGTGCAAGATCGTTGACGCAGATCTTTTAACGAAAACCAAAATTGTTTTTTCGCCATGTAATGCTTCAAAATGAAAGCATGGTCCATCTGAGAGGCAAGATACAATGTAACATTTACCGTACTGAATCATAGCAACATTGCAGTTTCGTACTCTGCAGCATTGCATACCACACAACCATGTATCTGAAACATTTTCATATAAGGTGACAATTCCGTGTAATCCATTTTTACCAATGACTAAATTTGAGATAACGTGTGGTTTTATTTCACAATTATCCGCAAAAGATGATGAAGAGCTGACAAATCTAAGTTCGGCAAGAGTTTCTTTTTTAACGAGAGCTACACTTGAATTAATTCTAGGATCATGTGTTAGCGAACACTCCTCATGTTTGCAGTCAATTGCATAACAAATGCGTTTTTCAAACAATGCTGTGTTGCAGCGTTTAGATTCACAACATTTCTCTACACATGTTTCCATACTGTTCATATTTTCATAATGAATATATCGCTTTTCCACAGCATTGCTGATGGTGATTTGCTCAAGAATTGTTGATGTACTTTTACATTTTATCACGTGTTCATCTTTTTCATAAACTTTAAACGCTTCCTCCAAATGTTGTACTGTTTGTAGTATTCCTTTTATCGTCCCGTTGTGTTTTGAAGATAGGTTTTTAAGCGCAAGATAAATTTTTGATGATATTGATGAATTAAAATTCTGACTGCTCCTTGTTGAATCTATCTTTGAAGGGATATTATTTAACGAAACTTTTTCATTTGTAAGATGCATGATGATTCTCTCAAGACGCTGCATTCGTGAATCAACACCCTTAATTACATTTATCATTTTTTCACCCGACTTTTTTGCACTCACTGCGGTTTGGAAAACATATTTTAAACGATTGAAAAGTTTCTTCAACTGTTGAGCATATGGGATGTTTAAGATGGAAGATTTTCCCAACATTCTGTCCACATGCTTAAAATGATTAACCAAGTGTGTTCTGTTTTTATGTAGTTTACTTTTTGCTAATGATGACAGGTTTAAAATGGAGTATTTGTGACTCTGAATATGCTTTGTTGCGTTCCTTAACGATACCTTTTCATTGAAATTATTGAAGCTGGAGAATGTATTGAAATATTTTTTTGAATTCAATGATGAAATCGTTTTGTTTCCATGGTCTTCATTTCTATAATTAACCTTGAAAATCAATTTCTTTAGTGTCTCTTCACTCACGTTCCTTCTCATTTTATTTGCAGTTTTAGGTTCAATCCTGAACACCCAATAGTTTAGTCTTTTTTTATTTGGGTTCTTTTTATTTTCAATGCTTTTAATGTTTTCCTGGAAGTTTTGAAATGGTTTTTGAAGAGAATTATTTTTATGACTTCGTCGATAATGTTTGATTTTGTTAAATAAGCCACTTTCTCTTACTTTGCGTTCCATAAGGTTAATTTTTGTTCTCTGTACATTGTTGATGTTGTTATGAAAATTTTTGATAAGCCCAGTTTTTGTAAAGCTCGAATTTTGATTGTTATAGTCAATGGAAAATGTATAGTTGTACTTATCATTGAACGATTGCTTTTTCATCATACTTGTCTTGTCTTTCCCTTTCTTGCTGTCTCCAAATCGTATGTGAAAATCAAGATGCGTCGGGTTAGTTTCATTGACAATAACTTCAGCCACGGTTTCATTTGATACGGGAATTTTGTAATTGGAGCCAACTTCCTCTTCGTGTTTTGTTTCGTTGAGAGAATGAAAAAGACCCTTCTTATGTTGAACATTAAAAACCATTTGGTGAAAATTTAATTCTTTCGCATAATCTGAGTAAGGTACAAGATGGCTTGGTGACAATTTTCTCCGATCTGAAAACGTATTTATTTAAAATAAGTTTACTAAGTTAATGACACTATACAACCAACTTTGAAAAATGTATACTCACATTTTTTGTCTTTTTTAACGGTCTTTGATTTTTTTTGTAATTCATTTAAATCTAAAGAAGATTGTTGCAGGTTTAAATGTGTTTTTAGACAAACTAAGTAAGTAAAAAAACTTACCGCTTGATAATTTTTTTCGTACAACATTTTCACGCCAAACGTGCCCACTAACATTCGCCACAGGATGTTTGACATATTTAAAAAATATCCAGTTTTTCTGTTTTTCATTATTTTCTCTCCCAATTGGTTTATAATCTTTAATCAGCTGAAATTTCTCTGATCTTGCAGTAATTTTTGTTTTGTCATTATGATCAACTCTCCATTTCTTTAAAATTGTCTGTTTATTTTTATTATTTGGCCAATTCCTACGATTGTTATGATCGTAAACTTCCTGTTTACTTTTCTCCAAGTCTTCAATAGAGACATTTTTCAACACTTTTTCTTTGTGTCTCGGTCTTTCCTTGTCTTCAACTTTTCTTTGCATTTTGTTTGTTTTTTCCTCTCGTCTGTTTTCTTTTATTGTCGTGTCTCTTTCAACCTTAGACTTACTATTCTTAATAAATGTATTTCTAGATTTATAATTTTCATTTATTTCTTCAGTTGTAAAATTTTGCTCATTCCCAATATCATCAAGTATATCCTTTTTACGTTTGGTTGCAATTGCTTGTTTTCTATTCGCAGGAATACGTTTACCACCTTTTTTAACTTTTGTGACATTGTTTATCAAGTGTTGACTATTAGGAGGAATATGCTTACTGTCAATTGATGCTTTATGTGCAATTTTTCTGAAATTCTCTGTTGTCTGGTTTCCTCTTTCAAGTTTTTTCAGCAAAGAATTTTTGGATATGTTTTCCAATTTTTCCGATAAAGCTTCGTAGTACGTGTGATTCTTAATTTTTGTTCTGTTTGGCTCACCATTTTCATCGGTCGTCATGTTAGAAATTATCAGACTGAATGGCATATTTTTTCTATTGTCCTTTGAATTCATTTTTCTACGTTTACTAGACATACTTGGAGCAAATATCAGATGCTTTTTAGGTTTTGTGAGCTTTTTTGATACTTCTCTCATTAGAGGCGAAGAATAGAGAAAATGAACATTTTCTTCATCATCATGTGGAAGACTGAAATTCCTGACTCCTTTCATGCTTTCATTAAATGATATTTTCCAAGGCCACATCTCGTTCCCATGAAATTGTTCTTTAGTTGGCGGAGAGCTTCTCATCGTGTTTTTACCATCTAACTCCTGTTTTTCTGGTTTCAATATCTTATTACCATTGACATTCTTTCCATGCAAATCATGTTTACGACAAATATGTTTTAACTCATTGCCATTATTTACATGAATATTTTTAAATTTAGGAATGATATCTCCATGCGCACCTTGAAGACGATACGAAATGTAATTTTTCTTTGTCATATTCTTCAAATGAACAGCCTTACTCTCATTTGTATCGTTCATTTTTGTAACTGGAAAATTCCTTAAAGGACGTTTATGTTTCATTAATAATTGTGAGTTGTACTTCATACAAAAGTTATCATTGCACGAAAGATTGGTGTCTGTTAAACGGAATCCATTCATACGGTTTGTTTCAGTAGTGGCAATTTGAGTATCTATTTTTTTGGCTTTTATCAAACGGGAGTAATCTGTTTTGTTACTAAGTTTATAATTTTCGTTTGTTGTGTTTTCTTGCTCTTTTAACTTACTTTGTGATATATTTTTATAGGATCCATTTACAGTTTGTAGTACATACGATGCTTCATGCCATTCTGTATCATTATCGCTGTTATTGTAGAAATCATATAAAACACCATTTCCTTTGTTCAAAAAAGGTGGAAGTTCGGATGGATGTCGTTTCGAGAGCCACGCAATATGTGCAAAATGCTTATTATGAGTTGATAATTTTATATGATTGTGCATCTCTTTAGGCTTCTTTTTATTGATCTTGGTAGTTTTTAGATTATTCGTCATCAATCTTTTGCTCATCTCAGAGAAAAAAGGTTTCTTCTTGTTCTTTTTCTCGTAGCTGTGATGACTGACTTGAATTACTTTAGATTGCTTTTTCTCCTTTTGATTTTTTTTCTGCTCTGTTTTTTTAGTTTTGATTTTATCTCCAACCCAATTTCGTTGAACTTCCCTAGGTCTTTTGTCATGTTTTAATGAGGTTTTTGCCCCGTCATTTACAAAAACTTTATTCAAACTATTTAGTGTAAACAAACTTTTATTTTGCCTTATATGATGAAGATAGGATAAGCCAATTGGTAAAGCAAGAGACACACATCCGCGTTTATCCTCATAGCAATGAAGGGAATAGCAAAATTTCCCAATTTGAAATGCCACATTACAGCCATTTTGTAAACAACACAAGCCTCCACATTCACTACTTACGTTTGTTTTACCACTAAGTTTCCACTGTCCTGGTTTAAGAGCATCATTGCCATTGTCAGCATCGTGGAGGCATGTAATTTTCTTTCGTTTCGCTTTCTCTATTGTAGAGTTCCTTGCATGTAATCTTTCTTTTTCGTTGGTGGTTTTTATGTCATCTTTATTTATGCCTATACCCTTCTTTGCTGAAGTTTGTGAATGAAATGGTCGACCCATTTCCGGATGTGAGCTGTTTGCATTCGTTTCCTCCTTTGAGAGTTTGGTTTTGGCATTAATTCTTTCATTTTTAATAGAAGAAATGCCTTTCAACCCTAGATTTTTCTCGCTCATCGACGAACTAGTTGTTTTACTTGTTTTAAGTTGTAAGGGCTTGTTCAAGCTGTATTCGATTTGGTGTTCTCTTCGTATGCTAATGATTTTGGAAGTAAACTCCAGCGAGCTCCAACGTGGAACGATTTCACAAAGCGTTGCATGAAAGCACTCTACATTGTAGCATTCCTCATCGAGAAGAAGCGCTATGTCACATTTTAAATAACCACAACACAGCTTTCCGCACTCTTCTGGATGTTGAACTCGACCAGCTGGAACAAATAAACCTCCACTAAAGCCACCTCTTATAAAGGAATTGTGATGTACATTGATAACATTACACTTTGTATCAAGATTTATATCTTTAGACACGTTTCTTAAAGACTTTTCCCCTTGGTTTTCATTAGTCCCTTTTTCACCCCTTTTTGGCTCTTTTTCAAAATTCTGAGCATTTCCTTTCCCAATCTTTTGACTTAACGGTATTGTTCTGTTAAAAACAGAACTCATTCCTTCACCTCGTTTCAGTAATTCTTCACCAATTTTTATCAAATACTTCCCAACCGAGGTAACATTTCGTGTTCCAACAATATCATAAATTTTATCTTTGTTCAAGGGAGATTTTTTGGCCAAGATCATGTTCTTGCCTGCTTCAATAGCAGCTTTCCCAACTTCAAAAATTCTCTTTGTTATTACATAGACATGGCTATGATTTGACGAAATAAGGTTTCGTTTTGTCGAGTTATCAGGATTTGATTTGCTAATAGTTTTTGTTATTGAAATTGGAAATGCATTGCGAAAACTTGAATTGTGTGGTTGAGCTCCATGGAAATCTGAACTCGCAAAGAAACTATTATTTGTTTCTTTGAAATATTCAAGCGAATTATTAAAAGGAGAGAGTTTTTTGGGTAAATACCCTGAAGGAACTTGTGAGTGCAACAAAACATGCTTTCTATGCAAGAGGTGTTCTTGCTGTATATCTGTTTGTTTCGATTTTATTGCTGCCAATTTTGAAAGGTTGGACTGAATTCCACTGTTTTCAAACAGTCTTACATCGTTATCTGATTGATCTTTTAATATGCTTGATATCATATCAAGCATATTCTCATCCTGTTTTAAGTATTTTTCTTGCGCAGCGTCAAAAAGAGTCGTGTCATCTTTTTCATTGGAGCTTTCAGAGGTAAGTTGTAAGAGTAAATCATTAAGCTCTATTTCCATCTCATTTACAAAATCATTTAATCTTTCATCATTGATTCGACTACTCTTTGTAACATTTTTTCTGTCAAAACTATTGTCAAAGTTTTGTCTTTTCTTTTGAATATCCCCAATATTAATATCTTTAACAAAACTGTTGTCACCAACATTTCCACCATTTTTAAATTTAGAAACAGCAAAAGAAGCATTGTTGGTTTCGTTAATAACATAATTCTTTGGCTTAAAATCATCGTCAGAGTAACTTTTGATAGGATTCTGACGTTTCCTTTTTTCATCACTTTGAAATGTAACGTTCATACAATTATAACCAGCAGAACATGTGATATTAGGATTTAGGTTTGGCTTTTGCATAAAATCTGGCGTTCTTTTGTCTAATATTTCTAATATCTGATTGACATCATTGATGATCTTGGCTAGGAGAGTTGCATTATGTTTTATGCTATGTGCAGATCTATTTGTTTTATCTTCATTATGTTTTCGTTGGTGAAAGTATGATGGTGCAATATCTGGATGAATCTCTCTTACTTTGATAAATCTGATCCTCGTCAATCTTCTCTTGAATGCCTTTTTATTTCCCTCTTGAGAGTTAATTGAACGTTTTTTCCTTCTTGATGAAGTATTTTTACCTAAATAAGAATAGGAAAACTCGTTGTTTACAATGAATGATATAGTGCACAATTACTCCAATGCACACCAAAGATAATTAGTTGTTCCACAGCCTCATGAGAGGTACTCTTTTCATATATTTAGATTTACATATAACTATAACAATCGTTGGTGAACGAAATCAATGCTTTGCAAACATGGAAATATTAAGCTAACCAGCAAGTTAATGGTTTTCAGACATTACCTTAATTGATTTAAAAAAATTACAATTTATTCACAGCCAAATGAATGAAGATAAATAAACCTGTTATTTATGCTACAATGATCATCAAAAAAATATTTTTAGGAACTATACAACTTTTAACATGTTTTGCAGCAGTAAAAATAAATGTAACTTTATGATTTATTCACAAAACCGTGAATATAAATACCATGGTATGAGTTAGAAGAAAAAGAGAGCAATATTTGCGTCGGTTCAAAAGAATGAAAATATTGTCGTTTTAAGACACAGGTACCAGTCTCAATGAACGGAAAACACTTTAGTTGACGTTTGAGATGAAATATAAGACGAGCAAAAGAAATAAATACATGTTCATGGAATATTTTGGTGGAAACTGTAATAAATATTAACTGCATGCTACAAAATTTAATCTGTTAAAATAAATGGTCGCAATGTAAAGAGCTAGAGAGAGAGAGAGTAATATAACATGCATGACCATTGTAAAATGCTCCATTATACTTTCTAAAACACATGCTTTAATGTTACTTGAGTTTAGATCTATTCCATTCACTAACAACTTTAATGAAAAATAAAATAAAAAATGAGGACGATGCTTACCTTTCCATACTTTTTCTTTGTCAGTTATAGAACAGTTAGAGTAACATCTTAATCGTATTTCTTCCTTACTTTGGAGACAAATCTTTTCTATGCCTGCCCGTTTTTGACACCATATTCTCTTACAACACCATGCAAAACATCGCTTACTTTTGATTGATGTCTTCGCGTGTTGTGTCCAGTGATTGAAAATCTTTCTTTCACGGATCGCTTCGCTAAATGTCAGCGGTCCAGTAAAGCGAAAAAAGTGCGATCCAAATTTACAAACAGCTTTTTTTGGATGAATGATGTCCCTCGCCCTTGTCACATAAATACATAAAGCTAGAGGGAAAAAACAATAATAGCACATTTGCATTCATCGCTTTTAATGAATAATTTTTAAGATGATAGATACTACTAACCTGCCAAAACAACGGTGTAAGTTAAAAGCACCTTTATACACGAATAAAAAACGTTTTGTCTCCAAAACATACCATAACTGCGCAAAACGAGACAATCTTTACAAAACTCAGTCGTATATTTTCATTTCTTTTCTTGCATACGGATATTTCTTTATAACATTCTCATATTTCTCATTTTGTGGAAGTTTGCGCTGCTTATTGGAGCGAAGTAAGTCGTTCAGGACATATGACGCCACTGTGCCATAGGAATCGAAGGGTGACGTGTTTTAAACATGTCACAGCTTTAAATATACAATGTTTAAGAACACATCTTATACGACAAATAACTTAGATAGCGTAATGTCCGACTATAGTCGTTGCTCATATACTTTTTTCTTAAGAAGTTTTTTTTTATGTTTAAGATACAAACGTGGAAATCATTTGAAGATACACCAGTGTTATGTTTATTGACCAGAACCTCGTCAAAAAGGTGACCAACGGACCGAAATAGTCCGGAATCAATGGCTTCATTTAGCTGCGTGAAATCAATTTCAAGCGTGACGTCATTTAAGAAAATTTACAATTCTAGTTATTCTACCAAAGATGATAGAAGTATTTTGGAAATTTGTGAACATTGTCAATCATTCATCTGTCAGAAATGAAACAAGAAAAAGAAACGGTGAACTTGAAGAAGAAATAAATTAAAGCTATATTAAAGCTATATTGAAGCTATATTAAAGCTATATTAAAGCTATATTAAAGCTATATTAAAGAAAGTCTTTGTTAGCGCACCGCAATTTCATTTGTGCCCGGCTAAAAATTCACAATAACCATATGCATTTCATATTATTCTGCATTCAATCCAATAATTTACCGTAAGGTGGTATGACGAGTTGCACTTAGCACTCTACTCAATTTTCACCAGCATATGAAAACAACAACAAACAATTTGCGAGCCCGCAAACAACTATTGTGCGAACTATTGCGTAAAAAATATTTTGATAAAATGGCGGAAAGTACAAGCAATGATCAGTCCACTAAATCACTTGTAGAAATTTTGAATATAGACCCAGAACTGGCAAAATATTATTTAACTAGAGCAAGATGGAGTATAGAGGTAAATTTATAGTATAACGAGTTTTTAAACACGATATTTTTTAGATAGGACTGTCAAAGTCACTGGTCGAATTTGACTGTTATTATATTACCATCATAGGGTGCAATCAACGAGTTCTACTCTGACACATTAAATGATACTCAACCACATGGACAAGAAAAGGTTAGTTTACTCAGGGATTATGGTGTGTTTTACTATACTTGTGGCACTAGTTTTATTGTTTAATTTAATGAAGCCACCACCACCAACTTATTTGGAGACTGTTCGGCCTACAAGGTATTTATCAAAATATGTTTATAATATTTGTACTCACATTATAGTTCACTTCTTATTGATTGATAAGTAGGTCTAGGATGCTGAAACTTCTTTGCTGGAATCTTGATGGATTGGATTTAGAGAATCTTGATGAAAGAACAGTGGCAGTGCTTGAAAGTATTCTATTAAAGAAACCGGATGTTGTTCTTTTACAAGAAGTTGTTGATTTTTCATTGAAAATTCTTCAAGAAAAGTGTCATGGGTAAGTTAAAATTCTAACCAAAATTAATATCTTTGTACTATTATGTTCTTACCATTACATATGAAACTAACTAAAAGCTATTTTTCTTTAGTTACCTGGTGTTGGCTGGTGACAAGTTAGGTTCCTATTTTAATGCCATATTAATACGAAGTGATACTGTTGAGACAAAGGAAACATCACTGAAGGTGGTTCCTTTTGAGAAGAGCGTCATGGGGCGACATTATCTCATTCAACCAATTAAGTTCTTTAATGCAAAGATTGTTTTGATGACATCACATCTTGAAAGTTGTGGAGAATATTCTGGAGAACGAAAAAGGCAGTTGTCAGAAATTTTAGATTACATAAAACGTCAAAATGAAAATTTTAACGTTATCTTTGGGGGAGACACAAATCTTCGTGACAAAGAAGTTAAGGATTTGGGAGGGATTCCTATGGGTATTTTTGATGCTTGGGAGAGCTGTGGTAGTGAGCTGACTACCAAGTACACATGGAATATGGCTGAAAATGATAACCTTGGAAGAGAATTTCGACCACCTCCAAAATTGCGTTTTGACAGAATATTTATTCGACCTGCTAAGGGAGAAACAGCAATACGACCAAATTCCTTTTCTTTGATTGGAAAAGAACGTTTAGGCAACTGTGGACGTTTTCCAAGCGATCATTGGGGAATTTGGTTGGACCTACGAGTAGAGTGACATTGTTATACTGTTAACACTTTCATAGTAGCTTTCAATTTTATTGTTCAAATAAATTAGAGCAATAACGTGTAGTTAAGGTATACTTTGATTTTTAACTTTCAGTTAAAATTCAACATTTGCACGTAAACATTTTTGAATGGAGCTAATGAAAATTACAGGTGATTGACTCTAAATTGGACTTGTTCGTACAAAATTCAACCTGTTATGCATGAAAGAATATAACAAAAAACCTGTTTTTGATGAACACTGTCTACAATTAGATATGTGGCAAATTTTATAAAGATTATCGAAATGGTATTAAAATAATTGAGAAATGTCTAATGAGGATATCAAAGATTTTCACGACATTGTCTTGTCTCTCATTATTCTGTAAAAATGAACCATGAAGTACAGATTTTGTTGTATATCCACTGGATTATTGTTTACATATATTTATTCCAGTTTTGGCAAAAAACACGGTAAGAGCTCTGTCAAGAACGCACATCTTTATTCAATAACTATGACTACGACGAAAGATGTTAAGATGGTTATGTATTAGAGAAATGGTTATTTGACATTTGTTGATAATGTTGCTAATGTTTGAATCATGGTCACTGATTAAGTATCATAAAAGGTCGATATTCCACAATTTTTAGTGCCCAAACACATTCTTTTGCCAAAATCTCAAAGAAGCGATTCATGTGAGACAAGCCCGATACGACAGAATGTAACATTACGAGGTGGAATTAGAGCGGGATACTTTCAAAAACTTACACAATACGTTGCAATGCAATTATGTATTCAGTTATGTTGCCAGAAAAAAGGTTGTGATGTTGCATTTATGGTTGATAAGAACTGTTACGGTGTTAAATGTTTTAGTGAGTATCTTTGTCATATTGTTCCCGCCAAGAATGCCCCAAGATCACTAATACTATCAAAAGTTAACTTTAAAGGTGAAGGTAAGCTAGTAAATCATCAGCCAGATTAATTATTCTGTAAAACATTTTTTTTTCAAATTTTCCCTTGACGATGAATATTTACCCTGAAATATTTTCCTGAATTTTTGACTTTATCGTTTGGTTCAGAAAACCTAGAAAGATTTATGCCTGAACGATTAAGATGTTTCCAAATAGCAGTAGAACATAATGTGACATTAAAAGATGGCCTTCTCGCTGGTAATTTTACTGCTGTTGGTCACGTCAAAGACATCGATACATGTGCAAAACTATGCTGTGTCAGAGATAATTGTAACATGGCTTTAATGATAAAAAATCATTGTTTTATGGTAAGATGTAAGAATAACGCTGGATGCAAAAGTATACCTGTCGTTAATAAGCAACTTCATACCCATATCGTCAGAGTAAAGAGGACAAAAGTGGTTGCAAACGAACAGCAAATAGGTAAAAAAGACTTTCACAAAATATATTTCAACTATCCAGACGAAAGGTAATATAATCCAGATCTTGTTGAATTTAACAGTTCGTGCTCTCAGCATATCATCCGGTAAAAGGTCCATGTTATTTTGTAAGAATGCAGCTATACAATACAATCGTACTTTGTTGGGAGGATACGAAGCTGGGGAGTTCAAACTTCTTTCAACTTCAATCGACATGTCTGCATGCATTCGTTTATGTTGTAGCGATGTAACTTGTGACGTGGCTTTTATGATAGAAGTCAAATGTTACGGAGTTCTTTGTAAAACAGAGAAACTATGCAAAGCTATTCCTGCCAGGACTTCATCCCTTTTGCAGTATTTGAGTCCAAAACTCTCTTATATCACCAACAGAAATGAACAAGGTACGTACAAACAGTTTGAAGGAAAGCGTTGCATGCATAGAGAAAGGATCAAGTCAGTTATTATAGTATTTATCGATCTTTAAGTTTGTCACCACGACAAAGTCTCTGTGTCATTATTATAGTATTCTTAACTTTTCCATTATATATCTTAGTAAAATTAAAAACCCTACGTGACCACTATGCATTTTTATGAACGGTCACCACTCTGAATAAAAACGTTATAAAATAAAAATATTGTATTACTACCGCCTAATTTGTCAATAGTTAAAAAATTCAAATCTAAAACTTTCTTTTTCATTATTTGCAGTTAGCACAATAGTCATCAAAACAGAACGTGAAATATGCAAATCAAACGTAATCTCCTATGACGTCACATTACGTGGTGGAACCCATGTCAAGCAACACAAAGTGTTTAGTGAAGTGAACAATATTGAAGACTGTATTCGAGTATGTTGCCAAGAGAAGTACTGTGATGTGGCTTTGATGATAAACGGAACTTGTTTTATTGTACGTTGTCGTAATGAACAAAGTTGCGAAGAAGTGAAATCTTCTACAAGTTATAAGATGAAACCAATGCTTTCTTTCGTAGTAAGAGAGAATAACATTGATGTACAAAGAAGTAAATTGTTCCAACCAAAGAACAACCATCATCAGAAAGGTGATTACTACTCATGTTTATCTGTAGCTGTGGAAAACACAACTCATTCTCACAGTAGAAACATCGATTTCTTCATGTAAATCTCTTTTCTACGTTATAGGATATCGCAACCATGATATAAGCATAAATAAAGCATTGTGGCACTTGGAGATGACCTCTCTCATCAAACATACAGAGAAAGAATTTTACGTCAAACAGTCAGGAATAACAAGCGTTCTCAATGAGTTCCGCTGTACCAAGAGCAAAATAATGCACAACGTCACATTACGAGGTGGAATAGCATCAGGGATTTTCAAAGACAAAGGGATACTGTCCAACATGCAAAAATGTGTACAAATATGTTGCAATGCCAAGAAATGTCATGTTGCTTTTATGATAAGTGGCCATTGTTTCTCTGTCACTTGTAAAAACCAATCTCTATGTGAAGTAGTAAGTGCACGCAGGACTAAGTATAAGTCATATATTGCTTACATTTACACCAGATCCAAGGTAGATTACAAATTAAAATATAATGAGACAACTACTAAAGGTAAATACAAACGAAAGAAAAGCAAGAATTTACAGGAAGATAAAAAGCAGTCTGAGTGCAGCAAGAGAATATCAAAAAAACAAACATTATTGGCGAGAAAGCAGTTATCTTGCATGAATGTAGAAAAACTAAAACAAATGCATGCTAAAGAGACAATTCTTTTACGAAAATTAGCTCAATTGAAATTACAAATGGAATTAATTAAGAACCAGCGTAATAACGACAATATTAGATTATTATAAAGCTTTAGCAGTAAATCTTATGTATAGCTGACTGTAGAAATAACATCTGTGTCAAACACAGAACATATGATAAGTTACATAACCTTTTTTAAATACTCTGTCTCCATAGAAGTAAGTCGACAAACAAGATCAAATAGACAAATATATCACAATTTTTCATTGTAGCCATCAAACGATTAAAACATAGTCTGCTTTTTTAAGGAATGAAAAAGTATATATTAAGTAATGTATAATATCAATTTAAGAAATTTTTAGTAATAAAAGATAAATTAAGATAAATTGTAATTCTATATTACTTTTAAGTATTTTAATTCTTTTCAGTAGATAATAAATACTTATAGACAACATAAACACTTTTCATTCATAATTGTTATTGTTGTAAACTACACTATACTTTAGCTCAATAGTTATTCTTCAATAAACCATTGCTTGCCATTACAACAAAGATCATGTTTTTTAGTCTTTAAATATGAACCAAGAAACTTTACTGTTGAAACAGCACTAATGCTAAAATTCTCCTTCGTATTCGAAAACATATGCATTTATAACCGAAAACATACAAAAATGGAATAGAAAAACTTAAAATGGGAATAAATGCATGAAAACTACAAGAATTTATATTTCCTATATTTTATCAGGTTATCTGAAGAGCTACTTGAAAAAAATGAAATAATACACGCTTTTATTTCCTTGAAAGACACGGTGTAAGCCTTGAAAATGTTTTGTTGAAGAGTGGAGTTAAGGAAAACAATACAACTAAAATATACAATTTCTAATGTCAGGCATTTTATGGTGTGTGAAAGACATATTTCTTATAAAAAATAAAGAATAACAACAGTAAATTTTACCTTGCTCTTCGTTGCATTGGTTTGTTATGGATAGACTGTATTCTATGAAAAAAGAAGAAGTGTTGAACGACTAAAGAATATATATTTTTTGTCTAAACGTCATCATGGCCTTATGAAAAATGATGATGAAAGCGACAGTGGCGGGAATTTTGAGCCTCGTAAAACGTTACAGTTTATATTACATGAAGTAATGCCTAGTAACTTTTATGAAAAACAAAATGGGGTAAAGATGATGATACAAGAAAGATTTGCAAATACCCTGCCGTTTTGCGGCGTAAAGGACGGCCACGATGCTTTATTAGTTGCAGCTCATACATTTATGATAGATGCTGGCTATAAGTGCACTGGAATTGGCCAAGAGGTTCAATATGTTGAGCACCAATGCACCAAATTAAATTGTGAAAGTAAAATTTCCTCATCTTATACCTGTAATGTCTCCTAGATTCCTGATTCTCCCAGCAGTATTTCCACAGAAAGTCTTCCTCAAGGCTGGAATAGTAGTCCTGAGCTTTACGCCATCCAATATAAATCTCCGAGCTCTTATCACAAGATATTTTTAATGAAAGTTTTGCGTTTGGAAACTGTGCTTGCTTTCCATGTTCTGGTTAGTTGATCACTTACAAATTGCAAAATGATGCAAAATATTAAATGTTAGTTGTCCAATTTACGGAATATATTTATTTTTATTTTATAGGATGTTGACCAGGAGAAAAGTGTTGATTTGATGGTGGATATCTCAGATTACATCATAGGAGATAAGAATAACTTGCTGCAACATCTTTTTGATTATAAACAGTAAGGTTAACTTTAGTGTTTAAATTTGCATTCAAACTCAGACTTCCTCTACTTATGTTAATTGCAGAGTTGTAAAGAAATTTGAACAGTTTCACCAAGTCTTTAAAAATGAAATAACTAGTAAACTCGAGTCTCAGAAAGAAAAGCCAGCCAGATTAAACACAAACAGGTATGTAGTTACAACTGTGCATTTAGACAGAGTACAAACTTCAATTCGACTTTCTTAAACTGTCATGTTATTTAGATGTGATACCTCAAGACAAATTATTTACCCAGATGATCCACTACGAATCCCACCAAGACAACCATTGATTCATGAAAGACAGTAAGGGTCTACCTACATTGTGCTTTGAGAAACAGATACACAAGTTGAATTACTGTTTAAAAGGGAGATTTATTTTCTTCAGACAACCATCAATTCTTGATCCAAGAGGATATGGTGATCGTGATCTCTTGCCTGGACACCTAGGGTAGATAAATACAAAAGTGATTTATTAACTCAACCCACAATTTTACTTGACTTTACATGTTTAATAGTGCAGGTGGAATGCTGATGGACCCTTTCAATCAACAACGTGGAAGGCATTCACAGGGATATCCTGGATTACCAAGGTTTTATTAAAAATTCCATATTTTACACACAATTTTGGCTTATTGTAAGTTTTGTAGAGGAACTGTTCCTCCTGGTGCAAGATTTGATCCTTTTGGTCCTGATGTTGAGATGGGAGGTGATCATCGACAAAGAAGATTTAGAGAGTATGAAAGCATTTATAACCCTGATATTCGTTGCCATGATTGATTTAAATTAATTAAGCAACATTTTCTTTGTAGACCTGGTCCAGATCACCTAAATCCTCCTGGTTTTGAAGATGACATGTTTATGTGAATTGGAACAAGACAAATGCATGATATTACTGGATATAATTTAGCTTTCTATTACAGTTCAACCATATGAATAATTCTATAGTCTGAATAAAACTGAGATTGCTAATACAAGTTGTGTTACCTACATACCTATATGTTATAACAATACTTGTAGATGTTAATTTAACACTCAATATTTGACTTAAGTTACCTATGTTCAATTACAATGTGTATTAGCTTATTTGAAAAAATAATTCATTATAAAATAGTAATCTTTACTAGACAATTGTTAACTAGTTTCATCAGTCACTGCACACAACAACCATTATGTTCCTTTAGCTTTCTGGATGGCTTGTATTTTTCTAAATATGCCAGCTGTGTTGTATTGATTGCACCACGTCTTTGCCTACAGAGAAAAATATGAAGAATATTTTATAATCAATGTACAATAAAATTAATGTAATAGATAACTTTGTCTTGACATGTTCTGAAAGAACACATGACATCTACCTGCGAATAAAATCGACGGCATCTTCATACTTCATGCCAGCTTCTATTAAGGCTATTGCTACCAGGACAGGTGCTCTATATTAAAAGATAATGTATCTCAGGGTAACATACTGTTTGTCAACAGTTATACATTTATTACCTTCCCAACCCAGCAACACAATGTACGGCAATACAGGATCCCATCTTGTCATGAAATCTTGCTTTTATAAGACTTAGCCAATCTTCCACAACTTGTTTCGGAGGAGGGGCTCCATCATCAAATGCCCAGTCCTGTAAATGAGAAATCAAGAATGCCAAAGTTACATGTTAAATCCGAAAAATGGAAAATTTTAATAAATGCCATTTAAAGTGAAAATGATACTGTTGACAGAAAAGAAAACATGCTTTAAAGAAAAGTATGTAAAAAATTTTATTTATAATAACGTCAGTCAATACTGTTCAAGGAAATAGCAAAAGTTTGACGAAATTTAATGAAATATTTTAGTTATATACATTAGTCGAAAATGAAATAAATGAAATAAGTCCCAAAGGTACAATGAAAGGCTACAGGCAAAGTTAGATAAAAAATCTGCCATAAGTCTTTGAGGTCACAAGAATGGCGTGTCAGTTAGATGTCATATCTTAGTGTTTAAAGGCAAGCGTAAAATTATAATTACACTAAAATCAACCCAAATGTCTTACCAAGACGTTGATTCCTTCATTTTTCAATGGTTCGATGTTGTAAGTTGGTTCACAAACACGGACAACATCGTGAACATCGCGTCTTTTCAACTCCTGCGGCCATGATTTAAGCATGGAAAATTAAATTTCATTATGATATTTAACATCGAACCACAACTAGCAATAAACTTAAATATTATCCCACCTCAATGTATGTTTTAAGGTTAGCATTTGTTGGCCTATCCATAATCAAAAACCTCATCTTTTTGTATTCTATAACAGCAGGAACGCTGGGCGTACTTCGCCGAGAAGCAGGAACACCTCCAGCAACTTTAATGTCTGATGGCGTCTTCATGCCGTGAAAAATCGTTAAAATTTTCTACTGATATGTATTCAATTTCCGTATATCTCAACACCACCCTATACTCTAAATTCACTCTTTTTAAAAATATTTTCTTTTAGCCCATTCGTAATAAATTAAAATGGGTTTTCGTGTTTCAAATCACTCGTGTTGTGCTTGGCAAAATTCTCCACTATCTTTCAAGAAGTACTCCATAAACTTCTCAAGTCTCCCTCGAAGGCCGAATAACTAAAGAATACGAGAATGAAATAATATCATTTTGCATTAATTTGAAGATACCTTTATCAGGAAAAATTCAATGCAACGCCAGATGAACGAAATACATTACACGGACTTTGTCTGTTCCGAAGGGATAGTAAACGTGTCTAAATCTCGACGATATAAATAAAATCACGTTCTTTTGATCGCAAAAGAACGATTTAAAATAGTAAAAAAATGTGTGTACTCACAGTGTAAGCTCTGCTCATTGAAGAAAGTTCCTTTTAATGAAAAATGGCCCCAAAACGCTGGGAAGTCTTTCCACAATGTAAGTGATTAAGACTGAAACTCTATAAACTTGTTTTTGCTTGCTGAAGCCGGTTGTACTGTGACGCAATAATAGGAAAATACCACATCCGTCACAATGTTGGTCACCGAAGCCAGCCAGTGGCCTGGCGGCCGAAATCACAACGATTCATAATTTGGACGTTCATTAGTGTATGAGCGAAACAAGGCTTTCAAAACAAAATAAAATATCATGAAAGTCATAAAACAGTCTGTATTTTGTAAAACTCAATGAGAAAATAAACGGACACCTGACCTCATTCAAAAATGGAAGCACGCGTAGTAAAAAGTATTTGCGTTGTTATCAAGAAACATTTTGCATGAAAACAGAGTTTTTGTGCTTGATGGATAGATTCATATTGACATAAAAGGACTACATATGACCGAAAAAAAATGAAACAGCATTTTTAAGTTTGCACTTGCACCAGATTGCACAAACATAGCGCAATTTCCAAAACTAGGTACGAGCGTGCATGGGAATGAATGACAGACATTTTGTACGTTAACATCGTGGTTAGCCTCCTTACAGACTACTCGCGATAAATGAACTCAAATCGTACGTCATTTAATTAACGACTATAAAACATCAAACAAGTTTTTCTACACATTTAATAATGCACGTGGTTTTACCCAAATTTTTGACGTCATAAGAGCAGTTGGTTAAAAAAGACGAAAATGGAAGTGAAATTTCTTACTAAAGGGGATGCAATGCTCAGTTACTGTACAGTTTTTTCAATATATATATCATTATGGAGCTTGGAACAGCAAAGTGATACATTATTGCTTGTATTATACTACACTGATTTCTTTTATTGCTTACAGTACGCTAGCATTAAACTGAGTAAACCTTGGCAAAAAATAACAAACAATGAGATAGAAGAGGAAGATATAACAGTGACTAAGACATTGCCATACTTTACAACTCCACTATCACTGCTACCATTTCATGTTATATTTCATATTGGGCTAGATCGAGGCTTTTTTTATCAGTTCGTGTGTTGTCTGAGATTATTTTCAATGCACACACAGGGAAGGATACAAATTAAATGGGGACAAAGAGATACAAGACCTTCATTCAAAGGTAATACAAAGGTTTAGAATGCATTTCTTAGTATAAAAATCCTAAATATTTATAGCTTGCTTTTCCAGCGTCGCATAAAGTGTTGATTTGTGACAGAAATAATGACGACGACACAAAATCAACTCATAATGTAAGTATCAATGTATTAGACTCAATTTAACATATTTTTATACACAATGAGACTAGATATTTCTTTTTCAGTTTAAAACAGAATGCAACTGTCTCTGTCGATTAAAGACGTAAAGATGTTGAATCATTGAAAATCCATGTAGTAAAGCAGTACTCAAATATATAAAATTGATACGATATATTAAGATTCGTTGTAGAGCATGTTGAGTCATTTTAACAATAAAAAACATACTTTCATAGTTTAAATACGATACCTTATACGACAGTTTTAACAAAAATATGATCAAAACAGCAGAGCTTTAATGGCGTCACATCTGCTAACCTTACGCAACTGCAGCATGATCAATGGACTCAGTATATTCCTGCATTCTTCGCTCAAGCTCAGGTCGAAAGTGACGGATTAAACCCTTTAAAAAATCAGGAAATTCTTGAAATGTAAATTCTACTTCCAAGAAAACAAATTATAGAAAAATGCAATGATATGAGTACGTACCTGAGCAGGCCACGCTGCCCCATCTCCCAGGGCACATATAGTATGACCTTCAATCTGTTTACTTAATTCCTGAAAATAATTAAAAATTAATGAACATATAATGTCTTCATTTCACCTGATTTTTTGAGGAGTGATATATTTACCCATAGCATATCAATTTCGGATGGTTTCGCGTTTCCTTTCGCTAAAATAAATAAAGGAATTGTGCTAAAAATTGCTTTGATAAATGAAAAAAAAAACATTTGTATATATAATTTGAACATTTTTTACCAAATCTGTACAAAATTTTTGTCATCCAGCCTGTTCCTTCACGGCAAGGTGTACACTAAGGTATTAAATAAATCATCTAACTTTTTCTAACAATGTGCAAACTAAGCTATTAAATTATTGTCTAAGTAATACTTAACCCTCTGACAATGGGTACAATAAAGCATCATATACACACCTGACCACAGCTTTCGTGTTGGTAAAATGAGAGTAGACGAGCAATAGCTTTAACAATGTCAGTCTAGCATAAAAATTGTAAACTAATTATTTATGGTCATCATGATATCAAAAAGCCATTCTCTTAAAAATAGTTACATATTTAAACACACTAACAACACTGAATTACAGTAACGAAGTAATTAAAATGTGAGTTTCACATATTTATCTACTTTAGAAATTAACTTTCTTCAAATCTATTGTGAAACATTTTCAATTATATAAATGATTAAGAAGAAAAAACGCAGTGATATGGAAGTCCGATAGACTCCATTATCAAACCTGTTTATTCATGACAATGATAGCGGCTGTTCCTAATGCAGTCTGTGCTTCAACCAATGAATCAAAATCCATCAAAACTTCCTCGCAAACACTGTTAAAAGACATTTAGTACCTGAATATAAGCTGACATCATCTTTACATAGGTAAAAATCAATACTAACCTCTTCGGTATTAATGGAGTCGAACTTCCTCCTGGAATTACTGCAAGAAGGTTATCCCAACCACCTTTAGAAAGGATGCATTGATAAAAAAGACATGATATAAAAGAACAGGTAGGTACATAAATCAACAGAAAATGGATATATTTAAATAGAAATATATGTACCTAGTACACCTCCGGCATGCCTTTCAATCAAATCTTTCAAAGGGATTGACATTTCTTCTTCAACTGTAGTTGGATTATTTACATGACCAGAGATATTGAATAGCTAAAACACAGCAAAATTTCATATTTTTGTTTCAAATATAAAATTACACAGAAGTCATACAAGAATTAAGCTTCACACATGATATACCTTAGTGCCAGTGTTACGTGGTCTGCCAAATGAAGCAAACCAATCACCACCACGTCTACAAATGACCTGATAATATAACATAAATTATAGAAATTACAAAAGTGATGTTATTTATTATTTCTGTATCAATAAACCAAATCTTACTTACAGGTGCAACTGCAACAGTTTCAACATTAGCAACAGTTGTTGGGCAACCAAATAATCCTATAGTGTAGTGTTTTATATAATGTAAAATTATGTCCAAATAATACAAAACAAACATAATGATATGTAAGAACATACCAATATCTGCTGGAAATGGAGGCTTCAATCTTGGTTTGCCTTGTTTACCTTCAAGACTTTCTATTAATGCCTTTAAGGGAAATCATCAATGATAAAGAAACTTAAAAAACTTCATGTTAAATAGATTATTTATATTTTAATACTTATATTTTAATACCGTTTCCTCGCCACAAATGTAAGCACCAGCACCTCTATGCATGTATACATCAAAGTCAAAACCACTGTCACATGCATTCTTGCCAATAAAACCAGCTTTGTAAGCTTCATTAATGGCAACTTGCATATTAGATGCCTCATTGTAAAATTCACCACGAATATAAATATAAGCTGTAAAAATGAAATAAAACATGCCCATTAAGTACATCACAAACATTTATCATAAAAAAAATTAAATCAAGCACCAGCTCTTGCACCCATTGCAGCACCAGCAACAAGGCAGCCTTCAACCAGCTTGTGAGGATCATGTCTCATGATTTCGCGATCCTTGCATGTCCCTGGTTCACCCTCATCTGCATTCACAACCAGATACTTTGGCCTAGGAAGATTACAACTCAATAAATATCCCAGTAACATAAACAAGAGGAAGAAGAAAAGATGTTGTAAAAGAACAATACCGTCCATCAGACGGTCGATTCATAAAACCCCATTTCATACCACTAGGAAATCCTAAAAATAAAATAAATAATACTTTGTATTGACTATGACATGGCTACAAACATAAATATCTCTATATCCCTTTATATACCTGCACCACCTCTACCCCTCAATCCGGACTTTTTAACTTCATCAATGATCCAATTTGATCCCTTAAGAATGATTTCCTTTGTCTTGTACCAGTCACCCTAATACAGAAAAAATTCCATTCTCAATTTTTAATTTCAACCAGCATTTTATCATCCAGCAGTACATTTAATGTAATTATAAATTGTTACCCTGCTCAAAGCACCATTCAGTTTCCAGTCATGTCGACCATACAAGTTTGTAAATATACGATCTTCATCCTGCATAAAAATAACAAATTGAAACTTTATATTTGTTTCGTTAAGACATCAATTTGAAAGAGAGTACAAACAGTAAAGTCCAGCAACTAATACGTACATATATAACATTGCACTTGATGTTGATAAAAAACATGATGAAAAATAAAATAAAAAAATCAAATGAAAAATCGACAAGATACCTTCATATTTCCAAATGATTTTTTCTCCTAAAATAAAGGCTTTTTTATTAATTACAACAAATCAGAAGTTCTTGTTAGCTCCATAAACACAATTGCTGAATTGCATAAATGATTGCATAATAGATGAGTTTAAAAGTTTATATATTGTGAAAAAGACTACATGGAATGTTAATCAGTAAATGTTTGATTTCATTGGCTTAAATGCAATATTTTTTAAGTGAGCATACTTGAATCGGTGTATTTGACAGCAGTCGTAAACCAAGAAAACCAGGTCGGCCTGGAAAACGACAACACAGAAGAATTATATCTTAATTTGTGTACAAATAACATCACAAAGTTGTAATTCAACATTTTACCTGCGTTTAAAATGCTATTAGTTTTTATGAAGGAGTTTGCCACACTCATTTCAAGATTTTATTTCAGTGTTTGCTTTACTTTATTTGACAAAAATTCTACAACAAACAGTTCATCAATATTCCACATTCTCAATATGGCGAAGACAGGTTATAGCAGTCCAGTTATAAGTTATACTCGCACGGATCATCGGAAAAGGATGAAAAGACGTTGGGGTCTGAGTACGATTATAATGAAAATGTGAGGAAATATTACATCCACTGACATATATAATTCACCGGATATAGACATCTATACAAAGTATATGACATTAAATGACAGTAGCGATAAATTCTTCGTCACTTTAATGCTTGTCTTTCTTCCCGATCTTCATTTCTTCAAGTGGAACCTTTGAGTGGAGTTTTCAAGCAGGGCTAACACAATATCGAAAAATACATATGCCGAGAACAATAATTTTCTTTATGACAATGCGATTCAATGAAAAGGAACATAGCAGTACAAAACGAGCTTTTCAATTCATCCAAAGACCAAACTCTTTTTCATTGATATTAGTTGACTTTTTAAAGCGAAAACACCTAAAAAATGTAACAATAGAAAACCAAAAATGTCAAAACGCGTTTACTTGAATCGTACCCTATTAGCAAAAATTAGAGAAAAATAGCAACTAATAAGTCTTTATTCATATTTATTGAGCAAAAAAAAATAGTTTACATTATTTTCAAGTTTAGTTACACATACATACAGTTAGTACATACAATAGTCGAAAACATTCTTCTACAATCTCACGGAGAAGGGGCCACATTCTCCGTTGGTCCTTATACTATCTCTCGTGAATAACATTCCTAAGAGTACTCTTCTCACAATACTCCACATTTATATACAAAGTTTGCAGAGTACACTTTGATTTTTTCTTGCAAATCTCTCGTGGTGATTGCTTCCTCTATACTTTCGAAATCAGATTTCTCTTCCTAAAGGAAAGACGCTGGTAGTTATTTTTACACATCTTCAGCAACATCATGAACAGTTTCCACTAACTACTAAATGCCACGTGAGACAACGAGCTTACACACTGTCAACATGCTTGGAATCATTCTTGTTTTCATTTGTCCACAAGTCCTCATCCAAAACTCTCGAGCGTACGCTAGGTGCTTCAACTACGTTCAATTTCATCACGCCATCTTCAATCTGGCATCGTTTTTTCTCCACTCTCATGCTTGATTTTGTTACACTGTTGGAAGTTTCATTTTCAAATATTTCTTCTGCCTCAATCCTCGAATTATAATATCTGTCACAAATATTAGAGCATTGTTTAAGAACAAAATATGCAGATACAAAGTTATGGAGAAAAATAAAAACATCTCTAACATTGTCACGGATACTACAAGTGACGTAACAAAGTGTTGATGACTTTGATATCCATTTGTCAAAACAATCTTGAGAACACAAACAGAATGCAAAAAACATATATGAGTGAAAACTTGCTATGCACATATACAAGCAACAATTTCAGAGCTTGCTCCGTCAAAAACTAATTGAAAATTTAATCTGAGCTAGCGTAGTCAACTCCACCAACTCTTCAAGTTCATGGTCATGGCAACGACAAACTGTATGTATGAACAAGTACCAATTATATGGAGTAATTAGGTCGCTCAATCACAAATTTTCAGATAAATCAACTGCGCATGCGCAGTCTGCTTAAGCATGCACAGTCAACTTGACCAGCTGCACAAGTTCATGGTCATGGAAACGAACAACTGCATCTAATAGCACCAATTTTGAAGTAAATAGCATGCTTAGTAACAATTTAATAGAGAAATCATCTGCACATGCGCTAAAGCATGCGCACTCCACTCGACTAATTGTTCGTCGTCATGGCAACGACTAACTATATGTACTTGCACTACTTTTGTGGCATAATGTATATAAATATATATAAATATGTAGTGTTGGTGATTTATGAACATTAATTTGTGTGAAAATTAATGTGAAAATTCAAGCTTAAACAAAAAATTTAAAATGTAATTATAGAGAAAGAAATTAATATCACTCATATTTGGCTCTTGCTATGATGACATTCATGAGTATGTTTTAACTAGTCTTTAAAGCTTTATTTAGTGCACAAGAAACTTAAATTCATTTTAAATTTATTTCTTTGTTTTGCTATAGAAGAAATACTGGTGTTTGCAAAATATGCAAAGATGATGATGGTGAAGATGGGCTTGGATGCATTCCAGCTTTTAAAATATAGACTTTTCTTCTGTCCTCTCCAACTATTTTCATTGTCCATGCTAAAACCCTTGGCATGACATCACACAAATGTCTGCATTTACCATCTCAACATTAAATAAATTCGCAAGAAAACAGGCAAACAGTCATAAGTGTTTCAATGATTGTGTTGGATTTAGAAGAAGTAAATTTGAATGAGTAGCACTTAAAGCTTAGCACAAATTTGTCATAACGTCCTATCCATTTCCTTTATTCTGCTTGCTATACACTCTCAAGGCATGGTTGTAGTTTCTTAATTTAGATGCTTAACTAAAAAGTCAAATTTCATTGCAGTCAAAATACAAAAACAGTTAAAATAATAAAAATAAATAAGAAAAGGAGAATACATACCTGCTTTTGACGAGTGTAGAAAGTTTTCGTATTCAGCGATGAATTGTATAGCATGAACTCATACAACACGTATATCGTTTTTTGTTGACTCTTTAGTTTCTAGCATAATGCCACCTATAATCACAAAATGTCAATCTCAGATAAGTTTCTTATCTTTCAACATTTTAAAATATAAATCATTGGGATAATAATTGCAATTTTATCCCATTTTATCCACTACACTGACCACAATACATCGCAGACGCACCTCCCTATCCGCCTTGGATGAAATATTTCGCAGTGACTCTTTCTTTGTATTTTGTAGTTAAAAACTATGTTTATTTTGTAGGAATGGTTACTATAATTAATGGCGAAATTGTTCCAGACAATGACCCTAGAGCCAAGGCATACAGAGAGAGGAAAAGCAACCAAAATTCTCAATCGCAAACTCGAAATAGAAGCACGAATCAAAATGCGACAACTGATAGGGAATTTCAAAATGGCGGAAGAAACGAGAGGAATTCTCCAGTTACAGAGATAAATAACTATCTTGTGAATGCAGGAATGCCAAGATTAAATATGGGTGGCACCGTTATTGAACCGATATTTCTAATTGCTGCTCTTTTAGTTATTATATTTATGGGACCATCGGGAATATTAATAATTGGCATTGGATATTTTCTTTATGTACAATCAATACGTGCTGGACACTAATGAAAATAGAAGAAATAATTAAATGAAATATCATTTATGTTGCTGGTAAATTTAGTTCATGATTCTGGGTCATTCTACAACACTTCTTGTGTTTGAATTTAAGTCAAGTTTATTTTTTGTATCATTCACAACTCCATTCTTGAAGAAGCACCATAAATATCGAGATCTTTAAATTGTAGAAGCATGACATCGATTTCTTTTGCTGTTTGCATTCTTTTATTCTTTGTTTGCTGTGATTCATTATCAAGAAGGATATGAAATCGTTTTTTGATGTTATCTTTCAAATCATTAGCTTTTGATCTCATATTTCCATCAGCAACTGTTTCAATAACTTCTTGCATATTTGAAATCTCTTTATCAACATTAGCTTTGATCTCACTAGTTTTAGGTAAAACAATGTCGTCATGAAGATCGCTACCTTCATTGGCTTGTTCTTGAAGATTCTGTAAATATTTATCATTTAAAGTAAATCCTTCTGTTATATCATGTACATGCAACATCTTTTTTTTGACTTCTTCAATTTTTACGCCAAGATCTTCAACAAGTTGATTGGCGGTATCAATTGCTTCGCGTCTGGACGAGGCATCCTACAGGAAAGAACATATACGTAATTAAAATACGTTTATACAGTTGAAAAATTTTGCAGACCATTTTAAGATATGGTAAAGACTTTTTAACCTGAATTTCTTCAGCAGTAAGAGTTCTTTTAGAAGCCTCAGCGCGCATCTTTGCATCTTCCACGTTCATTACACGTACTTCAAATTCATTTCGTGTTTTTGAGTCAGTCAAAGTTGAGATATCGTCATCGGCACCTGAAAGTGTTTTTTGAAGTTCACTATCCACACTTATCAAGCTTTCAACAACGCTTTTCAACGCGTCATAAGAATGAGATATTTTCTGCGCCTTTTCATCGTGCGACAAGGCATTTCCCAAAAATGGTACGCTAGACAAACCAACGAAGAAAATTACGAAAATTTTTTTCATTTTTGCATTTAATAAATGAGGTTTTAAAAAATCAACAACGTAATTGGTTATTTGATCATTTATTTAAAGTTATAAAATATAAATAAAACATTATATACTCATATATCTTTATATATAAATATAACCTGTTTGTAAATGAGGTGTGATTTAATATCCATTGTCTGGTGGCTTGATTGTTTAAAGATCCCTTGGAATTGAAGAATACTTTCTCTTTTTTATTATCTTTAGCTTTATGAATGAGACAATACTTAACGCATCATTTGAAACATCTTTATTGTTCATGTATTTTTTATTTCACTAATTACAAAAAGACAGGCCTATTTTTCCATCAATGATTTTAGGAAAACGGGACAGCTGAATTTCAACTGGTTTCAACATGTACACCAATGTTAAAAACATTGCCACCAGAGTAAGGGGAATTTGCAACGTCTGACATAGCGTACAGTGGGAGACAATTTGTAGGTTTATTCATTGAAAAAAATAACAGAAAATATAATGTCAGAAATATTACTCATCTAATTTTCATCATCAGACATGGATAAAAGAAATGAAGTTGTTTTGCTGGCAGTTGTTCTTGCCACTTTATTTTGCTCAATTAACGAAGCAAACGAATTTTCAAAGGTGAAAAGTACTTACATTTATGAAATGATTTTTTGCGTAAACTTTGGAGTTCGTCAAAAGAGAGTGTGCTAATCATCTAAATAACTATAAGAATTTTAATAATTTAGGAAAATGAAAGTTCAGTACATCATAACAAGAAAAGTCACACTCAAAAATTTAATGAAAACCGGAAAGTAAAGAAAAACGGTAAAAGGGCAGAAGATGTACCTCAGGAGTCAAGACCAGAGCCAAGGTTTTCCAAATTACGTTTTTTCATTGTTTAAAAAATACAGTTCTGAGAGAGTAGCCACAAAAAGAAAAGATCATTGGTTAGAAGTGAAAAAAGTTAAATGGATCACGTTCAATTTTAACAGATTCTTTGTTTATTCAACTAATAGCTAACGATAACTATAAAGTTAGTATGTCCAAAGTCAATTGTAACCAGGTCAATATTCTCACGCTCAATAGTCTCTTGGTAAATACTTTCCTGGTCAATAGTTTCTATCTAAGTCAATCTTCTTCAGGTCAAAATTTTTGTGGAAATAATTTTAAGAATAACAGTTATTTGGTAGGAGACGTTTAGTGAAGATGATTCACTCGTTTTTGCCACAGTATTCCAGATCAAACAGCGCCAAAAATATCGACGTCTGGTGCAAACATGGATGTCGGACAAGTAAACATAGTTGGTCAAACAAAATCGTGCAATGGAGTTCTTCTTGAGCCTACTTTTGTTCTGACTACAGCATCTTGTGTTCATACTAACCACAAAGTTGATGCATTTGATACTATAACATTTACTGTTGGAATGGAAACAAAACCGGTCAAAAAGGTAAAACATAACAAGGCATGCAAACGCAGGAAAATATTTGATTTGCTTTCAAAAAGTTAAAAGATTGTTTTGTGTTTCTGTTTGTATTCAAACTAATCCTGCATTACAGGTGTTTCCCAATCCATATTGGCGTTTATCAGGAGAGAGAAAGTCGAACTTTGCTTTGCTTCAATTACAACAGCCAATGCCACACATTAATGCAGGACGCATTCCCTCAATAACGTGGAGCTCGTACAGACTCGAGGACCTGGGAGATAGTTTTATTGCTGACTTAAAATCATCTAGCTGCAACACAGCTTCCAAAAAAGCTCAAAACAGTGATGTCATAGATCACGTTCAAGACCAAGAGATAATACTGTCATGCGCGAACAAGGTATAGCAATAGTAGCAATAACCAGATTAATGAAAAACAAGTGACGAACAAATATTTCTTAGAAACAGTTTCAGTCAATAATATTTCTTAATTATGACAATACAATTTATTACTAAGGCAACATTTGATCAAGGAAGTCCAATATTTCAAATAAGAGACAACGCTCCAGTCATATATGGCGTGTATTTTGGAGACTGTACCGCTGGCTCATTAGATCGAGCAGTTAGCGGCTCCTGCGGTGCAAGAATTACAAAGAAAGTGTTCTTAGACTTCTGTAGGCACTCATTGAATGAAAATGTTCAATTGCCTGGTTGTGACAATAAAATTCTAAAACAAAGTATGTGCAAAGAAAGCGAATTTTTTGTTAACTTTTGTAGTAAAGCAGGCCATAAAATCTCTTCAAACTAAGTGTAAACAATATTCAATTATCAATAATCAAGCAATATTCAAATTTTCCTTTTCGACAGCACACACAAACTTTCCCACAACTGTATTCTCAAGAGAAGGATACGATGCCATGCTGCTACACAATCCAAAAGCAACAATTGTTCTCGCTTACCACAGTTCAGGTAAAGCATAAAATATTGACGTTTACGTCAAATTAATAAAAAGACTATTTTCACAATCTTGTTAGCATCCAAGCATTACCAAGATTTTCTCGAAGATATGGAAATTATTCAAACAATGAAGTCGGTGTATAAAAACTTTCAAATAGTCACAATTGACGTGAATATTTTACCCGTAAGAATAAAAAGTGTACCGTTTATTGAGTACAAGACGAAATCTAGTGACATGTTCTTGTCTTACAATGATCCATACGACTTCACATCGTTCAAGAAGTTTATGGACGCTTTTGGGTAAGAATGAAATAAAGTAGCTTTAATTTCTCAGATACATGTTATTTTCGATAAACGTCTTTTCTCTACAGAAAGGTTGGTGTTCCTCCCTCTGGAAGCACTTGTAAGTAAACTAAAATTTTGTACGTTTACCAGTACATGATTTAAGACGTAATTTTTTCTACAAGCATTTTTAGCAACTCTACAGGAAGAACTGATGTTAGATAACAAAGGAAAAGCTCAACAATCACTTGCTAGATCTCAAGATAATGTTCTAACAGTGAAATCATCGGGAGGAAAACGTCAGTTGCAATAATCAACTCCAATGCATAAATTTTCTGTAAGACCAATTCATGACCAACTGTAATTATTTAAAATTATAGAACCAAATACACCAAGCAAAATACAATGCGAAACAAAACATGGCTACTATCTTTCTCCGGATAAATTATGTACATGTATGCCAACTCATTTCGGCGATGGAAAATCGTGTAAAGGTAATAAATTGAACATCCATAAATGTCTGTAACCACATTCTCATGTTTCATTTCCTTTTCAGAGCTGCAATCCGTAATCCAAAGTAAGTGAGATTTGTGGGTAGATAATCCAGAACTAGATAACATATCTTTGATTCATAAAATAATTACAATATTTTTGTAACTAAGGTAACTGCCAGTTTTTCGTCAATGATAAACGTAAGAATTATCTTACAATTCTGAATGATGTTAAACGCAACACTTGGTGCGACAAGGAAATAAACATTCAAAGTAAAGTGACAGCAAACAAGAAAGTCAGTGGAAAACTACTCACATCAGACCATTGTTCTGATGCAATTAGAGAAATTATCAAATGTTCTAACGAGCATCGTTTGATTCTAAAGAAAAAGTCTTCAAACTGGAAAGAAGAAACTGATACGCAACGTCATAGTTTAGTAAATACAAAGTTGGGAAAGCCTCCTTCAACCTACTTAAGTAACTTTGAGCAAAACACTCCTCCTGGACCATTAACGATGCTTCCAAACACTCACTACTACAGTGTACAAGGAATAAGAAAATCAAAGGCTAATCCTTATTCTGTGTTATTTGACGGTAATAAAGGAATTCCTGTTTTAGTTGGATATAAAGTTAATAACACAAACATGAAAGGTATCGACTTAAATAAAATTTGGATGAAAAATAAATGGACTTTTATTGGTAAGTATATTCAAAAGCAGTTTGTTTTTGTTAGTGTATTATAAGTTTTTTTTCCAACTACTTTCTGGTCAGATACTTCTGCGTTCTCTTTTGAGAGCTAACAATGCCCGATCTTTTAGAGAAAACAGGTATGCGGGTTGGGAGAAACAAGATCTACATGAAGCGTAGCAACATAACACGACCAGAAGCAATGCAGGAAGGACAACTGAATATGAATCAAATGCATTCCTACAACGATGAATCAATGGATATTACCTTTAATCATCTCAACGCATTCCCCATTTATAGAGAATTTGCTCAAAAGGTCTGGAAGAAGTATCAAAGGAAGATGATATCATATGCAAAAACAAGATGCAGCACAAAGGATGAAAGTGCAGTTTTTAATGTTGTAAGTGGTTTATCTGACTATGAATTGACTGGTCAAGGTACCACTGCATTTCTGAAAGCGACAACATTCTGGCCTGTCGCTTATCCGGAAGGGATTTCTCAACCATTCCTCACTCCCAATCTCACTGACGGATTTACAAAATCAATAACTAAGCCAAAATCCGTCTGGACAATCGGCTGCTGTACATGGACAAAGAGTGGTGAGAAAAAGGCTGAAACAGTATCGTTCTGGGCAAATAATAAACCTCGTGGTATAGCAAAGCATGAAATACAGCCCAACTTGGAGATCCTGTCACGAAGACTACAGCCAAATAAACCTACTTTTCAGTTCTTCCCAGCCAATCCATTATGTGGCTTGGTGGAGAACCATCACACTTTAGAATACTAAATTTAATTCTCTTATTGAACCTTAATTTAAAGCTTTAATGTGATTGAATAAATTCAGTAAGAGCCTTCATTTCTATATAAATATAAGTATTTGTTTCAAAAGGAAAATTTTACATAGTGATTAAGATTTAGCTCACAAATGTTTGTATTGAGCTTTGTTTTATCAAGGTTATTTTTCATTAAAGATTTCAAATGTAAAACTTAGTGAGTATTCAAGTAAATACATATCTACCAACATACTTGTTTATGATTCGTCAACCAAAGTACAACGCCTTCGAAATTCTTGTCCATGAAGATGAAACCATTTATTGCCAACTACACATATGTGAATATGAACTAAGAATAGTGCGCATCATTGAGGTGTAAATTATCCCACCTACCCCATTTTATCCCTGAAAGTACCGGACATGCAGCGTGAAATGTAGAGTTATTCCCAACACCAGAAGTCTTTAGGTTATACCAAAAGACAACATCACCCTAAATATGAAGTTTGAACGATTTAATAAGCAACATATTTTATAGTTCATCGATAACTAAAAACGAATCAACCTTGCTCGGTTTAACGTGAATTTTCAATCGTGTAAATGCTGTACCACCACCATAAGGAATCGACGTTAACTATAAACAAAAAAATGGCTAAATAAATTCAGCGATAACTCATCAAATTCTATTCAAATTGACTCCCTTACATAAAGTAACATGGTTGCAATTCTATTTCCATTCACGTGATTTTCCAATGGTGAATTGGGATACTACATAATCATTAAATAAAGTCATAAATAATAAGAAATAAAAAAAGTTTTGTTAAATCATACTCCGTGATCATGGTGTTCTTCATATTGTCCACCCAATCCATAATTAGCCACCTAAATTTTAAGAAAACTTTGTTTTATAACATTGGGAAAAAAAATAGTTTGATGAACACTTCTATACTTGTAAATCCTCAGCAGTTGATGTCGACAGTCCAGACACTGCTTCTGCTCTTCTGTTAAAGATCTTTAAGGCACTTGCAGCTCTCTCAGGTATCCACGCACTGAATACAATAAAAATTTCTCATAAACAAAAGAATGAACGAATGAAAATGATGATTCTATTTGATACCTTTCACTTATCCTGTATGGGACCGTTTGCAACTCTCCTGTTCTTAAATCGAATGCTTTTGATCGCTCCAACTGGTAAAAATGAAAATTTAATGAAAAATAAAGCATAACGATGGTCTTACTTCAAGGTGATGAAAGATTCAATAATTGTTACGTACATGAGGTCTTGCAACATCTTTTATCGTCTCTATTTCTGAATCTCGAAGTATATCACGATATATAACAATTCTTGGTTTCACTAAAACAATTTCTTCTTTTGCTGGTTTAAGCCTCAGTAGTGGATGGTCCATTTTATAACGACACAACAATAAATTGTCGGATCCATAAGACTAAAAAGATTTTCAACATAAACAATGTCCGTTGTATTGTTATAACTAACTCAAACTTTCGCAGTTATCGGAAGTATTTGAAGTAAATATTTTTCAGAAGAAAATACTGTTTAAACCTTTCTTAATCTTTCCTCACGACATAGTCTGCTCAATGTTGTATTCACATATTTTTTCGTCAACATTCTGTCTTCTTCACCTTTAAGGTGTTGATAAGTTTTCACTAGACCAGTCTTCAACTCATCACCATATCGTCTAGCGTTCTCTAAAGCACGAGTATTGTTGGGATCTGAAATAATGACGTAATAAATAGGTGGCGTTCGATAAAAAACAATGACGTGCACAAGACTCACCGATTTCAATGAGCTCTGTAATATGTTGTAATGCTTTTTTAAGGTTTCCCCTCTAAAACAAAATAAAAAATCACATCACAGAAACCCAATTTAGTTCGGTATACCCTCCCAAGGACAAAACTTTATGGTACACTCTCCCCAGGACAACACTCACGGTATACCCTCCCCAGGACAACACTCACGGTATACTCTCCCCAGGACAACACTCACGGTATACCCTCCCCAGGACAACACTTTATGGTACACTCTCCCCAGGACAACACTTACTGTATATTCTGCCCAAGATGCATACTCAAGCAACAATTTCATGTCTATATTTCCTTTGTATGTAGTTCTCCTCACTCGTTTCAGAGCAACGTTCAACCAGCCAAGAGCGTGTTGATATCGACCAAAATACAGAGCAAACGATCCAACCTCAAAACAATCGTCAACATGAATTTCAACAGGAGCAGAAGTGCCTAAAGATGAAATTGATCAATAGGTGTTTAAATGACAGCTTTCTCCCACCTGGAAGAGGTTTGGTATGAAGAAGCCGATTAGATTAAATCTTTAAATTTAAGATGAACTTATATGTCATATGATATCCAAAAATCATTCATCATTCTTTCTGATTCAGACAAATACTACGACTAACCAGGAATATTTCCACTAGCCAAATCATCTGCAGTTATATTGTAAGTATCTTGTATCAGATAGATAGCTGATATTGATCCACGTAAATCTTCAACTGTGGGAAAAAACGGCTGGAAATCGTCCAATTGATTGTAGACATCTACATAGAAACAATAATGACCTACATTAAGACTCCGACAGACTAGAAAATGTCAATTTCCTGTTTTAATTGTAATTCCAATTAAAAATAATAAACATAAACATATTGAAACCACAGATTGGTGACTAGATACATGAAAAATTGAATGAAATTCGACAATCTACAACCAAAGACTTAATTTGGTAGTTTACCACAAAAGTAAGAAATGACAATGTTCATATATTCTTGTCATCTGGAAAGGAAAAACACAAAATTATCGTGTCATTTACCTTTGGAGTTATCGTTGTTAAGAAGATCTTTTAAACTATTCCATTGATAAACAAAACGTCTGAATAAGGCATAAACTTGAAGTGGATTAGAAAATATATCGGCAGTACTGCTTATATTTCTATCACCAAGAGAAAGTTTTATTCGTTCAACTATAGTCATCACTTCATTTGAAATCAATTTTTCTCTCGTAATGAACTTTTCTAATGAATCCACGAGTGTTTTCTCTATAAGAGCTAAATCTTCGACTCTCGTCATCGCAGTATAAACAGCGCCGTCAGTTTTGCTGATGCAAAACTGAAATATTAGCAGATAACAAAAAATAACGTTCATCGTGTTTACAAATAAATAACTATAAGTAAAGATTAAATCAACGATTTCTTGTCAAATATACTCGAAAACAATTACTCTTTCGAATGAAAAGGATTTAATACAAAATACATTTGATGATATATTTCAAAAGAACATAATACAACACTTTTTATGTAGTTAATTAAATAGAACAGGTGACAAAAAGATCATATGATATTAATCAACACGTGTTTCAATCAACGGCATTTAAACTTCGTTAATGCCAAATAAAACGTGATTCTAAAATTTAATTGATAAACCAAAATAGCCCATTCATTTATATGTTTACTACCTTTTTCATTCAAATAATCATTTTTTTCCTACTTTCAATAATTTCATGATCAAACACATACATTTGCTTGTAACTAAGAGAAGAATTTTTTAAAACACGCCACGTTGAATTAATTAAGTACCTGCTTGGAATGTTTTGAAACATTTGATGGTTTGCGATATAGAGTGTCAATATAATGTATATATTACAAAATATCTGATATTTGCCTGATGTAAAATTTGAGCTAGCAGTGTTCTATTGTCAAGAATCATAAATATTACAGATATTATTGATAATTGTCATTTGAATCAGTTATTAATTAGACCAATGACGAGACATTAAATGTAAAGACTTTAATTTAATTTAATCATGTTTCACTCTCTCAGTCTGCAACATAATTGATGGTGTTGGTGAAAAAGATTTCAAATATTCAAACATGTATTGCAAATATTGCAGACGCCACAACAATAATAAGCCCATAAAAAGAAGAAAACAGAGAGATACCAATAAATAAATGTTTGTTTCATCTGTAAGAGAACTTGACAAAGGTCCTTCATTGTAGTCAATATCATCTACTTTAACTGATCTGTTATAGTCCATTCCTAAACATGATAATTTAAAGTAATTATCTACACAAAGTAAATCAGTTGAATGTTTCATGCAAGCACTACCTGTATTTTCATGAATGAACTCTACAAGATCTTGAAAAGTTTTAGAACGGTTGAATCTAGCCACAGGTCGACCTTCTTGAAACAATATTATTGTAGGAACACCAACAATACCATATCTTGTGTTAAAACTATAAAATGAAAAACAAAGGCACACATAAGGATTATAAAAAATTCATGTGAGTGAGATTCTTATACAACAACATAAAAATTACCTGTTGTGATTATATGCATCAAATGCCAAAATTGGAATACCATAGAATGCTCTTCCAACAGCATTAAAAACTGGAGCAAATTGTGCTGAAAAGTAGCACCATTTTGCATAGAACAATACAATAGCACAACTCATTGATCTATTCATCTCCTCAAGCCACCAAATTAAACTGATCTTATCTTTAACAACAATCACCATTTGACTCGATATATTGTACTTTGCACAACCCCAAAAAGGTTGAGAAGTCTTTTTATTTAAGTCAGACTTAACTGCAGTGACATTGATAGACATATTGCCATGAAATTTAGCGTTAATTTTCTTTTCATTTTGTGGTTGAGAAACATTTACTGTTGATTCAGAAATATATTCTGTTCTTGAGATGAAGTTCGTTACTTTCTCAGACTTCTTCCAATAAGTAAACGCACGTTTTGTGAACTTTGTAGCGGACTTTTGACGCAATTTAAAAAATTCATTTTCATTGCTCATATTTGTTGATACATACATTTTACTAGCAATTGAAATATCATCAACAGCTTCAGCATCTAAAACGACATTGCATTAAACTCTATAGGGTCAATAATTTGCTATTACCGAAGCTAAAATTTAGGACGTTTTACCTTTGTTTGAAACAAAATTCTTCTTTGCAACTGTTGTCGAAAATGAAAAAAATACAAAAGAATTAAAAAGAAAAATTGCCAAGTCATACTTGACTTTGACATCCGCCATTTTGAATGCTCGCTCAGGAGCCTCAGGTTTTCATTTTTGTGTTGAGTTGCATAACGTTGGGTTGTGTAGTTGTGTAACGTTGCATAACCTTCGGTTGAACAATTGTCTAGGTTCATGATGCAAATTTTTCAAATGTGAAACAAGGGGAAAGGCAGTTCTTGTCAAACAGTATTTTACTAGGTAATAACAAGTCGAGACAAAATCACGTTAGCTGATATAACCGCCTAAGAAAAGTATTGACAATCCAGCTATTTCAACTTTGTTCAAAATTGTATTTCGTACAAACCCACGACGTCGAGAGCATTGACGAGTTATAAAATATTTCAATGCAATAAAATATTTCTATGAATGATAAACTCTTAAACAGTATAAACAATAAGATTTTATTTCTTTAATATTTCAGACAAAGCTGGCATAACTGGCTAAGACCGTGTGCACTCAACCTAAAAATCATACATCAACATCATAAGGTTAACATGTGGTCAATTTCTGATTATATCTCCCGATGTAGTCAACGCTAAGGGGTCGGCCTTTACGAAGGAGTGCCTCTCTTTTTTAGTTCAGTTTAGCCTAAATATGCTTCCAAAATAAAATAAATGACGACATGTCCAGCCCGAGAAAGGATCTTTGCTAATTCTCCACCTACGAAACAAAATTTCTTGACACAAATCGTATTTGTCGTCAATGAATGTACGACCTTTGACCGTTACTATGATTCCATGTTTATCAAATGATTTTGGTAGAATGATGGATAAGATGGGCAATGTGTCAGGTGAAAACTTTGATCGACATGCGTGCCATCAATCATCAAGTCGTACAAGAAATTTCTTTGTTTTACTGCAATGTGAAGGAATATTTTATCACATCACAAACTCGCAGTAAGATGTACGATATTATATCGAAAAAGTTCACCTTTTTCATGGAACTGAGACAATCATTTTAATTTTCTTTAGAGAAAAATCTGCATCAATGCTGTGGTAGTGACAAATTTTCCTCTGCTTCGAATTCTGCACCTTCGATTTACAACGATTGTAGTATCAGCTTACAGCAGTTGCAATTACTTGGTAGTATTGGATTCCAGGGTTAGGAAATTACTTGGTCATATAACTAAAGAGCATTTTCAAATCTTGAACAAGTTTGACGTAAATAATATTAAATATATGATTTTACTTTAACTATGTTGATTTGATCTACTTCATTCAGTAGCTTTATGATACGTACGCAATGCGTACAAACTTTTTTAAATGTATGCCGTTGTATTTAATAAACACAGTGTTATGGGAAATACACCCAAAGACCAAGAAATAAAAAAGAACGTGAATATTCATGATAGCTACAATAAATAATGTTATGACAAATGACTTCCTTGGCCCCAGATGTGGACACTGTTTTTTTCCAAAACAAAACGAAATGGGAGGGAAAACCGGTGGATCCGGTAAAAAACCCTCCAATAAAAAAAAAGATCAAAAATTTAGAAAAATTTTCTCAAATTTTTGTAGTTTTAAGACATTTCATATTTTTGTTGTTTTCAATGATCCCGATGATCTACTTTAACATGCAGCGTACGTCGTTCATCGTACATCACTCGTATAAAAAATTTGAAATTTACAGAGCGACAAAAAAGCAGGCTGACTACCCTATTGACACAGGCATGAAAAATGAAATTACCAAAGTTAAGTCATGACTTGCATAAATATCAATTTTCATGTCTACTAGACTTCTTTCGATTTAAAATTTCTATGTTGCTTCATTAAGACCTTCATTAATAGCTGGCTTTCACTTTTTTTCTCAAAATATTTAACAATTGTGAAAACTTAGTTTTACGGAAATTTTTAACGGTTGAATTTTAAAATAGGCTATACTGGTGAACATTATGCATAACTAAATTCGCAAGGGTGAATCTTTCAATAAGGACGCTTGTTTCTTGGTGCTTCTGTCCGACTTGGTCGTTCATTCATTGTCCAGTTAGTAGGCCTACAGACATAGCTACTCTATAAAAAACACGTTATAAATGTCAGCATAATGAACGATCAAAAACAAAACTTTAATGAAAGGAACAAAACTTTAATACCTGATTTCAAAGCGTTGTCGTGGTCAGTCTGATCAAGGCAACTTAGTCGTTCTCTTCCTTTTTTTTCACCGCACAGTTTTTATGTGTACATAGTTGAACCTTATTGTAAATTTTGATCTTAGAAATTCAATGAACCCTACTTGCAGCATTGCAATTTTCTTTATAAACTTTTAATAGATTTAGTAAAAAGTAGCGAGTGAAAGCCAGCTATTTTCTCACAGCAAGTGACATCTTTTATTGATATTTTTTTAATTTGGGTGTTTTTCATGGTTCAAATTATAAAATTAGACCATCGGGATCCTTTTTTAACTCATGCAGTTACTCATACAAGTTAATTTTAACACTTATCTTCTCAACTTACAAACCACAAGACATGGATCGTGTTTTTCCACTCGCTTGTTTTCCATCTTCGTAGAATAAAGTCCACACGAACAGAGGTAACCAGCATCATTAACCAGCATCGTTAACCAGCATCATTAACCAGCATCGTTAACCAGCATCGTTAACCAGCATCGTTAACCAGCATCGTTAACCAGCATCGTTAACCAGCATCGTTAACCAGCATCGTTAACCAGCATCATTAACCAGCATCATTAACCAGCATCGTTAACCAGCATCGTTAACCAGCATCGTTAACCAGCATCGTTAACCAGCATCGTTAACCAGCATCATTAACCAGCATTGTTAACCAGCATCGTTAACCAGCATCGTTAACCAGCATCGTTAACCAGCATCGTTAACCAGCATCGTTAACCAGCATCATTAACCAGCATCGTTAACCAGCATCGTTAACCAGCATCGTTAACCAGCATCATTAACCAGCATCATTAACCAGCATCATTAACCAGCATCATTAACCAATCACCATTTCGATAGATTAAAGTTTTCAACGCACTTTTATGGTAACTTCAAGCGAAGGAAAAGGGATCACTTCAATACCCCAGTTATATCATTACTCAAAGAATACTAGTGCAGAATTGATCTTCTGTGAGTATCAGCTGACCGCCTTTAGGTGGGTTCATATAACAATGGGGCCCATCATCATTATATGAACAAACAACTGACATCAACAAAGAATCCAAACTGCAAATGAACATTCTTGGCCATGAATCACCATGACGCATGAGTAATGACAAACTAGTAAGAGTAATTGAAGTGAATGAGACAGGTGGTAAAGGGACTTTCCTAACTCCATTCTTGTGGGATCTACAACATAAGAAAATATCAAACGCAGTGAGATTTCATGATGAATAACTCTGCATATGACGTTAGTTTTCGTTTTTAAATTCTTAATCTTAATTCTTGAGAATGACACATTGTAATATGTTTTCTGTTTGACTATCCAAATGGTAGAACATTCAACTACAAAGCATTGAATAGCTTTAGTCAGTTGAGTTTGAATGATGTAACAAGTTTTACACGATCAAAGGCTTAACATCGTGGTCAAAGCCTCTTACAGTAAACGCTTTCATATTACAAAGCCTACACTAAAACTGATTAATTATTCAATGTAACTCATACTTACTTCCTCAGTAAAAATACAGAAGTTACCTTTCTTTCTACAATGTTAAAGTGAGTAATTTTCCGTTGTTAACATTTCTTTAATTGACGTCATGACTAAAACTTTTTATGATGATTGGCTCCTTAGGAGCATATCAACTTTTACAAAGACAATAAGTAAAATCCTTCAATGCGTTTAAACAAAAAAATTCATTATAATTTTCAGATTTTTCCCTTTTTATGTCGTTATGCAAAATAACGAGACATGATGTGGTAGGTTAAGATTCATGATACGATAATGAATTTAGAAAGTCGACTTTAATCTTGTCCAAATATTCATGAATCTTACAGTCATATACCTTGCTAGGTTAAGCTTAGGAAAAGGTTTAAGGTTATTCTGTTTGCCATGAGGTTTCTCGGCTACTAAAAATAACGCAAGGAGTCGTGGAAATCGAGCAAAAAACAATTACGGCTCTCGTTCGTTGCAGATCTACACCTCAATCTGTGAAAACTGCACCTCTATGCACTCAACCACATAGTGTGATGGAAACAGATGGCAAATTTAGTGTGTTTGTATTCATTGCATAGTAGTAACTAATGTCACATTGAAGAAACATACCTAAAATCAGCAGCATCAATAAAAACTATTGAAATTTTTACGAGAGAAAGATAGATAAATCAAAAAGCAAATAACCATTTATCGTCAGTGTATTCACTTACATTTATAGTTTCCAGCTGTGGGATCTATTTTCATTCATGATATCGAAGCAAGTACGGTTGTAAACCTTTTGAAAAGGGTTTTCTCGCTCAAACTTCGTTTTGCAGCTGCTATCAACATTTCTGGATGGTATATTGATAGTATTCCTGTTGGGCATGAACACTACCCAAACTCACTTAACTTGGTTTCTCCTCCCTGCGTAGTATCTTTTCAACAAAACTTTCTCACTAATATTGGAAAGGCCTCTTGCTGTTGATCGAATTATTCCAAAATTATGAGATATTACCAAGCAAGTTACATCTGCAATCAAATGAGACGTCTTGGAAGTGAATAGTATCTTTATACATGGTGTTAATTATGCATGTCATTATGTATCCTACAACATCATGCATTGTTACTTTTCATAACGACATTAAAACGCTAAAAAATCTAAATATTCGAATGAATTTTTTTTTATTTAAACGCATTGAAGGATTACTTATTGTCTTTGTTCCTAAGGAGCACCTAAGGAGCCAATCACAACAAAAAATTTTTAGTCATGCCGTCAATTAAAGAAACGTTAACATGTTTAAATTCCCAGTGTTCACATTTGGGACAAAGCGAAGCAATTTTTCATAACAGTATAATGACTTACATCTTTATCTCTATTTATATATTTAAGTATCACATTCTGTAACACATTCATTTACACTGATGATGGCATAAGTTTGCCAAAACATGTCTGTAATAAAAAAGTTTGTTTTATATATT